TATTTTCCAAAAATATCTTCATCCACAAAATAATGAATCAGAAGATTTTTAATTTCTTGTTTACGCATTGAAGATTTAATTTCTGATAAATTATACTTTTTTTGCAAAGATCGAGCAAATCAGTTTTCTTAGCCAAATCTAATACCTCCTGGGAAGGTTCAGCTACAAACTTTTCTAAATTAAAAGACATGACTGCTTGTTGCTGGTTTTAAACTCAGAAAGTGATGTGTTTCAAAAATTTCAAAATGAAAGGTACACTTAATAGAACAACTATGATATCAACTCAGATGAGTAAATACGGTAATAATAAAATGTAAAATAAACGGTAATAATTTCCAATATTGTAGCCAAAAAGAAATATTCAAATCCCGGACGAGCCCCCAATTTCTGTTACGAGCCAGGCGTAACGAGAAAGAAAAGCCAGCAACAAACTTGTAACAATAACAAATTTATTACAGAAAAATTATTAAAGAAAAATAAAATAACAAATTATGTTAACAAATACCTGAAGTCCAAATGAAAATGAAAAATTATAAATGTCTAGTCTGATCCTGGAATGATCCTTTTCAATAGCACAGTTAAATACAAGTTAAATCCAAGAACACTTTAGAATAAATTCCCACAATAAAATCCACGAGAATAATTTATTTTAAAATCCAAGCTCCAATAATTCACTTAATATCCAAGTTGAATAAAACTCCAAATATATTGATTTCTTAAAAGGTAACTGATGACTTAATAGATCACTGATGACTTAAAAGGTAATGGTAACGAAAAATGTCAATTTATATATATTAACTAAGAAAATTCCAGAAAGGTCTATTATGTTCTCAAGTAATCATAATCTAGCAACTTCAACAATAAAGAACATTCCAGAAGTTTCTATCTAAATATAATGCATGAGTTTTCTACAACAGGTAAGAAAGTTCTAGTACATACATGTAGTCAATGTTCTAAAAATAGAACAATGATAATATTGGAAATACCAACTGGTCATATATAAATTATATACATGTAATAAGTTGCATACATATAACATAATCGTTAACTCATACTTGCTCTAACTTGCTATTGAGCACTTTGTCTATGGTTCTTACTCGTTTTAGTCACTATTTCGTAATTTACATTGAAAAAAGACATGTTAGAGCATATAAGCATTATTATTTTTATTTCATTGCAGGAAAGTATTATATTAAACTGGGTCTAAGAGATGCCACAAGTTCTGAATCAATTAAAACCCCAGTTGATGTGACAAAATGGTTTAAAGAGGGCAATAAAGTTACGGCTAAGCATGTGACTAATTTTACGAAATCATTGTTCGACGGTAAAGTGAGATTGAAAAATAATGTATTCATTATTTATTTATAATGTAGCTTTAATATACTCCATAAGTCAAGTATTGCACACTTCGTTTTCGTCGTCCAAAGATTTATTTTGTTTTAAATTCGATTATTTAATGTGAATTGCACTTTTCGTAGTTATGCAAAATATGAGTATTATAAGGTAAAATGATTTCTGTTCTCTCTTTTTTACTTCTAAATGAGTCTTTATGACAATTCATATTTTCTTTCTTTTCCTATGCATCATTTAGGTGTTGATTTTAAATCCTGGCAAACTGACAGCTGTGTTATAACAGAAACGCCCACTACACATCCTTATATAGACATGATTCATGATCAGTTGGGCGTGGCTATTGGTGGGAATGGTTTTGCAGCGAAATCGAGCGACGAGATTGGTCGATTGGGCGTCAGCATGATGACAAGCCAATGGGATTCAACAATACCAAGACACGTATTTAAAGTGAAACTCTTACCGACATACTCGAGCGAACATATGGTCCCAACTCTAAAAGGAAAGCTCTAACTGCAAGCAAAAACAGATGAAAAAGATCCGCAAATGACAAGAGCATGATAAAAAAGGGCACGTGCATGTGACTTCATCTGTGCATCTGTGTGGTGAATGTTTTGTACAAAAGTGTTTGTTTTACAAACGAAGGAAATATACAAATTATCAAGAGAACGTGTATTGGTGCATTCTACATATTAGAGGATAATAAATGGTTTTAAAGCTGGTAATTACAATATCAGTCAAATAATTTATCTTCTTGTAATGATGGCAAAGCTTCTTCTAACTCTCTGAAAATGGAATATACCCAGTAGAGTTTTTGTGGACAATTTAAAAATTTGTTATCAAATTATAATTTTATGAATGAGATTATTAACTTACCATACGAAAAATACATTAGGATATACTTCGGTTAAAGCGAATCGAACACGCCCAAAAAATCAGCAGAGCGTAACAAACAAAAGTCTTTACGGGGAAAACCCCCAATACTTCTAATATAGGCAAAAAAGGGCGAAAACCTTAATTAGAAAATACTGGGGGCTTTTGGGTTTGAAAATAGGTATGGAAAAGTTAATAATCTCATTTATAAAATTTAAAATTTGAAAAAAATTTTTTAAAATTTTTAAAATTTAAAGTAATTTATTAAAATTTTAAACCTAACGAAAAATACATTGGGAATGTTTTTAAAAAGGGGAAAATCACTTTCCCTTTAAAGGCTGTGGAAAGTTTTTTCCCTCAAAAATTTTTAAAAAAAATTTTAAAAAAATTAAAACGATCCAAGTGAGCATCTTTATTTTTAAACCTACAAAAATTTTGGGCTTGAATTCAATCATAAAATACACGAATTTGGGGTAATCTCCTTTTGAAAAACCTCTATATACAGGGGGGTATATAAAAATGTACACATGTAATTGTTTCCCAAAAGTCCCAAATAACAAAAAAATTCTAACAATCCACAACACGCCGGAAATATTACTTCGACAATACCTTTGCCAAACCAGTTCTCAAATAAAAATTAGTGAAAGTGGAATCACGGCTCCAGTCAGCTGCTTCCAATATTGATGCCATTGATGCTCCTTTAAATAAAGCCCAAGATGGACCAATTGCACGAGTTGAATGAGCATTAACTTTTAATGTCTTCTTCATAGGCCATCTTAATTGTGTTCACAATCCAATTAGCTATAGTCTGTTTCGATACTGGGTTATGAGGCTCTATGAAAGATAAAAAATAAACTAGTCTGATCATTAGTACCTCTTGATCTAAACTGTTCTGTTCTTCTCAAATATATTGCTATTGCTCTTTTGGGATCTAATTTTTATATTGTTAACAAATGCTTGAACCCAAATTCTACTTCCTGAATGTCCAGGTCTGTCCTGCTTAGACAATCCTTGCCTGAGGAATAAAATGCCATCTTTATGTACAGCAACATTCCCATCACCCAGTTTTAACGATTGTATGTCTGCACACCTTCGGAATGTCGTAATTGCTACAAGAAAAACAGTTTTGTATGATAGAAACTTAAGTGATGTTTTTGTTAATGGTTCAAAAGGATATTTTTGTAAAATCTTTAATACCTTTGAAATGTCCCATTCAGGAGCTAGTTTTTTAACAGGAGCTCTTAGATTAAATATACCCCGTAATAATCTGATAATATATGGGTGCTGACCAACAGGAACATTATCAATAGGAGGTAATACTGCAGACAGCATTGACCTATAACCAGATATTGTTCTATATTGTAAATTATCATCATAGAAAAGAGTGGTAAGAAATTCTGCACAATCTACCATAGAGAGTGAATAGGGATCTTTTTCCCTTTCACTACACCAGCTATTGTATCTCCTAAATTTGCTAATGTAATCTTTCCTTGTGCCAGATCTCCATGATGCGGAGAGTAAATTTATAACCCGTCTAAAAAAAGCCTTTTGCTTTAAACTGTCTGGTGAAAGCAGCCATGCTGTTAGCTTGAAGACCTGAGGATTTGGATGAAATATTTGAGTTTTTGGCTGAACTAACAACTCTTTCATGACTGGTAATTGTATTGGAGGTGCTATTAGATACTGTAGTAATGTTGTGTACCAATGTCTTCTCGGCCACAGAGGTGCAATTAATATTACTTGACAATCCGAGGACTGAGCTATATGTTGAAGTACTTTGGGTATTAGACAAATTGGGGGGTAAGCATATGCTAGCATTCTGTTCCAAGTTATGGTCAAAGCATCCATAGCTAGAGCTTGCTGACATGGGATCCACGAGCAAAATATTGGAACTTTGTGATTGTCTTTGGATGCAAACAGATCTACCATTGGGATTCCCCAAATGCTGAACAGTTTGTTTATTACCTGATTGTTTAGAGTCCATTCTGATGGACGGATTCTTATCCGGGATAAGTGGTCTGCTAAAATGTTCTGACAACCCATAACATAAGCTGCCTTGAGATTGAAATTGTGTTCCATGGCCAGATGCCATAAATCCCATGTTTGGTAACAGATATTTGAGGATTTGGTTCCGCCCTGGCGATTTATAAACTGTACTACTGTGGTGTTGTCTGATCTGATTAGTACACTTTTGTTTTTCAAATGTGGGAGAAAATGGCGAACTGTTCGAATTACAGCTTCCATTTCTAATATGTTGATATGCATTAAAGCCTCTGTTTGTGACCAAATTCCCTGATAAATTTGATTGTTCATATGGCCTCCGTAACCTACTTTCGAAGCGTCCGTCGTTATTGTTAAATCTGTTGACCAATGTTGAAGAGACCTGCCCTTCAACATATTTGGACGGTGTAACCACCACTGTAGGTGATTTACAAGCTGAGGTGTAACAGGAATTTGGTAGGACATATCCCTGGAACCTGCTTTCCAATGAGCCAACAAATGTAACTGAATTGGTCTCATATGTAGTCGAGCAAGAGGAATTAGTTCTATGCACGATGCCATTAGACCTAACACATGAAGGTACTGAAAAGCTTGTATTTGTCTTGTGAATTAAGTATTTAATTGCTAGTACTATTTTTTTTGAATACGGTCTTGTGTAGGGAAAACTAAACCCAAGTTTAGATTGAACAAACTTCCCAGGTAAACAATTAATTTGAGAGGGTATTAGGGATGATTTCTTTACATTTTATGATGAAACCTAGTTGCATTAGAATCAAAAGTGTTTGGTCTCGATCTAAGAGGAGTTGAGACCTTAGTGCATTCACTAGTAACCAGTCGTCCAGGTAAGAGGCCAGACGAATATTTTGCTTCCTTAAATAAGCTGCTATTACTGTTATGACCTTTGTAAATGCTCTTGGTTGCTTGACTGGGGCCGAAGCCACATTGAGGTGAATTGGTAACATTGACCTTTGGAATGCAAAAACGGAAATATTTTTGAAATCTTTGTGCATTGGTATGTGCAGGTATGCATCTTTTCAAAGGTCTAAGCTTACAGGCATGGTCTTTCTTTTTTACTAAATTCAACACCTTTGACAAAGTGATGTCCATCTTGAGTGTTGCTTCACTAAAAACCTGTTTAGCGGTTTTAAATTTATTACAGGCCTCAATTTTCCTGTCTTTTTGGGAACTAGGAAAAAAACTGCTGTAAAAGGCCTTCCCTGGCAAGATGTGGGGGAACTTTTTCTATTGCCCATTTTGTAATAAACTTTGGATACTTCTGCCCAAATTATAATCTTTATTTGAATTTGGAGGTGCAGATGTCTGCTTTATGCCCTGAAAATTTTTTGGTATTTCTATGAAATGCTAGGGTGCATTAACCATTTTCTTATTATTACGCAGACCCCATTTGTCGTTTTGTTATTTTTCCCAATTTTTCTGGAATACGGTTAAAACGAAACCCGGGCCCACGGTAAATGATGAAGCAACAAATTTTGGGATTCCCGGAAAAAATCATTTAAATTGTATTGTTTTGAAAAGGGACAAAAAAAAACTTTTCCCCCTAGTCCTTTTTTTGTGCCCAAAAACCGGTTTTTGGAGCCCCCTTTGGTATTTTGAAATTCCCCTGGGTTTGGTGTGAAAAGTATGTCTTGGTTAGCCCCTTTTCGTCATACCTTAAAGGTCGTTTGGCATTTGAAATATGTAAAATGATAGGGCTGAAACTTTTCCTTTTGTAATTGTAAAATGCTGACAAATACTTTTGGGTTTCTTAAAAAAAAGCTTTTCTGGAAGAAATTCAGATATCTGCTTATTTCCCTTTTCCCGTTTAAGTTTTAAAATTTTTCAACAAAAACCTTTCCCCAAAAACTCCTTCTGCTGTTAGAGGGAGGGAATGTTTAATAGTGTTGGCATAATCCTTTAAATCAACCAGTCCGGTATCATATAATGCTGCTTTGCTGCGTATCAGGTGACTAATAGCTCCAGCACGAGCTATCTGATCCAGTGATTTAGTAGAAACTGCAAAAAGCATCACGTGTCATCTGGATAGCCAAATCAACGTTACAGTCTTTCTTCCGCAAACAATCAAGCAGAGAACCTAAATTTTTTTGTGCAAAACAGCACTGAATCATGCCCATTCTAGATGCCATCTGGCTTTTGAAAAGCTAATCTTTTCAATAGATCTCATAGGTTTGTTTAAATAAAGATGGAGTATGCCAAAAGGCAGCTTTAATGTCCGTATTTCTTGATCAGTAAAGACTCCAATGTATCATCCAACTTTGGAACTTGAAACCAATTCTCGCAAGATTCATGGACAGGAAAATCATGTTTATAACTATCCTTGTAAGATGTTAATTTACCTGGATTTTCACAACGAAAAGATTGAGTAATAATGTCCTTTTGCACATCATCTAAAATAAGCCCTACCTTAGACTTGTCAGATTTAGTTTTGGCATTTTCCCCAAACATGACCAATAAATTTTTGATTAGGTGTTGGGTCACTTTCTGCAGGTAAATATTTGCAAAAACGCTCATTTCTCACTTCATTTTCAACATGTAATGGAGTGGTATCACTAATCATGGAATATCCGTCAGAATCTCTTGACATACTCAACAAGTTTTGCTCCGACTCCCCTGGGTGCAAAGAAAGTACATCATCATGCCTCATTGGTCTGCGAGCAGCCCCTTGGGCCTCGTCTGTGACCTGAGTGTTACTGGGACCTTGACCTAAAGTCAAGGGATTAGCCATATAAGAATCATCGGTGGCAGAATTTGACGTAAGAAACACTTGTCCCTGTATTCTGTCCCGTAGTATCAACGTTAGACGGTAACTGAATGTTACCAAGAAAATTAGTCAACATCCCTGAGAACTGTGACTGAAAACTGGCGAATTTTTCATCAATATTGTCACTGATAAAACTTTCTAACTCGGAAAAGTCCGAATTCTTTTTAGACTTAGGCTGTTTCCCTTTACTAGAAGACGCCTTAGAGTTGGATTTACCTTTCCTTTGCAACTAATAACCGAGTCTGACTCGGAAATAGTATCCTTGTTATTGTTTAAATCCAAATTATTTCCTTCCATCACGAAAGAAAAATTAACAAATCCAAAATAAAATAAAAAGTAAAACCACGTGCTATAAAATACACACGAGTCAAAAAATGGCCGCGTTCGCTTTGACGCCGGAAAAATAACTGAAGCTATTGAGCGTCTATCAAGTAGACTTGTTTGTTACGCTCTGCTGATTTTTTGGGTGTGTTCGATTCGCTTTAACCGGAGTATATCCTAATGTATTTTTCGTATGGTAAGTTAATAATTGAGTGAAATGAAATTGTATTATTCTAAAGAAAAAAATAAATAATGTTTTGGCGTGATAAACATTTTCTAGGTATCATTGGATATTCTTATCTAAAAAGGCACAATCTAGCTTTCATAATGATCAGTTCCGTTATGTTTTACAGTCATGACTTTTCAATATCTTCGGCAGATGCAGTTCATTATAAGTACATTGTAAAGTATTAAGGATCAATTGTTTGGTTATAGACTCTATATTAAAATTAGTCCTCATTTTACTAGTTTTCTGAAGCAAGTCAAAAACTTCTCGTAGGCTTCTTTTCAAAGAAGTTTACTTGAATCCAGTTGACTTCTTTTGAAAAACACTATGATGAACTAAATAAAAGTACAAAATCCATTGGCCATTAAGCCCTCTCTCTCCTCACAAGCGCCTCAACAGTTGTATGACGTTTTAAATAAATAATTTTAATTGAGTTATAAGTATCAATTATAGTTTTCAAGGTTTCAAAATTTAGTGGCTACCGACATGCAAAATGCTACTATTGACATCATAAGAAACCTCTGGCATTTTCAAAATACCACACGTTCATGAACTCGCGTTTACAAATGCAAAAAAAATATCTGCTCAGCGTGCGTTCTATAAGGAAATATTCAAATGATCTTAACAGTTACAACATATCTTTATAGTAACAAATTTCCAATAAAATCTCTCCATAGGAACCCTCAAAGCACGACATATACTTTTATTTGCGTTAATCGTTAAGTGTGTATGTAATACTTTTTACTTTTATGTAAATATTACAAACTTAACGATTAACGCAAATAAAAGCATATGTCGTGCTTTGAGGGTACCCATGTGTTAAAAAATGAGAGGGTACCTGTGATATAAAAATTCAAATGAAGAGAGGTAGTCCGTGCCGCTGCAAAACCGAAAGTAGGGTATTTTTATGAATTTTACATTTATTTTTGACAATCTACTGCCATTTGTCCGAAGATGATATGTATATGAACATATTAAATATGTATGATGCATATATAATCAAGCCACAGGTTCATTTCAGCCCGAAAAATATGTCGAGGTGTTGGGCGAAGCAAGACATGTCGATTTTTTGTAGCTTATTGTGAAGTTGCAGTACATGAAAATCGGGCACATGACAAATCAGCACATAAATAAAACATCCTAGTGTTCCGTGGTATACATAATATATACGTGACATACCTCCTTTCCTTATTACAATGAAATTTTACTGGATTGGTATCCATCGCTGGTTTGTTTTTAGCAGAGAATGACCTGTGCATGTTCAGAGAGGGTACCGTTTCAGCAGATTTCGCAAAGAGGGTACCGATATGGATATGCACCGTGTACATACATATTCGCATCAAATACATCTTGTAACAACAAATCTTACAAACAAAATGCCATAATTTCTATTTGAAGGCCTTTACTTCAGATATTTTTCCAATGCATATCTACAGTTTCCATAAGTTTTGTCGAAATCTAAATTTGTTTTTGGTAACCCACATTCAATCATATTATTTTAGTGCGGACAGGTGAAGACCTGTTAGGGGACAAGGTAACTCTAATTATTTATAGTAATATATACATTCTTAAAGTGTAATAATATTTTTCTCACGCTAGACTTTTGAGAATAAGTTTGAAGGCGGTAACTTAGTGAGAGGAAAATTGCGAATATCAATCATTGTTAGCCATTTGGTACATTGATTTTGATTTCCCATAATGTTACCCTTGAGATAAAAAACGAGTCACTCCCAAAACTCTAAATCTGTTCGTGAATTTATTTACAATCGACAGTCATGCTTTTTTCTCCCGCTACTAAATACCATAGATTAAGTATGTTTACCATAATCCATTCCCAGTCAATGATATACATGTTTTCTCCATGTTTTTCTCCAAACACATTTACATGCCAATGGCATGCCTTGATTATTGTATCATGTTATCCCGTTCCTTAACAGGATTTTACCATTTCTTCCCGCACACCGCCTGCTCTTAGCTGATCAAAATAGAGGGTTTTAAAAATACCACATGGTAACAAAATGGACGACAAAATACCTCATAAAGGGGCGCCTACGGGGCACGCCTTCCGCCATGTTGTGTTTGGGGTTACCTGTATACAGATCTGAAATACTTTTTTTCATGCTCCAAGCTCGAAACCAGCGCGTGGACTGCTACGGGGTAAACAAATTATGGAATACCTCTCTTTAAGGAACATTAACTAGCTCTATTTTTCAGGACGAAGTCTACTTCATGAAAAAAGGAAATGCTAATACTTGTATTATTTACTATAGAATGGCCGATCATGCATGCTTCACCCAATGTGTTGTTAAATCATTGTTGCTGAATCTAATTTTTTCTAAAGTACATTCACGAATCACATATTTTCGTATAAACACTAACTAGTTTCATATTAAGTTCTAAAGGTCTTCAAGATTTGTTTCACAATTTTGAGAATTCGTCAAAGCTGTAGGTACTGCGTTGCAAAATTGTTTGACTATAAACACTATGTCCAAGATATGATTTTCGTATATATCGGATAAAAGTCAACCCGTATATTTCTATATCCTTATTTTTGTTATGCTTTCTTTCTTTAGGAGAAAACATGCTCATGTGTTTATATTCCTTATATCCTACAGTCAAATTCGGTCAAGTGTTTTGGTTTCGATGATAAGTTATGTCAATAATGTCAAACTACTATTCACACTTTATCACTGTACCCTGAACGAGTTTTATGATATGTAGTTACATTACATAACATAACATACCTGTGTAGGGCAAATAAGACACCGACATAAAGTAGTAGTAGACCGCATATGGATGGTGATTTTTTTTCAAAACACATTTTATCTTTTAAAGTGATCAAAAATTGTTTACTGTTTTAACAGTGATAATAAAATTGCAAACAGAAGTGATCGATAGTTCGACCGTGTTACTATTTATTCAAACATTTAAAACTATGGGCTTTACTTTCGGTTTTAAATTCACAATGGACGTATAAAATATTGAATCTTTTTCAATAAACGAACAGTTAAAAATAAATTAAATAATATCATTATCTAAAGTAAATAGTAGATCCAACTGACGGCGTTTATCAATTAATACACCTTCACTGATTAATCTGGATTGATGCAGTCATAAGAAGAGCTCGTGATAAAATTTAAAATTCACGATCAAGATTAACTATGTACGACTTATGTGTAGTTGGAGCTGGTATGATAGGTTCGTCTGCTGCAAGGCATGCAACGGTCACTTCCGGTCTAAGTACGTGCCTTATTGGACCATCGGAACCAAAAGTAAGTTAACATGTGTAGTTACTGTAGTTTATTAGATATGACAGATTAGAAACTGGCGACAATAGTTACTGGACTACAGGTCACTCAACAGTAACCAGTTTCAGTTCGTTTTTGTAGAACAAATCAAGGATGATTCTTTGTAAAGCAAGACTTTATGGCTTAACTGGTTATAGTTCTCTAAGATCACTAGTCTTTTCTGTGGTTAATTTTAGGCACAAGCGGGACAGGTACAGACCAGACCCATTGTTCCTATTTCAGCAAATTGACCGGAACAGTTACTTATGCATTTGAATTTGAAATCTTAAAAGTTAAAACCATAAGTTTTACATCGATGCATAAATATGGAGTTTGACATAAACAAAGTACATTCTAATGACGACAAACCGAAATAATTTGACAATCCATTTTTAAATATATGTCATGAACATTATAGGGAAAACGCTCGGCGCAAAACTTTGAGATCTATGGTTCTTATTTTGACGAGGGACGAATAACGAGATGTCTTGACAAGGATTTTGTATGGTCATCTCTGGCACAGGAATCTATCAAAAGATACCGAGATATAGAAAGACAATCTGGTAAGTGAATTTAAGCACACATTTGTCTAAATATTAGTAAAAAGGCTCTTAGATTTTACACAAAATCAGCAAATACAACACTAATTTATTATTTCAATATTGAGAATAGCTTACGATAATAAAAATCCAAATCGATCTCGTAAATCTCAAGGTAAGTGCACATGTAGTGATACGTGACATGTAATAATTTAACTGCGGTACACTGTATGCCTATATACATGAAGTGGAAAATAAACTATCATGATCTTACCGGTATATAATGATTTATGTACTAGTTTACTGTTAAGTACAGCTATCAGTACAAATATCAGTTGGAATTGTGTTTTGCAAGCTACCTTAATCCAGTCCTTACACTTTGTTCGAAGACTGCACTTGTCACCCCTTGCAAAAATGCGTGAGCACGTTTCATACAGTATCCACTCTCCAAATTATTCCAGTTTATATCTTGATTAGATAAAATGACTAAACAGCTAATTAAGTAAATCACTCCACGTTTTAATACATAAACTTTGATACACTTACATATTAAGTTTATTTCTTTGTTTAGGTATTACGTTCTACCATGAGGTAGGCAATCTGATGATTGGAGGAAAAACTTATTTAAGCAAAACTGATGATGTCGCTTCAAGAAACGCTATTCCAACGGAATTTATCGACAACACATCGCTTCAACATAGATTTCCCTACTTACGATTTACAAATAACACTCACGGTAGTTTTGAAAAACAAAATGCCGGACATATCAACCCAAGAAAAATTGTTCAAGCGCAAAAAGTGATTGCGGCGGAACAAGGATGCACCATTATTGATGACGTCGTCAATCACGTGACAAGAATTGTTCAATCAGATGGCACGTATGCAATGCAGGTGAAAACGGAAGAAGGTCGTACTGTTCTTTGCAAGAAAGTTTTATTGGCCACAGGAGCTTTTACTACTTTCAAAAACCTTATGCCTTATATGAAACCTGAGCAGAAACTATCCCCCATATCTGTGTCGTTGCTAGAAGTGGACACTTCTAGCCTAGAAACTTTGAGGTAAGATATTGTACAGTACAAATCACTATATAGATCAAGTATGTTAAGGGAAAAGCAATAATCAGAATAACCTTATTCTTATTAACAACTTCGGTGGACATGCAATGCATTACTTGATATTTATTAGGACAAAATGACCATCATCCTTTAAAAAAATTCAACTGTCAATATGTGTATAGTTCGATTAATTCAAGTTATTTAAAGAAGATCTAAATTAATCTTACAAATCATGAAATGTATAAACTGATGATGCATTCCGTGAATAGGAAATGAATGGTGACTTACGAATATATGATAGATTTACTTTAGTAACATATTGTTTCAGGATATGAACAAATAAATAAGCATATAAATATACATATACTTTAAAATGTTTAAGGGATATGCCATGTGTTATCTACTATGGCAGTGCAAATGCTGACTGGGAAATACCGTCATCACAAATGAGGGAAAATGAGGTGTCATTCTACTTGTTACCTCCAATTAAATATCCGGACGGTAAGATGTTAACCTTGCAGAAGTTTTTATGACCATTCAGTTGATTTTCAAGACAATCGGATTTATGTACAATGTAAATAAAAAAATACATTTTATCCAAAATTAAGACTGACTTTTCACATATCTTGTCTTCATTTTTCTTGGATTACAAATTGATGATAAACATTGGTTTTTTTTCCCTGTTTATTCACTAAGATTTATCTCACTGACGCAGTAAGGTTATGTGGTCGCTTTTCAACTTACTAATGAATAATAAAAGAATGTATCAGTTGCCCTTGCTGCATACTTTCAGTCAAAACATATCAACCACTAATCAATTTTTTTCAGGGTAGAATTAATGATATTCTATTCAACGCTTTAAGATTGTCTGTGTACAAAGATTATCAAAAGAAATTTGCATATAAATAAATATCGGCACATTCACGTACGTATTATAAGAAACACTAATGCTTAATTTTTTGTGTGGTCTATATATATATATATAGGTCGTTACTATATAAAACTTGGACTCTTTAATGCCGTAACTGCCACCATGACGTCATTAGGTGATGTTAAACAATGGTTTGATAATGGAGACACCAAATATGCTGAAAAAGTAACCAAATTTACAGAGTCTTTGTTCAAAGGTAGTAAATTGCATTTATTATAACCATTTGCATTATTGTTTCTTTATTTATTTTGTTAAGTATGGTGTATCAAAATATTTTGATAGGTCTTCTTGAAAACCTGTACATTATCGAAAGTATTGACGAAATAAGTAGGTTCTTTTAGCATTGATAAATGCGTTTGAATCTCTTAAAACATTTCATTCATGGACAAAGAGAACTCGCGAAATATGAAGTCGTGCGCATGATCCCATACATCATGTAATCCGACTTTTTGTAGAGAACACATGGGATTGTAAAATAAAATTCATATTAGGAGAAAAGTAGGAAGGATTAAAATCATATGAAGAATAAGTAAGGGAGTGTAAACAGTTTTCAAAATAATAATTGTCGAGATCTTGCATATATATGCATAGGTGTACATAGTCATAATTTATTTATTCCTCCTTTTTTCACACTTTCAGGGGTAAATTTCAATTCCTGGTACAGAGACAGCTGCGTCATAACAGAAACGCCCACCGAACGCCCATATATAGACATGTTGCACGCCCAACTAGGCGTAGCTATCGGCGGGAACGGTTATGCAGCGAAATCAAGTGACGAGATTGGTCGATTGGCTGCCGACATGATAAATGGTCAATGGAACTCAAAATTGCCAAGAGAACTGTTCAAACTTAGAACATTATCAAAATATGATGAGTCTACTTTTACAAGTCTTTTGGGCAAGCTTTAACTAGTCATGAAATACTGATATACATGTAAATAGTATTATATAACGTAAAATTGGGATACATTTAGAGCAACAGGAAATGGCTAAATCGTCTGGGTTTCAAATGGCTAATAAGATTTGGTGCAGACCAGTTTAAGCCAACAAAAGTTATTTAAATAGTTTGTTTGAATAACCAATCAATGTAATTGGTTTAAATAACTTTGCATTTTTGAGATCATTGACAGAGTTCGACTTGCAAATACCAATTATTCCCAAATACCAATTATTCGTAACAACAAGAGACTTATAAATATATATACACATACCCTGCTATAATTGTCAAAAATATTTATAATTAGGAAATAGAGATATCAATTTTGAGGAATATAATTATTCTAACATGTTTATAAGAAAGAGAGTTGATAAAGATATTTTGAAAACATTCAGCATAATGATGAAATTTTTCCTATTTAACGTCATTTGGTCAATTCATGTCAAATGTTCTGTGAGCATCCGTTTATAATGCCTTGCTTATACATGTAGATCATGTAATAATACACTTGAATGTCCTACTTGTAGTGTGGATCGTGTTATAATTGTGATTTTTAAGGGGCATGCCAATAAATAAACTGAATATTCATTTGCTCACAGTATTGTTTTATTGTTAGTATCCACATGGAGCTAATATATTGTATGTATATCTGTGAGTATGCATGTGTATAAAATCATTTTAAAAAGACTTTATTGCTTGTACAATCTGCTGATACCGCGTTTCCAGAATTCATGCTATTTTGCTTGCTAGCGTCACCTGTAAACAAGCAATGCCACCCCATTTAAATTGGGAAACTGACTAAAGAATTTGTCCCACATTTTTTATCAACATAAATTATGTTTCCTAAAAAGCATTCATAGCTATGCAATTCTAAGGAAATAGACATTATGTTGAAAAAAGGTACAACTGTTTATCACAAAATATCGCTTATGTATATATCAAATCATTGTTTTAATTAGTAACAGTATTGACTACATTTTCTTGTAAAATTAAAACAAGGTGTAACCCTCAATAAGCCTCCTATCCACACATATGTACAAAGTTTCATAAATATAAGTAGAAGTTTATTTTTTCCAACTGATGTTGAATATATTATCCTTTTAACTGTTTCACTATTTTCGTCATCATAGCACTTTTTTGTAAAATTTGAAAAAGGAAACTAATATTCATAATGTCCACAAAGTCCTCCATCCACATACCAAGTTTTGTCAACACAGCATAAGCACTTTTAGGGTTATCACAGCAATCCCGCAAGTCTTATTTACCATTTCTTTGGTCATTTTTTATTAAACAAATAAATAAAATGTCGTGTATACTATCCGTCGCTAACTATTGATTTTGCCATTTCCGTAACCATATACAAACCACATTTTTCTCCAGTAAAAATAATAAAATGTTATCAACCCATCTTGTGTTTTAGGTAAAGCAGCTAGGTTACAAATTCGTACCATATGTATCATCCAAATAGCTGATATTATTTTGAGCTATTTCAGATTTCTTTGAACGGACGGAAAGACGGACGGTAGAACGGAGTGTAAACCGCGCTGGTAAAACCGGTAACGATCTTAAACAGTATTTTGTGATATCAAAAGTATCTATGATACAATCCAGATGTTGCGTGAACCACCTTCGAATAGATCTACTATAATAATTATTGATAGATAAAAATATGAAAGTATAGGCCCCACACTGTACTGTTACCCTGGCTCATGGCTCAATCACACGAACAGAATGATGTCAGTTGTTGGTAAGAGCACCGCTAAGTAGTATCCCATGGGTTTAGTATTTACCCCTATAACAGTGTCGATTTTTCGTCAATCGTATATTATTATTGTAATAGATGGCTGTCACTTTCTGACGTCATATCCATTTTTGTATTTTTCTAACCCTCGCTCAAGTGCATCGAAATCTACACGATGTTTAAACAGAAATTCTTCATAAATGTAAAACACCGGAATATCATACTTGTACATCTCGTACCATTTCTCATTCTCTGGTAGTTCAATGTCTACTTCCTTCAGAACAAACTGAAAGTATATAAAACAATTGTACAAAAAAATTATATGGCAGTTTACATACATGTACTGTGACATGTGTATGGCATGATTGCTTTACTTAGATATGATAAGATATATATCAAATATCCTATTTTAGTTACCTGCTTTACACTAAGTTAATTAGTTTTTATTTAAGGAGCATTTTAAGTTCAACAATTAAGAACCCAGGGACGCTCTCGACTGGTCGCTTCCTTTGGAATTTTCACTTGCTAAAATTTCACTTGATAAAAACAAAGATGTACAAAGTGAAATGGGACTGATATTAAGCGAACGGATTTAATAAACGCTGACAAAGTTTCCATTGCTGGTGCCATCATTTTAAATTCATGTAATATTCGTTTGCAGTTGAACTATACCTTCTCATTTAAAATGCCCCAAATCTATTTGCTCTTTGATAAATCTGATTGATACCATTTGATGCCCATGCAATGTTTAAGGCAACATTTATGAATATCTCAATGCAATCAAAGGGTTTGCTTGGTTCCAGGAATGATCGAAACTGAGTAGGATAAGGTGCAAAAAACTGTTTTCACAATCAACTGAAATATGTTTGAACTCTTTAAATAATATTAGGAAGTTTATAATAATAATAATAATAATAATAATGATAATAATAATGGTTTAAATACGCATTCTATCCTTACCCTGTGCATGTGGGGTTTCAATGCCTCTACGGCAATGTCACACAGGGTGCATCCTTCTTTTGTAAACAAGTAAATAATTGGCAGTTTGTTCTCAGTAGACAATTCTCGAAATCCACACACAGTCTTCGATACCCTCTTGCTCGAAATAAGTTGCCTGCTAAATTCATGTACGTTATTAACGTCTCTACGGTGACTTATTATCCCATGTTCCATGGCAAAGTGGGAAAAATTCGGAGCACTTCGGCGATAGCTTGTAATTGACGTTTTCCAGAGTAAGCCATTTATAGCCGGAATATATCGACTGAAGCTGCGTACCTGACAACTTGTAGAAAACGACCCAGTAGTGAAACCATTTAACAGTTGTCGAAGCATAGCTTATAATCTGAAAAGTAAGATAAAAAGTCAGATCTACATTGACACAAAAACATCACATTCACATTTAAGGGTTCAGAAATCTCTTAAAGTCGGATATGAAGTGTTGTAAAACATGACAATGACATATAAAAATGGTTCGTTATAGTTTCATATGATGTTTTGATTGAACAGTTATTACAAATAATAATATAATTTTATCATATTTATATGCACAATACAAAAATCATTCATTTCGAATAAATTGCCGTTTATAGTCGGGTAAATTTCACAAAACTCAGCGGTCAGGTCTCTGTCGACTTACACTTGATGTCTTACACTTGGTGATTTCGAGATTGCATATCTTCTTATAACTTGAAATGATTGTAATGACAGCTTTATTTCCTTTTAAAGTAATCATTTCCCTGCCATTTGGTACCAAGAATTTGAAAATTGGTGGAAGAATGTTGGAGTTATGGACTTCATATTAAGATGAGTACTAAAAATGAGCGGCGAGTTGCATAACTTGCGTATAACTTACATGTAACTTACTATATATGAATGATTTTTTTTTATTGATTTTTTTTGTGGGGAACGATCTGAATTAAAAGCATTAATTATACTAAATATTAAATCATGATTCAAATGAAAAAGACGGCAGTTTACATGGTTTTGGGAGGTAGGAGAGTTGTAGAGTGGGTGGTGGGCGGGGGTCGTGACCAATCAACGCACCGAACACCTGTGGTATAAATTGGTGCAAATAACTGTTGGGAAAAATTGGAGTTAATTGGTGCAAATAAGTTAAAATTGTTGCAAATAATTTTAACATTTTTACTGGCTTAGACAGATTTACTTCGGTATATAATACATATACATGACATTTAAAACAACATATACATTTTAAACATACATGAGAATAAATTAGCCATGACATGCACACCAGCATCAATGATAGCACAAAAAAGGAGAGACTCTTATTTCAATTGTGGTCCCCTGTGCTAATGGCATGACATAGAGAACCTTTATCCAGTATCACAGTCAGATTTCAATTATTTTGACACATATAGACTAGAGGTAGAGCATTTGAATCACATTGTTCAATTTAAAACAGACTATATAAAATATGAGGTAAATGATACATTAATAAGCATTAAATCATTTACTTTAAGACAAACTTCAAGAAAATTATAATATTATTCAATAACAAAAATTCATTATATCACAGTCACAAACTAAAACCTATTCCTAGAACATAAGTTGCAGGATACCAAGATGCAACTATAAAAAGTAGGAATGAGAATTTAAAAATGAGTATTACTTAGACTAAAATACAGATGAATTCACACTAAAGGTTACACAAAGTGCACAAGAGCTAAATCCTGTCCTATATCGAAACACCTAGATGTAATTTATAAAACATATATAAAAATCATTGACACATTATAAGCTGTCCTTCAGGTACTTAATTTTTAATAGATACTTTGAAAGAATGTAACCTGGCAAACTGTTCCACAAAAAAACCTTTGACCTTAGGGATTGGTTGGTTTAACATATTTATTTAAGCTTGATTGCCAAACAAGTTCATGCAAATCACTTTCGGAACCAACCAGTACTAGTGACATATGAAGAAACATGGTCGTGTTGTTACTTAACATGGTCCTGTAAGAGTGAACAGTGTCCTGTGGGATGAAATTCTCTTCCATGTAATCTGGAGCAAGACAACGTTTTACTTTAAATACACGACAAAGGATGATCTGATCTCCATGTTTATTGACTGAGTGCACTGATTGGCTGGTGGATAATAAGTTACCAGTGAGTGAGCGAAAATGATTTGGACAAATATGTGACCTTGCATCAAAGATCAAGTACAAACCTAATCATCTTATTCTGTGTCACTTGAAGTTTATTTTTAAGGAACTGGGACATGCCGGGATACCATATTGAACAGTAAGGACATAACTAGTAGTTTCTTAGTAATAGCGAGCTCGACGAGCTGGCCCGAAGGGCCTGCTCGCAAAGCGAGCTTTACGGTAACGCGAGTACCTGCTAAGTGATGGTTTTTTGAAAACTTTCGTCCAAAGTACCGAATTGGACACATCGCAACCTTTCGAATTTAAAGATAACGATAAAATCTGAGGAATTCTGACTGAAAACGGATGTCTAGACTGGTCACCCGCGCACGTCATATGGGAACTATAATTGGACAGGGAACCAGAAATAACGAAGCTGTCTGTAAAAAAATATCGAATGATAAAATGAAAATCGAAGGCGCCATTTTGTTTGAAATCTGATAAATAAAAAACATTTTTTTGTCGAATTTTGTTGTGAAAACTATCTAGAATGATAGAAAATGGTCTAACTAAGAAAATTCAATCCGAACACCCAATATCTTTAATCAGTCATTAACGCTGTACAGACGTTTTAAAGTATTGTTTACGTGACGTCACAATTAACGCCAAACAGCACGTGCAAAACAAACAAATCAAGTACGCTATTTTAATGTCGCAAACGTTTTAAGTTTTACATTTATTTCACTTTAAATAATCTTTATTTCGTTTGAAAAAATATAGAGTGAAATAAAATAAACAAAAAAATATAGAGTGAAATAAAATAAACAAAGTTTTATCAACGTTTGCAAAACTCGTTATTCATTTCACGACAGGGGCGGAGCCATATTTAACACATTACGTGTGACGTCACACGCACTCGTCACTGCATTTGAAATAAAATTGAGCGTTTTTTCATACAATTTCACGTAAAAAGTACATCGAGCTCGCTTTGAGGCTTTGCCTTTTTCATATTAGCGAGCTCGACGAGCTGGCCCGAAGGGCCTGCTCGCAAAGCGAGCTTTACGGTAACGCGAGTACCTGCTAAGTGAATGGTTTTGAAAACTTTCGTCCAAAGTACCTAATTGGACCCATCGCAACCTTTCGAATTTAAAAAGATAACGTAAAACTGAGGAATTCTGATCTGAAAAACGGAAGTGGGTAGACTGGTCACACGCGCACGTCTATGGGAACCATAATTGGACAAGGAACCAGAATAACGGAAGCTGTGTATAAAAAAAAGCCTGAAAGGATTTTAGCTCAATACAGGATTGGAGCAGTACCTCTAGACGGCTTGCAGAAATCATGAGCACAAATTAGACAAATATCGTTTTTTTTTCGCCGAATTTTTACATTTTTCCTTATATTATCGTACTTGATGTTCGGCGTGAAAAGATGAATTAGACCTGTTTAAAGTTCATTCCGTTTGGGTAAAAAAGACAAGAATTTAGCCATTTATCATTCAAGCGCCTGACCGGTATATACCGGAATACGGCATTTAGTGTGTGCTCCAATCCTTTTTTTAGTCACAGCCAAAATGAAATCGACAAAACTACCTCACACGGTTACGTCACCTTGCTGCTACTTTAACCACGCCACCACTGAAATCACGTTGATGATAGTCTGTCATCATGTGACAGGAAACATGGCAGGCCAGTTTTCAGAACGCCAAGGATCCCCATATCAAACTGGCAGATATAATTTACATCCTTACCAGACAAAATAAAGTTCAAGACACACAATTTGTTTATCACTTTAAACAAGCTTCCCGGATCAAATCTTTTGTGCAATCGTTCAATAACTGTTTATATTCTGTCCTCATTGTTTACTATGCATACGGTGTCACAGTGAAAATTATCTTTTCGTTACTGTTTACAAAATAATTTATATACGTATAATTTTTTTACTTTCTTGTACATTAAGCATAACTATTTAACGAAAAGAAGACTAAAATGATATAAAGTATTCTATTTTAAAATTAAAAGTGAAAAAAATATATCCGGCTATATTCGACCGAATTTACTTGTGGTGGCAGTGGTTACTGTACAGATCAGGGGAAGTAACCGCTGCGAGGAGTTTGGAAAATCGAAGGCGCCATTTTGTTTGAAATCTGATAAATAAAAACAATTTTTTGTCGAATTTTGTTGTGAAAACTATCTAGAATGATAGAAATGGTCTAACTAAGAAATGAATCCGAACACAATATCTTTTATTCAGTCGTTAACGCTGTACAGACGTTTAAAATATTGTTTACATGACGTCACAATGTAGCGCCAAACAGCACGTGCAAAACAAACAAATCAAGTACGCTATTTTAATGTCGCAAACGTGTTAAGTTTTACATTTATTTCACTTACAATAATCTTTATTTCGCTTGAAAAAATATAGAGTGAAATAAAATAAACAAAGTTTTATCAACAATTTCAAAACTCGTAATTCATTTCACGACAGGGACGGGGCCATATTTAACACAGTGTGTGTCACACGCACTCGTCACTGCATTTGAGATTATTTCATACTATTTCACGTAAAAAAGTACATCGAGCTCGCTTTGAGGCTTTGCCTTTTTCATATTAGTATGTTAAGTTTCAATAACTTATTATCCACCAGCCAATCAGTGCAGTGCCGAGTGGCTTACAAGATGCAAACCAAACAAATATGTGACTATTATCAAATCATAACAACTTTCTGAACCTAATTTTTTATTAATTAACAAAATTTTAATGCACAATATAGTAATTAAGTAGATCTAATTAATGTTCACTTTACCTGACCCTGACAATGACAACAAACCAAAAGTGAAAGTAGCAGGTGCGCGAGTGTAAGATTAATCTCCCTTATATCCGCAGCAACGCATTGTCCAATCAAATATCACAAAAATGCTCTTCCTGTCAACAAGCGAATATAGTATTCATACGACAACAGAAATAGTGCATAATATATTACTTGCACAATCTTTAAAGATGATATGACACCCATTGCCTTTGCTTTTTTTGCTTAAAATGAATTTACTTTGACGGAATCCTAATTTTCTTACAGAATATTCTTCATTAAATTAAAACAAAAATTGTAAATAAACAGTGTTATCCGGTCAACGCCATCTTTAAACAACATGGCGGATCAACGTCGATGTTAGGACACTTACATTTACAATTTAGGTTTAATCTGTTTAAGAAAGATTCTGAGATTGTATGAGCTTAGGATATTTAACGATTTTTGACGTAAGGTAAGTTCTTGTCAAAATTTTGGAAGAATTTTTGCAAAAAATGCCAAAATTAAAATTTCTTTTGAGCTTTCGTGTTTGTTCATTAATTCATGTTATGACTGAGTAAACTTGTTGAAACTTTTGGTTTCAGCCGCTGATTTGAGTTAATTGGCTACAGTAAACATTTGTTCTTTGTATGTAAACGTGAAATGATCTGATAGTACGCAGCAATATTAATGATGGAGAAAAGCACAGAAGTGCTTACAATACTCCAAGGAAACAGTAAACAGTAAAGTAAACAGTAAAGATTCATGCAAAATGAAATGTCATTTTCCTAAACTAACAGGTTAAACTTCAAAATATTCACAGGTAGATTTTATTAAGGAGTTGAGGGCCGTTATTGAGTTATCTATCTTCCATTGATGTCAAACCCGTCGCAGGCAGGTAGACATGACTCTAGACTAGTCACTATCGAGAAAACTATGTGATACAAGGGAATCTCAGCAGGTAACCAGTATGCCTTGCTCTCATATTTTCGGGGGTTCTCATATTTTGATAATTTTCGTGGCATCATTTCCGGTCGTGAATGACAGCTCGTGCATTTGATTGGACTCTCCAAAAAGCAGTCAAGTTTTCGCTGACACTTATTTCTATCAATTACTACCGTTAAATAAATGTTGAATGTCAAAAGATTTTCGTGTTCTGTATCAATATCATTTAAATTATAATTATTTCTTTTATCATTTGTATAAGTTATTTTCAACTACACCGCAACAAAAAGAACCTGAAAATGTATCTTCGCCTTAAATTCATCACCGCGACTTATGCCTAGCTTAAACCAATGTCCCGAAATATTTTGAGTGCGGTATAGAATTTGAGCTATGCATCGTAACTACTGAAAAGAGGCCATCCAATCAAAATCCCCGAAAATATGAGACAGCTTCCGAGCAACACAGACTACCGATAGTGAAAGCAGAAAGATTAGGATTTATTATTGAAATAGTTTATTTTCATATTTTAAACGTTCCTTTTTTGTTTGTCATAGTTTTAATTTACTGTTAATGTTTTTTGTCTTCCACTTACTATTAATTTAAAAACGGTGGCTTAAATTTAAAACGTTAACCCCCAGAAAATACGGGTCAACGGCATACCTAGGTCTTATTGAATAGACCCCTTGGTTGAGGTTCTTTTACGTGCCCAGTGTATAGCACTGATACATGCGAGGATTGCCTGGATTTCTGACAGTTTTCGAAATTAGCAGTAGTCCTATAGGCCATGACTACTAAATTTCTCCACAGGCTACCAACTTTTCAAAGTAACAAGCCCGGCCAGGCTACTATATTTTCAGAGGCAATATAAACAATTGTTTTGAACAAATGAATTGTGCTATTGAAATGTCTTTTGGGCTAGTGAATATTCCAATCTGGTAGTCCAACCAGCCTAGTGATTTCAAATCCAAATTTCTTACACTGTCTTACCAGTATACCTCTAGTAAAATAGGTCACGGGGAAACACTGAAAGTGTCTCTGAATAATCCCAAAGTTGTTACCCAGGATCGAACCTGGGACCTCAGGAGTGACAGCGTTAATTGTGGTCTAACCAACTGAGCTATCGTGCCTCCTATTTGCTGTGTCTCAGTCAGTAACCTTCATTCAATCTAATTAGAATTCCATTCATTTCCCAACATGATTTTCAAATGTGGTGAAGTATGTGTAGATGCATTGCTGTTAATATGAAATTAGGTGCTACCTATTGGGTGGAACTTTAGTTCTTATGATTTATGATTCAAGCATTATTAAACATGTTTAGTATTCAAATGGAGCTAAATATTGATGGAGAAGAAACTGTGACATCGCACAGTTAAATTCAGTATCGGCAGAATTGTATTAGTTGTACATTTGTACACATTTTAGCCTGTCTTTGTATTTTTTCCAGAAAAAGCTGAACAGTTTAAATAAGATTTATTTTAAAGATTGTAACACCTTGAATGCTAGCATATTTTCTCAAGTTAGCAAATTTTACAATAATATTTTTTTCCCAAATTTAAAATTATGATGATTTAAATGTGAATAATGAACTTAAATCATTTATATTAATTTGAAGTGTGTATCCCCCCCCCCCCCCAATTTATAGCTGGGCTGCTTCCCCACAACCTGTGAAAAAAAGTCCTGATTGGCTCAGTTTGTAATTTATGAAATTGGTTTGTCTGCATATGACTTAGACTGAGCAATCCCTTTAACAAAACATTCATGTACACCAAATTAATTTTGAAGTTCACTAATTATTCATTGACTTTGAATGTTAAAATATTAAATTTGCTTGGTTTTTGTAAGATTGGCTAAAACATTGTTATTTATATTATAAATGTATTGTCTTCATTATACTGAGTCACAACTTCCTTAAGGATAAAGTCTTTAAGAAGGTCAAATTTAGTTTCACCTTGACTCGTAATTATTAAATTGAACTTAACAAAAGAACACTTAAAACAAAGTACATGTTAAATAATTCAGATATAATTTTGACCTCTAAATGACCTTTACTTTCAAGGTACGAATATTGAATTTAGCTAAGGTTGTCAAAACTTACACTGAGGCAGGCGAACTTTATACATTACTATACATTACTATGATACAGACAAACTAAGAACTCAAATCATTCTTTCATTCATTGGCATAATTGAATGGCCAATGGCACTTCAGAATGTTGCTGGGGTTCTAACCGGTTGGGCACTTATGGATTGCCAACAATATTTATAATGATTATTGCTTATTTGATATGGAATTTTGATTTGTATAAAGTATTTAGTCTTAATTGATAATAATAAGGTTTGTTTTTATTGTAAGATCATGTGGTGCAAAAGCTGCAACATTTAATTATGTATGAAATAATATTTGATATTCATATCTCATGAACTATTTAGATAATACACTACAGTGACTGGTTCTGTTTATTTTAGAAGTTTAAAGTGGCGTACGTACATGTTTCATGTTCATATCTTGAAAGTAAATAATGACTCTAAAATGATAATGAATCATCAAAATAAATATCCTAGACTTTTTCCTTTGACATTGGTAGATTTGTTTGATAATTCTGTGAAATGTGGTTCAAACTACATGTAGATATTGTGACTATAAAAATTTTAACACTGAATTGTTCTATCTAAATTAGAAGGTTCATTGTGTTTTAAACTGACCCATGGCATTAAGTTGGGTATTATGTAAAAATCAGTGAGCAATAAGTATGAAAGATTACCAAAAGTTAGTTTGTTGCTCATAACATTCATTAAGGGAATTTACCTGGCTTAACTTTGTTATTATTTATAATGAAGCCACTATAAGTCCATTTTTAATTATGATATAAATTTATATTTCAGCAAGGTTTATTTTTGTTATTTTGTGTAGAAAAATCATTTAGATATTATAATATAAACAGCTGGCAGCATTAGAACTGTTTTAATAGTCATCTATTATGATCTCCTTTGTATATATCTCCATAAAAGGCATAACATGTTGAATAGTTCTAATGGATTTGCGAACCTGCCAAATTACAAACTATTGATCAGTGGTTAGTTTATGAGGAATTATAGCCGTCTTTGTGGCGAGTTATCTATTGTAGGTCAAGAATACCTTGCCAGTTTTATCAGTCTTATTACTTATTAAGAATATCAATGGAATTAGATTTTTGAACGTTTGTGTCATTTTTTTTTCATAAATTAATACATCAAAAAGAATTGGAATATCATTATCGTCAGAATAAGTTTTGAAAATTCAATTTTTATTTTTTTTTTGTTTTGCTTCCATAATAAGAGATAATCGATTATTGTGATATTAATGTAAAGCAATTTTTTCTATTGTTTGTGTGTTTGACTTTTAATGCAGTTGGAGCAACCATAATATGTGCACCTTCATTTGTGCTGTAAGATATAAATCAGTTATCTAAGTGTACCACAGTGATAACCTAATGTTTACAGACACTGTAGAGAATGATTATATATGAAGTGATACTATGTAAAATCTGAGGATATTTACTTTAAACTTGTTGCTACTCAGACTGGTTTAAAGAAACTAAAGTATGATATTTATGTGATAAAATCAGAATATATTAAATGGTATACATTTTTATTAGCTCACCTGAGCACGAAGTGCTCAAAGGTGAGCTTTTGTCATCACTCTGCGTGCGTCGTGCGTCCTTCAAAAAATGGCGTCAAACTTTTCAAACAACATCTCCTCCTAAACTACATGGCCAATTGCAACCAAACTTTACAGAAATGATCCTTAGGTGGACCCCTTTCAAAGTTGTTCAAAAATTTAAATTCCATTAAAAACTCTGGTTGCCATGGCAACCATTAAGAAAAACTTAAAAAATCTTCTTCTAAAAAACCGTAAGAGCTAGAGCTTAGATATTTGGCATGAAACATCTTCTAATGAGTGCCTACCAAGTTTGTTCAAATCAAAGCCCTAGGGTCAAAATTGGCCCCGCCCCAGGGGGTCATTGATTTTCCCTATATGCATATAGTAAAAACTTAAAAAATCTTCTTTTAAAGAACTCAAAGAGCTAGAGCTAAGATATTTAGCATGAAACATGTTCTAATGGGTGTCTACCAAGTTTGTTCAAATCAAAGCCCTAGGGTCAAAATTGGCCCCGCCCCGGGGGTCATTGATTTTCCTTATATGTGTATAGCAAAAACTTAAAAAATCTTCTTTAAAAAAACCCAAATAGCTGGAGTTTAGCTATTAAGCATGAAACATCTTCTAGTGAGTGTCTACAAAGTTTGTTCAAATCAAAGCCCTGGGGTCAAAATTGGCCCCGCCCCGGGGGTCATTGATTTTCCTTATATGACTGTGTATAGCAAAAACTTAAAAATCTTCATTGAAAAAACCCAGATAGCTAGTGTTTAGATATAAAGCATGAAACATCTTCTAGTGAGTGTCTACCAAGTTTGTTCAAATAAAAGCCCTAGGGTCAAAATTGGCCCCGCCCCAGGGTGTCTTTGATTTTCCCTATATGCATATAGTTAAAACTTAAAAAATCTTCTTTTAAAGAACCCAAAGAGCTAGAGCTAAGATATTTAGCATGAAACATCTTCTAATGAGTGTCTACAAAGTTTGTTCAAATAAAAGCCCTAGGGTCAAAATTGGCCCCGCCCCAGGGGGTCATTGATTTTCCCTATGTGCATATAGTAAAAACTTAAAAAATCTTCTTTAAAAGAACTCAAAGAGCTAGAGCTAAGATATTTAGCATGAAACATGTTCTCATGGGTTTCTACCAAGTTTGTTCAAATAAAAGCCCTGGGGTCAAAATTGGCCCCGCCCCAGGGGGTCATTCATTAGCTCGACTTTTTTTTTAGATATATACATATTATATATATACACATATATATTTAATATTGATATATATATATATATATATATAAATATATATATATATATATATATATATATATATATAGATATATATATATATACATATATATATAAACATATTATGATATATATATATATATATATTATATATATACACATATATATTTAATATTTATATATATATATATATATATAATTATAAATAAATATATATATATATAAATGTACATATATATATATATATATATATAGATATATATATATACATATATATATACATATTATGATATATATATATATATATATATATATATATATATATATATATATATATATATATATATATATATATATATATATATATATATATATATAAATATATATATATATATACATGCATACATATACAACCAAGTTTGTTCAAATAAAAGCCCTGGGTTTAAAACTGGCCCCGCTCCAGGGGCCTATATACAGGTGAGCGACTTTGGGCCATCATGGCCCTCTTGTTTTATTTCAAATAGTCTACTCTATTATGAGACAGTTATATCATATGAAACTTACATTTAAGTAGCCTTGAAATATAAAATTTGATTAAATTGTATTGAATTTGAAACACAATAATTATTTGTTTTACACAAATAAGAAAATGAAACAACAGACTTGGAATCCATTTATTGTACAGTAGTAAATGGCATTTAAACGTTCAATGGAGTATGGCTGGCTTTAATGTTTTTCCCCCACCCTATATGTGACAGTTTTTGAAAGTATATAAATGATATCCCTATTTTAATTCTGAAGCATACAAGCAAACTTATATTATATATTTGACACTTTCTATGTGAAATTGAAAGTTGTCATTCTTAAAATAGTTTCAAACTCATTGCATTTATTTAGAATGTCCTGACTTGATAGTTCTGATATTTCTAGTACTGTAAAGTACTATTATGTGGCATTTAAAGTTTTACATGAACATAATTTTGAAGAACAATTATTTTTTGAATTATAAACTTCTGTATGTGGTATGTGCAGAGAAAAAGTATAGTCAGACAAATGTTTGAGGTCAGTAAGGTGATTATCAATTTAAAGGTGAAAGATTAATGATTTTAATTTCACATTTTATAGGCTAAATTTTCTTTTTATATCCCTGAATGTTATTAGTGGTATCATATTTTCTGTGTAAACATTGTATATTTGTCATATACTTCAAAATAACTCGGCCAATATTGACTTGGTACATAATGTAAAAGAACGCTTGAATGGGATATCATTTGATGTTACTTCTAAAGATGAAATAAATGCATTGAATGTTTGAAAAGCTTGTTATTAGAATAAAAAAAAAGAGTTAATATAGATGACTTTTCATTCCCAAAAGTGGAATATATCAATAAGTGATAATTATATGGATGTTGGTTAAGGGCATATATACATGTATAAGAGTGCTTTTACATTGTAAATAAAATTTAAATGCCTTTTAGAATTAGATGGCGAGCTTTTGTTAAGATTTTATTTGTAAAAAACTATTTGACTGTAAGTTAACAGTCTTTAAGCTGGTGAATTAACTACATAATAAGTTATATTGGTAAATGCAGCACTCAAAGGGTTAACTGAAACAAATTTTAAATGTGGACAGTGCATTGAGCACATAAACTTTCAGAATTGTACTTTTAAGTTTGTTTAATTATGAACTTTTAGCTTGTGTATTGAAATGGTATAGAATAAAAATGTAAATGATGATATTAAGTTAGAGTGTCAATGAGAATCATGGTAGCCAATTTGTTTTAAACATTTTGTGTCATTTGTTATTTTTCAGGTCTGACCTTTTTAACAATTCAATAGTGGAAGAAAAGACAAAAGAGAATTTAAGAATGTCACAGACTTACATACAGCCAGATTCCTGACATCTACTTCAAACAAAATTCTTGCAGCTAGTTTAATATTTATCACCAAAAAAAAAAAGAGAAAAAAGTCTGAAACACTCAAAATGATGATGTTGTAAAGGAGACATGATTACATGATCAAATAAAAAGGGTTAGTGGGAAAGATCATAAAATGGATTCCGATGGAATTTACGAGGAAACATACGAAGATGAATACGCTGATGATGAGATGCCGGATGATAATGAAGATGCCGTCGTGTTAAGCGATAGTTCAGACTCGGAGGAAAGCGAACCAGAAGACTCGGGATTTAGTAACAATGAAAATGGTGGTTCACAAGAGTTGACGTTACTAGACGAGGGGCCATCAGTGTTGATACAGCCATCAATACTTGATGACGAGGATGAAGGGGAAGACGGTAAGTGAACGTGTTGTTTATGTTGTATAGTACATGTACATTTATCTAATACTGGTGAAAAATTTTGGCACAAATATTTCATCGGACTTTCTGTGATCAGTCTAAGAGATAAGTGTAAAAAATAAATGAAGAAACAGCAAAAATACTTAATCAGTATGCTGCGCTTGTCAATTAGATAAATATATTAATCTTTGGAATTTTAATTGCAATGATAGTTGGGTGGAATAGTCTTATAGTATGTATGTATTATGTATGTATGTATTACTATTAACCTGTTTAAGCAGGAACATTATGCATGTATTTGTTTAAATACAGTACATTTCAAGACAGAAATTTTGACTCATTTGGAAACTTATGATTTGTAATTTGTAATGCAATGTATGCTGGTATAAATTCTATAACCCTTTTTCACATGTATTATAAATCTAAAGTAAAACTTATTAATTCTCTTTTTCAATGTTTAAAAATTGTAATGAATAATTTATTAATCTTTTCCATTGCCTATCAAAACAAGCATCATTTTTCTATGATCTACTTCACAATAATAAATTATAGCAATTTCTTCAGCTTGAATGTTTGGGATATTCAGTGATTTTTCAGAAATAATTACCATAGCATTTTTTCACATCATTTAACTCTCATTTTGTTTTCATGAATGAAAAAATTTGTAGATGAAGGAACTTCTTTAAGTATGCCACAATCCATACATTTGCCTCCCCTTGATTTGCTGGCAGACGTCACTGCAGAAGCTCGTTTGATGATGTCATCCAAAGGTGACATTTGTAGGCAGGGATCAAGTCTTAGAAATTAGCTGATTGTTTTTCTCAGGATAGTTTGGGTCTCAGGATAGCTCAGGGGTTGGGGGTTAGAAAACGTATTTTCTCTCAAAGCATAACAGTGGATATTCGAATAGAATACCACAAGTCTTGGCTATTTGTTGACATGCATGGTAGAAAAGCCAGGGGGAAAAGTAATATTGTGAAATATCATATTTTCAAGTAAATAGTAAACATATACTTATATTAAAGTGCAACAATTAAGTGGAATACATTGGTGTAAGCAGCCTTTGTTTTGAAATATTTAGTTTTGCATTTATATATATAATTGCATGGATAAATTTGTCTTTAAGTTGTTAGTTGTATGTATATTATAGAATTATTTAGATTGACCAAATTGTTCAGATGCTAAAAAAAAGTAAGATGGGAGTGAATTTTAATTTAAATAAAAAACTTGTTTGATTTCACTTATTAATACAAATTAGACATATAATAAAGCAGTTAGTTGTGTATATATGTGACTATTGGAAATGAAACATACACAGTTTCAAGTCCATTCTTTAAGACCCAGATGAATTAAATTTTATGCTAATTTCAAAGACTGAAATATTTCCATTATTTTCAATATTCAGATTTATTCAATTCTTTTGTATCCATTCATTTTCATTCTCTGGCATACTAATTAATAAAAACCTCAGCACTGATGTTTCTCATTATTCTATTTGAATGGCAATGTTTGCCTTGCCTCATTAAATAAAGATGCCTAATGTCCCCAGGCTAGCATAATGCAGTGACTTAAGTATGAACACTAAACAATATTTTCATGTTTATTGACATCACTCAATGTAAAAAGATTGTCATCATTCATGTGATGATTTATTCATCAAATGATTCAATCATCAAACAAATGATAGAGGAGTAAGACTAAGCTACAGGGAGATATGATTGCATGCCAGGCCACTCACAGTCACCTGCTATGGAAGAACTTTAACAAGTAAAAAAAAATATGAGCGGCGTCACGACAAAACCAACATAGTGGGTTTGCGACCAGCATGGATCCAGACCAGCCTGCACATCCGGGCAGTCTGATCCGGAACCATGCTGTTGGCTTACCAACTCTATTACAAGTACAGAAACTGATAGCAAACAGCATGGATCCTGATCAGACTGCGCGGATGTGCAGGCTGGTCTGGATCCATGCTGGTCGCAAACGCATAACGTTGTTTTTGTCGTGACGCGGCTCATATATATATAAAAAAAGCACCATAAAACAACAGAAGAATGAATGAATAAAAACCATCAAATGAGTGAATCATTCAAATCATGAAATGAGAAAAATCAATGCTGAAAATGTTTAATACTTTGACTAACAAATTGATAGATCTAGTATTTTTATGTTACAGTACACTTTACTATATTTGAGCTGTGATGTTGGTTATACTACTTTTTATTTTTTCTGCCTATCTTCCTAAGTTAAATAGCTTTGTAATTTATTATCAGTTTTTCTTTCAGTAAATTGATATTGATGCATTTTATTACAGAGAATTTAAGGTTTTTCAATTTGTCTATATTGAAAAAATTCTATATCACAAGATACGGAGAATTTACAAAATTTAATGTAACACAACTTTTTATGTTCAATTTAAAAGTTAGGCTATTTATGTTACTTTCTTGTTGAACTAACATTTTGCCTAACCGTTTGTAAAGCTTTGTACCAAAAATTATTTTCCCCCCTTTATTTTGCCCTGTAGAAGATTTCAACTTTTTTCTGTTGTATTTTCTTTTTCTTTTTTTCTTTTTGATCTACTAATACATTTTTCAAATTTACTACTTGTGTATGGAAAGAATAACATAAATTTTGACAGAAACTAAATGGAACAAAAGTAATTCTTATAGCTATCAGAAGGTAAAGTAGAGTGAATGTGAAAATACATTTTGTATAAAGTATAGCAGGAGAATGCATACTTTGAGTTGCCACATGTTATTTGATCAGTTCTCTGATCAGTTCTCTGAATGACATCAAGGTTTGGATATAAAAGTAAAAACCCGATTGTCTATTTCTTATATGTAGCTGAAATATGGCTGTCACAATTAAGAGGGTATAATGGCCTAGAAGTGTTCAACGCAACCAGGCCTGCATTATAATTTGATCCTTTAGATCAATTTGCCATGTTTCATTTAAGCTTCACTATTTTTGTACGACCTTGACTACCAAAACATTTAGTGTTACTACTTTTTTACAATAAATTCTAAAAAAAAATTATGTTACATGTACCTTGTATTTATAGATACTTGAATTAACCCCCCTTTCCTTTAAAGTTGTTACGAAATTTACTTGTTTATGATGTAGAAATATTGTATTACTATTTTTAGATACTGGTATCAGTACACAAGCCGAGGAAGAAGGCGAGGGTGAATGGGACGATGATGCTGTCACAACTGAGTCATCTAAAGATCTCATAATAGAACAAGAAGATAAAAAGGAAATAGAAAAGAAAATACCAAAGAAAAAGAAGAAAAAGAAAAAGTAAGGATTGTTTTGCAATAATCAGAGTTCCTGAAGATGATATGAAAATAATATATTTAGAATTATTTGCAGAATATGTACTACAATACCTACAGTGATTTAAGTGCTTGCAAAGAGTGATAAATTAATAGTAAAAAGTAAGTAGTAGCCAATTATAATGCATTGACAACTTACATGTAGCAATGTTAGGTGATAAATTATATAATTATTATTTAATATCAAATAATTTTAATCAATATAAATGGCGTGTTGGTCAAAACAAACCCCTAAAATCAATCTTTATTCCATGTATTTTATTAATTTCAAGTTTTGAAGCATATTTTTTTTTTATTAAATTAGAGTGCCAAATGTCAATTGAAGAGGGAAAGGGTCAATGTTAGTCCATAAAATAAGTAAACATTAATAAAACTGCAGCATTTTGTCATCAACGAAGCACTTGTCCATAGTGATGATAAAAAATCAAAAGTACCTTAAATGAAAGAATTATGTTTGTAAATTTCAAATATACTGACAAACATGTGTAATTTTATCAATAAATCCCATTTAAGTATTTGGTAGGAAATGTTTTATCCTTACTAGTTATAAAGCTATATTGGACTGTTGAACTTATCTAAAATTTCCTTTTTTGAAAATGATACAGCATATTTATTATTAATTTTTGTCTGATGCATAAAGCCTTTAATAAATCCTTTAAAATGATTGATCAGTGTTTTTCAGTTTTCATTTACTTCAATAATGTAGAATTTTTGTGTTAAGTAAATTTTAAATGATTTGCAAGTTATGTAGATATGTGACTTTACACTGTAAAGCATGATTGTTTTAAAATCGTTTATTGAAGTAAATCAGAGCTGTTAAATGGACAAGTTTAAGCGTTTAATTTATACTTGTACATAATATTTGTTCATCTGTTAAGCAGTGTTAAATCATTTTTATCACCGTTTTAAAGGCATAAAAAACTACAATACTATTGTGAATTGGTATTTAATGTTACAACATTTAAACATTGGTAAATTATAATCGGCATAAAAGGTTTTGTAGTACTGGGTTCATTAGAGCGTTTGAGATTTGTAACCCCTCTAGTCCGCTAAGTTTTTATGTTTCCCGGTTTAATCGCAATATTTCTTATATATTTTCATAGATAACATATTATTCCATTGAATGGCTTTTGTCAGCAAGCATGTATCAATTGATTGGGTGATTTGTTGACAGTAACACAATATGATTGTTAAAGATACTCGATGGAATGTTTAAAGTTTTGAAAAATGGTCCTTTAAAACATGATTTAAGTAGATTTTAATTTAATCGTATTAATACTCCTTGACTGGATTGAACAAGTAATTATTCCTGCATTAAAGTTAGGCTTTAAAGTGATTACTGAATGATATAATTTTTCTTTATAATTATAGGCAAGTCTGTGTTTTGAACAAATATAATTCTTTTTTTTTTTCTCTACCTTTGAAAATTACATAATGTATGTGTCTATGTGATATTTTAAGTCTCCTTAACTGACCTGTATAGTTGTTTTTCTTAAACTTATTGGGTTAAAGCTGTCCTTTATTCATTACTTTTAAATTCTGAGTAAAAAGGAAATAAAAAAGAAGTAATTTTACAGTTCATCATAAAGCCTTTCACCTTTACCTCACCCCCATGCAACTGCTAATTTATGAAATTGTTCGTATTTTAGAGCCATTGGTCATTAATTTCCATAATTTTAATTCAAATTTTTAAACTGACCTGTCAAATTATGTCAGATTTCACACACATGCCAAAAGATACTCATTTTATAGTGGTATGTATAGGTCTGTGAAGAGGTTGTCTTAAAGAATTAACTTCAAGTTAAATATTAAGTATTTAAGTAAGTAAATACATATTTTGTCATTCAAAATTGACCTTATTAGTTTCAGGCCTGCTTTTGCTGTTTTGTTAAAGAATTTTAGCAAATCTGAATGGTTATTTAGTATTTTTAATTGTAAAATGTTTTTATTAAAATGAATTTTTTTAAAAAAACGAAGTCTGTTATGTTCCCTGGTATAAAATGTCCTCTTTTTAGAAAGGTTATTAAGCTATAAATAATAGAAAATCAAAGTTATTTCCTCAGGATTGTATTATTAATTAAGTTTTCCCCCCTTTAGAGCTTTTAGAGAGCAATAAAGGGTGCGTAATGCAAGCCCTTTGTAAAAATGCAAATAGTTTAAATCTGTAGTTCCAGGAGGGATGGGGAAGGAGAGTTAGGAGGGAGTCAGGACAAAGCTGTTTAATTTTGTGAACTGAATTTGTATATCTCATTCAGAATGAATCAACATCCTCAAGTGACATATATACTATAATTATATCAATTTATTAAATGAAATTTTCTCTTTAAGCGCTGATCAACATGAAAACATTCATTTTGCATAATTTGTTTATGAAAGAGTTGTAAGGTTTACTTAATGGTTTATAGTAAGTGATATTTCATTAGACAAAACAAAATACAATGATAAGTGTAAAAATTATTGTTAGTAGTAATTATAAAATCTACAGCCATGATAAGTACAGTGTATGACTTGTATGCTATTTAAACTATACATCCTAAGTTGTAAATATTGCAACCTTCTTATCAATGAGTTATGCTATGATAAATTATAAAAGCAAGATTTAAAATTGAGCTTTTTATAAGGTTTTGACTTGGCACAGAGATAATGTTACAATGATTGATTTAATCAATGAAAGGTGAATTACTAGAGGGGGTTTCCTGCCAATATATACAAGTCATTTATGATAGTGTCAGGTGTGGTGAAATGTTTATTAAGTAAAACATAATTGTGGCTTTGTTTACCCTACTTTATATAAGCTGATAGTAAAATATGCAGGTTAACCAGACAGTTACTGGTCTAAGTGCCTTTTGAAATTGTATTTGACTACTGAATAATAAAGATTAGCAATATGTACTTCTTTTTTCTTTTTTTATTAAGAAATAAAAATCAATCATTCAGGTGGCATTTTGAAATATAAAATGATATTTGCATGTAGTCAATTTACAGAAATAGATTTATAAGATACCATATTTCTCCTATAACATGTACATGTATAAGCACATTCCAGTTTTTATAATGTTATTTTTTTAGCACCCCAAATGGTAAAGCCAGATGTAATTACCTCCCTATTATGTATCTACCATGATAAAAGTTTTTAAATTATCGAATCTATGCAAATTTATAAGAGCTATATTTAGTAAATTTCAAATATAAAAAAAAGCCATGCCGCCTTATTTGCAAATAAGTTAAGTACTATTTCTTCCCTTAACATGGTAACATCCATCTGTACACAATTTTTGACCTATAACACATTTTTTCATGCCATCTTTAGCTGTAACTTTGCTGTCTATGTTAAGAATAGAAAACACACTTTCTCCTTTTTTTTTGTGCTGTTTTTTTGTAATTGACCGAACTACATAAATCATTAATACTCCGCGAAAGAAATAGATTTGGTAAATCATATGATTTATACCTTTTTATTTTATTTTATTATGTCCTTTTAATTAAATACCTTTGGTGAAACAAACAAATTCCTAACATGAAAGGAGGGGCACTGTTGAGTATTTGACATCTGCTTTAAGTACTGGTATTTTACAATTTAAATCATGTTTTCTTATATAAGTTTAATATCATTCAGTTTGTTTAAGTCTGACTAATTTTTTCCTGTTCTCTTTGTTTCAGATGGTTCTACATATGTCTTTCAAACTGTAAATATGATGTTGGTGAGTATGTTTTGCAACTTGAATTTTATTATCCAATCAGACCCCACTTTCATTTCATTCTGACATTAACAACCATATAAAATTTGTAGTTTTATCTGGGTTTGTACGCAAAACAAAAATCTCGATCATTTATTCTCACTCTACAAAATTTGAAAATACATGATTAAAATAGCATTCAGGTTCATGATTTCTGTATGCAGGCCTCGACACTAACTTTTTAAGCAGGTGGTACGCCGGACCACTAGATTTGAAAGTTTGGTGGTCCTTCCAGAAGTCAGGTGGTCAGTTATCATTATTATATCATTTAACTGCAAATGTAGAAAAACAATGTTTAAACTTGATGACAAAGATGTATTATTAACCTTTAAAGAAAACAGATATTTTAGATATATGTTTTTCATCTAATCAGAAATTAAGGAGAGGTCAGTAGGTATTCTATCGTAAAGTTATTTGTTTTGTTTTTTATCGCATTCAAAAATACACAGCAGAGCTCTTATTTATGTTAACTTTTATATTGAAGTGTTTTCTCCCTCAACTCAGGGAATAGTGAAACCATTTGTGCATGTTATTTTCTTACTGTTATTCAAATATTCATTTCTGATACGTGGTACGTCTTATAATCATGATAATTAAATGTATCTTTTATACATTAACATTTTTACTGAAAACTAATAAATTATCTTATTCTTGTCTTTGAAAAAAGTAAATATAATCTAAAGGATAAAAAAATAACAACATTATATATATAACTATACTTTATCTTATTTTTCTCACAGATTTATAATACAGAATTTGTACCTTCCTGTTGCTTGTTAGTTAATATTCATTTTTGACATTGAGTATTTTCAACCTTTTAAAGTAATTTTAAATCTAGAAGAAATATATCTCTTATCGTTTGACATTTAAAATAAAGATAAATAGCAAAGAATTACTATATGTATTTTTTCCAGTTCCTTTCGTTTACTGCTGTTATTCAAGTATCTGAAATTTAAGTTTATCTGATATCATATAATTACCATCATCCGATACTCCCCGTTGATAAACATGTAACATAACATAAATGTTAATGGTTCCGCCTTAGGTATCGGACGATGCATAATTACTAGCATCATTTGAATGAATTTGTGCCTAAATTAATATCACAAATTCTAAACTCTTTTAACTTGCATAAACAAAATTTTAGCGACTTGAACAAAATTTTAGGGACTTAAAAATGAAAGTTATGAATGACTTAAGAACTTCTTTAACTAACCAAAGATTAATGTACCATAAACATGAACATCGGACACATGATTTTAAACAAAATGTATACAACTTGTTTTTGACCAAATCGTCATTCTCCCAAATGAGCCTAGCATCAACCAGAAAATTCAAGTGGTCCGACGGACCAGTTGCTTTTGAAATTAGGTGGTCCTTGCCAAAATCAGGTGGTCTCGGACCAACGGACCACCGCTAATGTCGAGGCCTGTGTTTGCATGCATGAACTAATGTCTTTTTTCTAAGTGAATTTTCAACCTAAAATTGTCTGCTTAAAGTCTGTCTAAATCCTTTGAAAATCAGTGAACTTGAAACAAGAGCTGGTTAAGTATTAGCCAAATTATGAGTAATATTAAACTCCCTTTTGGAATTAGAACTGAGGCACTTCTCTGCCTTTGAGAAAGGAACTATTTATTAGTAATGTGTCTACTGAAGAATAAAAAATATTTTGACTTGGGGCTTTTTTACATCTACATTAGGAGCTCTGTAAGGCATGTAAGGGTGGCTTCCTCAAAGAAAAATTCTTTTAAATCATGCAGTTTTTCCCAAAATTGGAAGTTTTTTCGTCCTCTTTTGCAAATATACTGTATAATTTTCAAAAAAAAAAAATCAAGGGCAGGGTTGCTTCCCCAACCTGTAAAAAAAAGCCCTGTGACCATACAGTATTATATCCCCTGCATCAGATGTAAGTTCCATGTTGAAAAGTTAACTGATACTTACTATATACTTTAGTGACTTTAAGTGAATCCAGTCATTTGAATGGCCACCGGGTAAAATTGACCGAGTTGTTGTCTTTAGAGTGTTTAACAAACAAAATAATTTTAACATTGATAATGATTCATAATTGTTAATAGAATTGACATTTAGTTCAGCAATATTGGTGCTGTGTTTCTTTACTTTAAAGAAATTGTCTTGTGAACATGCCAAAGAAATGATTGAATAAGCACAAAAGATAAGATCGATGGCTCAGCGCAATACTGGTCTAACTGCTATTTTTGAAAATGTTCAGGAGAGACAAAAAACTGATTTTATTCAAAAATACTTATATTAGAAAATATTTTTTTGCTATGTTAACATTAATTATAATAAGAAATAATGCCGTTTATATAATTTTTTATTAAAATGTAACAAATTGTGTATTTTAGAGTTAGACCTTTATTGCGCTGAAATTCTGAGCGCAATACAAGACTAACTTGAGTTAGACTCAAATTCCCTCTTGCAATTTGGTAAAAGTGGTACAAATATTTGAGTTAGACCTGTTTTATGTTAAATGTTCTGATATAAATGAAATTTTAAATTTTGAACAAAATTGTTTTGTTTATTTAAACATTGTTTAAGATATTTTGCAAGTCTGTAGAAGAACTTTACAGAGACTAAACCCTTTAATATTTTTCTATTAATATATCATGCGAGCTAACCTTAGATGAACGTTATACAGTAACACTTCTTTCTCCTTTTTCAATTTGTTTGAGATTCAGATTTACTTAAGGTCTTTTGCAATAAATTTGAATTCTATTAAAACAAAATGTAAACAGTTTTGATTCATATAGTGTTATGAACAGTTAGTCATGAACAATGATTACTGACGATCCAGGTATATATTATGATATCAAACTGGGAATGTACATTTTGTATAGCTCACATTTGTACAAAGAAGACACATTTTATTTTCTCAATGCACACCATTAATTACCACCATTGGTGCTTAAATGCTGTGATTCCGATATAACTGTTATGCGCTAAATCTTAATGAATTTAATGTATGTGGTCCTCTTTTCTGATGATATAATCATTTATAAATATCAAATATTTTCAAAAATGAAAACCGCTGTTAGACCATGCTTTTATTACAACTTTTGTATTTACTTTCTCAACTGTTTAGAGTATATTTTGAAAGTGTAATGTGCAAATTTTATGACATGTTTTGCTGAAAACTGTGCATATCTTAAGAAAAGACATGTTTTGCTGAAAGCTGTTCATATCTTAAGAAAAGTCATTCATTTTATATATCAAAGTCATTTTACCTCTAAATTTTGACCAAATAACAAGAGGTTGTCAAACATTTTTTAGAGAAAAAAGTAAGGCAGTACAACCCACTATCAGGGATTCATAGAACAAAGTATTGTTAGCACATGATATAATTCAGAATCATTTTTGTAAAGTTAGATGTGCTTTAAACACTTGCAACCACTTACTCATTTAGATATGAAAAGGCGCACACCTGAAGCACCATGTGCAACACCTTAGATTAGCACTAAACAATTAGAATGGATAAATGTTTTTGAATTTTTCTCATTGACACTCAGATACTATACTCCAAAAGCAGTTAATAGTCATTACATTTTTTAATTTCATTTTAATTTGATAGGTAAAATTAATGGCTTTTAGATCTAAAATGAACATTTTTATCAACTTATAGCTGTTTCTGCCACATAAGTCAAAGAGTTTTTGACAATTACACTCTCGAAAATTCAATGGAGCTCTGTGTGATGTAAAAAATTATCAGAATACAAGAACTGAAAAGGTCATAATAATAATTATATAAGTGTGCATATTTTGATTTTTTCTGCACATATCACATCAGACAGAAAGATATTGTATCAATAATATAAGTATTGTGAAGAGTGTGATTTGCACATCTTGACACTATGTTGTTATTATATTGTTTGAGTTGATAGTGTAAAGTTTATATTTCTAACACAACGCACATTTTTCCCTATTGAACATAAAAGAACCGAAAGTGTGTGTTATTATGCTATAAAATCACTGTTTGACGTTCTATATATAGACGTATGACGTAATCATTAAACACATGACGTAACCACTAAAATTGTGACGCGCTGACAATAAGAACGGAAACAAATCAGGCGCAATTTAGCTAAATATCAGGTACGGCAGCATTTATTTGTTAATGTCGTGTTAGAATCGAAATAATATATCCAAATCGGTGATTTTATTGCTTGATAACATTACTGTTTGTCGTTCGGATGCGCATCATTATTCACTCGGGCTACGCCCTCGTGATATAATTCCTCGCATCCGAACTCCAAACAGTGATGTTAATGAGCAATAAAATCACAGTTTGGGATATATAATTTCTTAAATAACTTTACTTGATTAAAGAGAGTGATACAGAAGTAGATACATAATTTAAAAATAAAAACCCAAGAACGCCCTCAAACCTGAAATTGTTCATTGTGTTACAGGCTAAGTTTGATTTGGCAGTGAAACAATGTACAGTCTACCCCCTTACACCATCTTAAATGAACAAAGTGTAAAATTAAGAATTAGGAAATCTCAGCATAATATTATGATTAAACAAAGGTCAAACTAAAAAAAAAAGAATTTTTAGAGGGGGTCAGAGGTTATGAATCCACTAGTGTAACATGTGATATTTTCCATTTTAAATGTGTGCATGAGAAACATACACTGTCTTTTACTAAATTGTACAAAAATGATAGTTTCAACTGCACTTTATGTTATCAAATAATACAGGATGAGTATGATGTAATGACTTCAAAGACAATATAAATGTTTAATTGTGACACTAAATATTAATAATTTTTTTCAAGATTTTTCATTTACAGTTACTTGTACATGATATGCAATTGGCTAATATTTTGCGATTAATACAAAGAACTGACGGAGGCAAATAATTTCTAGTGTTTTTCATGAATTCTCACATTCTTTATAACACATTTCAATGGGATATGCATATTATTCTGTACCTGGAAATGAAACACTTAAGGTCTAACTCAAGCATTTTTGAGGAAAAGTGATATATTTGACATCGCAATAAGAGACCAACTCAAGTTAGGCCTATATTGCACTGACAAAATTGAACTACCTGAGATAGACTTTTATTTTAAATGTAAATAAAAAAGGCAAAAAAAGCATAAATTACCCTAAAATTTTCACAGAGTGTGTGTTTGACCTTACATTATCAAAATATGTAAAAAAGTGATTTTTGGTAAAAATGTCACTTAGACCAGTATTGCGCTGAGCCATCGAGATGTAATCACAAGCTCTACATTGCCCAAATATTTACTAGTGACATGTTTACCAGTCACTTGTTTACAAAGGACATGAAAATGTTAACACATAAGTTGATTGATGTCACATCTATTATCTGGAAGAACCTTTGTGTCAAGGTTATGTTACGTATATTTGTTCGAATACTTATAAAGCAATTGAAATTTGGTCAATACATAATTAAATTTTGCTTTCGAAAAATTTATGTTTTTTAATATTATTTTTTTTATTGTCTGTTATTATTATTATTAATTTATTATTATTATTATTATTAATTTATTATTATTGTTATTATTATTGTTATTATTATTATTATTGTTATTATTATTATTATTATTATTATATTATTATTATTATTATTATTTATTATTATTTATTATTATTATAAGGACATAAGATGATTTAAAATCCAATCTAAACAGCAGTTTAGAAAGTTTTTTAATTTTATTTCAGTTCGTAAAGTGTCACGCAAGTTTGGTTTTAAAGAAGTCTCAGATGATGACGACTGGACACTTTACTGGACAGATTATTCTGTGGCCCTGGAACGGGTCATGGATATGAAAAAATACCAGGTAACTTCACTTTACCAAAATAAAGCTCCGATGTTCTCTTTTAATGCACAATAACTAGTCATTTTCTCTCTTATTTTTCTCCAAAAAGAGAGATGAAAATATTTTTACCCATATATATTATCTATCTTCCTATGAAACTTGTCAATGTGAATTTGCAGTCGTTTTTTATGTAATCCCTTGTAATTTAAATGAATTATGGTTACATATTTTACCTGTATCACAATGACCCACAATTAATACGGTCTTTGAAGTATTCAGTATTTATGTTTGGAATTATAATTGAGATTTCTTTTATGTGTAAATTGAAAAATTTTTAAAGACTTCAAGGTAACTGTATAACAGGTGCTCAATTACCTGTCCAAGGTCTTTATGTTTAGTTCAAGTAAGTCACTTACATTAAATGTAACACTTGTTTAACCCTTGAAATTTTAGTGGCAATAATTGCTTAAACATTTAAGTGCAGTCTGAAGACATATTGAAACCAGCTCAATTGAGTAATTTTGACTCCGAAAAAAATTAAAGATTAAAGATATGACATGTCCAATTTGCAGCTTAAATATAAACATTTCCTTATTGTGATCAAAGCACTTCATTGCTTCTAAAGATTTCAATTTCTTTTTATGTTAAGTACATTTATATTGCCTGAAATTTTATGCATGCATTGATTGTATTTAAATCATTATGTATTTTAAATGGCAATCTGAATGACCTAGTGGTTAAAGTCACTGACTTTAAAACTTCATATCACCTGGGTTCAAATCCCGCCAAAGACTATAAATTCCTTCATGAATGGAAGTTATCCAGCCTGCTTATGGATTATATTGGTTATTCTACTTAAAGGGGCAGCTAAGGTCTTGCCTTAAAACCTTAACAGAGTTTCCTTGATTTAAAACCAAACCAAAAATGATAATTATCTAATCAGTATTGTTTTCATTAAAGTGAAAGTGATTGTTGTTTCCTTTGGGCTCAGCCAACACCACAGTCTTACAGAAAGTTTAAAATATTTAACCACTGTGACTTCTTTATTGTCTTTTTTAATTAGAAATACTGTAGGTATCTAATTTATCCTTTTTGAATTTTTTTTTTCACAGAAAATCAATCATTTTCCTGGAATGAGTGAAATTTGTAGGAAGGACTTATTAGCTAGGAATATGAACCGAATGTTAAAGATGTTTCCAAAAGAATACAATGTCTTCCCTAAAACATGGTGCCTTCCTGCAGAGTAAGTATATTATTAATATATTGATAAATATATATAATGATAATGGTTGAGGGCAGATGTCACATTTAATACAATTTTGTTTTGGCATGTACATCAAAAACTGAATGCAATTTAAGTTTCTTATTTCTGCTTGAACTTGATTTATATTAAAATTAGAGGAAAATGGAGAAATACAACACATCCAACACCAGAGCTGGTTAAGGTTATATATTCGTCTACCTGTTTTGGTTCTATCTAACCTTCATCAGAATCTATAATTGATTTATATTAGAGGCATTGAGGTATAAATTTTAAAACATTCTGAAAATGATCTGTACTGATATCATGTGATCATAAGTGGTAATGATTCTGTTTGAACCTGTCATCTCTAGGCTGATAAACAAGCACCCTTAACCACTAGACCACTGTCACACAGTGTTCCACTTGAAGTAAAATACAGTATTTTCTTAAACTATTCTACCTGCAGTATGATAAACTCTTTGGAGTAAAATATGCTGATAATAAGGAATTTATAATCTTAGTCTTAAGAGTAAAAATCACTTAATCCATCCCAGTGAATGAAATTTGAAGGTTACACATTTTTTAGCCCTTAGTTGAATTTCTTAAATGGACTTGACCTGCTTCAATTTTTGACTGTTCATTTTCTATATGAGGGATATTTAGATGAAAATTTCAAGTTAATTAACCATCTGTATAGAGCCTGGTCAGACTCTGGTCGGACTACATGGATGTGCAGGATGGCCTGGCTCTATACTGGTGCAAAAGTCTTATCACTTAAAGTTCCACAGGCTAAGAATTCATGTTAATATAGTAAGACAGAATACTTCTCTAATAAAACATCTGTACTGTTGTTTATAAGTTAAAGAATATTCTGTTGTCATGACAACACCTACTTCACTATAGACATAACAACTTCTAATACTTCTAGACATAACAGGATTTCTATATCTTACTGTCAGTTGTCATAATAAAATGAAGTAATAAATGGTTTTGATAAGGAGCTTTGTCAATTGATCAAGTAATTCTATTGTGAAAAGAACCTGAGCTATTCAGCTCTTATTATAATTGTGTTTAGAATAAGCTTACCCCATAAATTTATAAAAAATAAGAAATTGATGTCTGAGATTATTCTTTTATATTCATAAATGCTTGATTTTTTCATAACAACTTATTTAATGTGGACATTGGATTAGTCTTGCTTTGAATTCAAGACCATTCATTAAAAATAGTAGGGATTTTCATATGAACCATTAGCCTGCTAGCAGTGACTGATTCTGCCATTGTGCCCATGGCAGACCAGCTTACCAATGTCTTCAGGCACATCTGTACAGACTGATCATGGTCTACACTGTTTGCTATTCTGTCAGAACATATTTTGAAATTTTCCCTAAAAATGATGAATAGTTTTGTTCAGATTGTATGATGGACAAACCTATTTTAGATATTAATGTTGTAAGGATTAAGTGCAAAAAAAATTGCATTTGAGGTGCAACAACAGGCTTGGTTTTGTACTGAAAGTATAGGAAAATCATTATTGCCCCAAGCATTAAAATGGCTTTACTTGCCATTGTGTTCAGTCAAACAAGTAGATAAAACAGATAATCTTACACTTTAATCAAAAACTTTAATCATTCAGTCAATAGGATATAATAAAGAATTTCAGCAATATCATGTTTTACATATATAATAGTGATTGTGATCTACATTCCCTTTAAAAATTATATATGTTAGAAATAATTAAATCAGAGTGCTGTTATATTTCCAAAACTAATATGAAAACTTTAACTTTATGAATATGGAATATATATCTGACATAACATATTGACTGACCTTACAGATCCATTAGTATAAATTATGATTTTAAAAAGTATTTAAATTTTTAAGACCATTAAGATTGCTATCATAATCTAGACTTAGGTCTCAATTTATAATTCACGGCAGAGATATTTATGTGATTAATTGGTTTTAAAGTTTATTTCTGTTAACTTTATAGAGATTGACTTTTGACCAATTAAATGTCAAATTTCCTGAATGAACTTTTTGAACTTTTATCTGGTAACAATCCTTTATCAATTTTGGGAATGAAAATATAAAAGTACCCTGGTTCTATAATTGGACTCAAACCATGATCCTCAGGTAAATGAGTACGATGCTTATATTTTAAGTGATAAAGGCTTGAAAATAACTTCATTTTGTTGTAAATATTTTATATTTTAGTTATGGAGATTTCCAAGCATACTGTCGACAGAAGAAAAACAAAACATATATATTAAAGCCAGAGTCCGGTTGCCAAGGTCGTGGTATCTGGGTCACGAAAAATCCAAAAGATGTTAAACCACATGAACATATGATCTGTCAACATTACATGTCTAGGGTATAACTTTATCTTATTCTGTTGAGCTTTAAAACTCTTTTAGAAAAGGGTGTGGGTCTGCAAAATTGGGATTATTTGAGTAGTGAAATTTGGTAAATTTAGAAAAAAAATGATTGTGAAACAGCCAAATTAGGATTTTTTTATTGTCATTTTGAATTATTAGACTTGATTGTGAGAGGAATAGGCCTTTAGGACAGTATAATTCACCCATCTAAAGAAAGGTAAAACTATTGTATTTCACTAACCTGTCTGCAGTCTAGGTAAATGTTTAGCAGCACTTATTTTAAATATACTTGCCTTGTCTGAGGCACAAAAATAACTCTTTTACCAGTGTAAGAAATTGGGATTTGAATCCACTAGGCCGGTCGGACTACCAGACTGGAATATTCACTAGCCTAAAAGACATTTCACTAGCACGATTCATTTGTTCAAACGGTTGTTTATAGTGCCTCTGAAAATACAGTAGTCTGGTTGGGCTTGTTACTGTAAAAAGTTGGTAGCCCGAGGAGAAATTAAGAAGTCAGGGGCTATCGGACTACTGCTAATTTCGAACACTGTTTTACAAGAAGTACATTTTCAAAATATTGAGCATCCTTTCTGACACCTACATCTTTTGTACATTTTAATCAAACTCAAGGTTAATACCCTACTTTCAAAATACAGTTATTAGTCCCCTACCGGTTTACCAGAGGGGACTTTAGGTTTACCCTCCGTCCGTCTGTCTGTCCGTCTGTCCGTCAGTCAGTCCGTCCGTCCACAAAACTGGATCCCGCGATAACACAAAAAGTACTGAAAATATTTTAATGAAACTTGATATATGGATAGATGGCAGTATGGAGATTATGCACGTCTTTTTCTTTTCTTCCTATGTTGAAAATTCTGGTTGCTATGGCAACAAATAGACCAAAAATATAGCAAATTTTACACATAACCTGGATCCCGCAATAACGCAAAAAGTACTGAAAATATTTTTATGAAACTTGATATATGGATAGATGGCAGTATGGAGATTATGCACGTCTTTTTCTTTTCTTCCTATGTTGAAAATTCTGGTTGCTATGGCAACAAATAGACTGAAAATATGGCAAATTTTACACATAACCTGGATCCAGTGATAACACAAAAAGTACCGAAAATATGTTTATGAAACTTGACATATGGGTATATGGCAGTATGGAAATTATGCTTATCCTGTTCTTATCTTCCTATGTTGAAAATTCTGGTTGCTATGGCAACAAATAGACTGAATTTCAAGATTTCTGATTCTAGTTTTTAAGTTTTTTCACTGTAAGTTCTTTATTTCTTAAGGTATTTTCTTCAAACTTTAAATATAAGTTGCTTGTCATCAACCACATCATATGTGACAAGGTTTACAACTCTAGCACAAAATTTATCAGAACTACCTCCCTTGAACTTAAAATTTTTATGAAAAAACATTGGTTTTTTTTTAATAACTTCTTTTTCTGAATGCATCTACTTCATACTTCATATAAATGTTTCTTATTATCACTCAACATTTGTGAGTGTTCAATACTCTAGCAAGACTATTTCCAGAATTATGCCCCTTTTGAACTTAGATTTTTTTTTTTTGAGAAATTGGTATTTTTTACTCCAACTTCTTCAATCATGATAGGATTTAAAAATGTTATACTTTGATAACAGGGATGTTTAAAAAATAACTTTAGAGTGTCCTTCAGTCCGTCTGTCTGTACATAAAAACTGTTTCCTGTGATCACTTTTAAAGAACTTTTTCAACAAATTTACTTAAAATAGGAACATAAGTGAATGGCCAATGGCCCTTCAGAATGTTGCTTGGGCTCTTACCGGTAGGGGACTTATGGATTGCTTGCAATACTATGATAATTGCTTGTTATTATTTCGATATTTGAACTTAGTTTCTTTCTATGTATAAATTATTCCGATATTTGAACTTAGTTTTCTTTCTGTGTATAAATTTCTTTTAGTGTATAAAGACTTTGTTATATTCAAAATCCAAGGGAAACTAACTACTAGTTTAAAACAATTCTTTTGCTAAAAAAGAAATCATCAATTTCATTCTTGAAACTTTTCTGGATTTGGGATAGATATAAATATTCATACTTTACTATTGGTTGAAATATGGAAATGTATTATAATTTGTATAAGGAAATCAATGAAATAGAGTTTTTGTTCAGAAGTCATTTTTTTCATGTTTATTTGCAGCCTTTACTAATTGATGGTTTCAAATTTGACTTGAGGATCTACACCCTGGTGACTTCTTGTGACCCACTTAGAATATTTGTGTTCAAAGATGGTCTAGCTAGATTTGCTACCAACAAATACACAGAACCTACTCATAGCAATGTAGTAAGTATTGTATCAGAATTACTTAGTATTCTTTAATGTATGAAAGGATATCTCGGCTTAATGGAAGAATTACTTATCACTTCCCTTTGTTATTTGTGTTATGGTTAAGAAAGCTATTTGATATACTTGTATGCATATATTTGTTTACACTGAAATAATACATTGCCTTGCTTTCCTTGAGAATCATTCATTTTGATTAATACTCCTACCTTTTATATTTCCATTTTATATTTGTGTTTGGCCTGAGTTGCTTGATTATTAAATTAAATGCTGATTTTTTTAACTCTAACTGAGAACTGAGGTCAATTGTCTTTGAATTAATTCATGTGAGGAAACTAATATTCTCGCTTAAGGTAGATAGAGACCTCTACCTAGGTTTTTGCAAATGTCTGCTATAAAAATTGTTTGTTTGGTTATAAAAACTCTTATGATATTTTTTGCCTTTTATTAAAAGACTCATGTTAATGTTTATTGATTTATTTTCACAGGACAATGTTTACATGCATCTCACAAACTATGCTATAAATAAACATAGTGAGGATTTTATTCGTGATGATGAAGCCGGCAGTAAGCGTAGGATTAGTACAACTAATAGATACATGGCAAAGAAAGGGTACGATGTAGATAAAATGTGGGCTGATATAGACGATGTGATAATAAAAACACTTATCTCGGCTCATTCTGTGTTAAAACATAACTACCGCACATGTTTTCCTAATCATGTTAAAGGAAGTGCTTGTTTTGAAATTCTTGGATTTGATGTGATTCTAGATCGGAAACTACGGCCATACGTAATTGAGGTAAGGAAGAAAAATTATATTTCAAAAGATTGACTGTTATAACAGTGATTGACCAACATTTGATGTTGAAAAATGTTTAGGATCAAATATTAATCTGCCTGAAGTATAAAAAGACTATCTCACGTTTTTTTAATAGAGTTGAATGTTACTATAAATTCTGTTGGCTATTCATAGAAATTTCTTTTGGCAACGTAAGATTTTTCTTTCTTTCATGTTAAATTGATTATTAATTGAAAGGAATTGTGGCAATATGTAATCTTATATTTTCTTTCACCATTGTTAAATTACTAAATACCCTTGGTTGGGAAAATAGTAACATTAATTGCTAGGTATGACTGATATGATAGATGTAATAATTAGAATGAAAAGTTAAATGTGTTTTTGTAAATTTGCACATAAGCATCTTTTTATGTGTAGTGGTAGATATCTTTTATCTGAACATTGATATTTTATCATGATGAGTAAGAATTCTAATATTTTAAGGATGAATTGCTAGCTTTCCTTTTTCACAAATTATGTAATGTTTTCTTTCTTTTAAATTTTATGCATTTGAACAAAAGACAGAATATATATGATTATGAAAATAAGATTTTAACACTTAAACTTTAGTTAAAATGGGTTTTTGAATGAAATGACTACTATTAAGTATCATTGTTTACCCTTATATGAAATTCATATAATGATATCGTATACTGAGGTGATGTAAAGTATAAAATGATTAATTTTAAGATATTAATAGCCATATTAAATTTGTTACTTTCTATTCCTGTTTTGAAAAATATTTCCTATTAAAATTGACAATTAGAATTTTCTACCTTCAATATATTTGAAATTGTGCAGCTTTTAAAAACAGAATGGAAAGGGGGGTGGGGCAGGGTGTTCTTGCTCAATGTATGAAATCTATAAATGTTGAATTGACAACCAGCTTATAAACTATCATATAATACAGGTCAATCACTCACCAAGTTTTGGCACAGACTCGGAACTGGATCGGGAAATCAAGGGTGCTCTAGTTTATGACACATTACAGCTAGTTAATTTTGGTGCTTGTGATAGACGGAAATGTATAGAGGAAGAAAGACGTAGGATCAAAGATAGGCTACTTGGCAAGTCAAATAGGAAAGAATCTAGGTATGGAGTACTTAATAGTAACCACTTGCCCCTCATCGCTGTGGGTCGAGTCCAGACAGGGACTTTAGATTCTTTCATGTGAGACAGCTATCCAGCTAGCTTACAGAACGTCAGTGGTTCTACTCAGGTGCATGTTCCTGCCTGAAATAATGCACGGAAGGGGATTTGAGGTCTCCCTCCACCAGTAAAGCTGGAACGTTGCCAAATGACCTATACTGTGTCGGTGTGATGTGAAACCCAATTAAACAAACAAACTTAATAGTAATGCCAATATCTTTCTCCAATTTTCATTAGCTGATATACTCACTGTATTAATTTTGTAAATGTCAATAGGACAGGGCTCTCGTTTGGTAAAATTTGGGGCCGAATATCGGCCTCATTCCCCCACCAAAAAAGTGTGTTTTTTTCCCCCTAAAACCTTAAAAAATCCCCCTTTAAATCCCTTGAAATTAATATTTAACGGGCATAGAAAACGCCGATCGGCGAATATATATTCCGCGAACGGCAACCGGAAATTAGTACGTATTCCGGGAACGGCAATTGGAAATTAGTACGGATATATAAATAAAACATTCCGGACAGTTTTTAGCATTCCAATGTGTCGCACAATTTCAAGTCTTACCCGGGAAAAAAATTCCCCCTTGAATGAAAAATACTTGAAAATCATGCAAAATTCCCTCCTGCATGGACCCTGGCCCCAGTCTCAAAATGCTAACGAGAGCCCTGTAGGAAATTTTCACTAAAATATCCAGATTAAAAGTAAAAAAGGGATATTTGCAATTTTGTTACATGTTGCTTATAAGATATATCGTAGAACATGCCTTCTTTTGATATTATGTAACTTTCGCTAATGATGGTCATCATTTTTATGTCCTTCAGTGAAAATTCCCTTTCATTGTCAGAAATTTTACAGGAAATTTTAGGCTGATGTAAAACATTAGGAAAATGTCTGAAATTAATACCAAACAATGTATACAATAAATTGTTTGCTCTTTTCACTATTCCTGTCTTTTAAATTAAATTTTTTGTTTAAATTTCACATTAACTACAATCATGATATTTTTAATAACAGATATAATATTTATCATTTCAGGGAAGAATTAGATCTTGCTCAACAACAATATATAGAATCTCTTGATAAATATGAGAGTAATCACTTAGGTAACTTTCGTCGTATTTATCCTAATCCTGGCTCGGAGAAGTATGAGAAATTCTTCCACAGTAGCGGAACTTTATTCCAGGAGACAGCAGCTTTCAAAGCCAGGAGTGAACTTGCCAGGTTTGAAACTTTATATTTTATAGTTTGTATCATATTTATAACCAAGGTTAAGCTGTTATAGAAACTTAGTATGGTTGTGTTTAAGGTTTATGGACCTCGAATTAAGCTTTGGGTAAGGCAGATAACTGATTTGGTTGAAGGCACAATTGAGTCTTCAAATCATTATTTTCAGGTCAGTTGTTAACCATTTTTAGCTCACCTGTCACAAAGTGACAGGGTGAGCTTTTGTGACCGCTTTTCGTCCGGCGTCCGGCCGGCATCCGTCCGTCTGTTAACTTTTACTTTAAATGACATTTCCTCATCAACCACTAAGCCAATTTCATCCAAACTTCACTTGAATGTTCCTTTGGTGGTCACCTTTAAAATTTGTTCAAAGAATTTAATTCCATGCAGAACTCTGGTTGCCATGGCAACCGATAGAAAAAACTTAAAATATCTTCTTTTAAAAAATCCAAAGAGGTAGAGCTTAGATATTTGGCATGAAACATCTTCTAGTGAATGTCTATCAAGTTTGTTCAAATAAAAGGCCTGGGGTCAAAATTGGTCCCGCCCCGGGGGGGTCATTGATTTTCCCTATATGCATATAGTAAAAACTTAAAAAAATCTTCTTTTAAAGAACCCAAAGAGCTAGAGCTAAGATATTTAGCATGAAATATCTTCTAATGGGTGTCTACCAAGTTTGTTCAAATAAAACCCCTGGGGTCAAAATTGGCCCCGCCCCAGGGGGTCATTGATTTTCCCTATATGCATATAGTAAAAACTTAAAGAGTCTTCTTTTAAAGAACCCAAAGAGCTAGAGCTAAGATATTTAGCATGAACCATATTCTAATGGGTGTCTATCAAATTTGTTCAAATAAGAGCCCTTGGGTCAAAATTGGCCCCGCCCCGGGGGTCATTGATTTTCCTTATATGTGTATAGCAATAACTTAAAAAAATCTTCTTTGAAAAAACCCAAATAGCTAGAGTTTAGATACTAAGCATGAAACATCTTCTAGTGAGTGTCTACAAAGTTTGTTCAAATAAAAGCCCTTGGGTCAAAATTGGCCCCGCCCGGGGGTCATTGATTTTGTTTATGCGTATAGCAAAAACTTAAAAAATCTTCTTTGAAAAAAACCTAAATAGCTTGAGTTTAGATATTAAGCATGAAACATCTTCCAGTTAGTGTCTACAAAGTTTGTTCAAATAAAAGCCCTGGGGTCAAAATTGGCCCTGCCCCAGAGGACATTGATTTTCCTTATATGTGTATAGCAAAAATTTAAAAATCTTCTTTGAAAAAACCCAAATAGCTAGAGTTTAGATATTAAGCATGAAACATCTTCTAGTGAGTGTCTACAGAGTTTGTTAAAATAAAAGCCCTGGGGTCAAAACTGGCCCCGCACCAGGGGTGTCATTGCTTTTAGCTATATGTGTATAGTTAAAACTTAAAAAATCTTCTTTTAAAAAACTCAACGAGCTAGACCTTAGATGTTTAGCATGAAGCATCTTCTAATGGGTGTCTACCAAGTTTGTTCAAATAAAAGCCCTGGGATTTAAACTGGCCCCGCTCTGGGGGCCTATATACAGGTGAGCGACTTCAGGGCCATCATGGCCCTCTTGTAAATTCTGTTACTGGTGTCATAAAGAGAACATTTACGATCCAGTAGGGCTTGTACTTCAATGATCCCTGTACTGACAGGCAGACACCTTAAGGCATAAGTTCACCTCAATCATTGAAAGCCGCTATTGTCCTCTACTGCTAATTTAGTAGACACGTATAGTGAAGGTTGTGCTTTCTTGTAGGAAAAAAGTACTGGTATTGAACAGAACATAATGTGTAAAGCGTAATTATGTGACATACTTGCAGATACTGTAAACTGTAACAACCAAACAAACAATATAATTCTAAGAAAAGGGGTATAGGATGCCTTTGAACTGCTTTTAATTTGATTGTTATGTAATTCAGAAGTGACTCAATTAGCATGGAAAATAAGTCTTGTTTTACCCATTTGTGTTTGCATGACTAGGAATCTTTACTTTCTTAGTTGCAACCTGAATAGTTACACAATAAAACAGAGAAAATGAACAATGTTCTTGACATCTATTTCACTAACCTTAAATTGGGAAACAGACCGAGTTAAACATCATATTTTTTACATTTAACAGACAACAAAGAGAAGAAATCTCTCGTAAAAAGGAGAAATTGGAGGCGATGTTGAAAGGGAAGAAGAGCACAACTGGTGTAGCTAGGCCAGAGAGTCCAGGAAGTAGAAGAAGGAGGTCATTACGCAGAACAACAATGCCAGCAAGAAGAATACAGTCAAGTTCTAGAACAAGCTTAGATGTAATCATTCTTTCCTCTTTATTACCATGATATACAGTATACATAGTGCCCACAGTTTATCATAGCTAGCAATACTTATTTTTTGTTATTTTTAGTGCAAAAGTTTTGAGAAAATTTTATTGAAAACACATGAACAGCATTCCAACATTAATTCAAAGATATCCATAGTTTCATACATATTATTTTGATTGTTACACTTGGATATAATCTAATTTATATTGGTATTTTGTAACAACTTTATGTATATTATAAGAAATACATCTAATCATGTGTGGACATGAGGTTGTGTTCTACTTTTTTGCATTAAGAAACCATACAGACTTAAATACATGTATAGGTTAGTTATCAATCTATGATTCAGAAAAAATTTGTTAGCTATTTTGAGTTGAGATTTTTGTGTAGACTAAGTTTTCTGTAAACAGTTATTCTGTGATAGTACAATTATGTTGACTATAACAAGTGCTCATAACTTATATTTCTACATTAGATGTTGAGTAATGAATCGTCACAGTTACAAATCAATATAGATGAACCAGTAGACACGAAAAAACCAATGGATATTTTAGAGGAAGAGGAACTGGAGCGTATAAGTGGTCTTCTACAAAGAGATAACCTTGTAAGGGGGTTGGGCATTGTGGAACATGTGTACCGCCTACTTCATTGTACACCAGGTACAATGGGTGTGTTAAAGTCAGAGCCACGCCCACTTCCTCCACCACTGGTATGTATTCTTAATACTAAAGGAGCTTGGCAAAACAAGATTTGTTGAAACACGTTGATTCACAGAAATAAGGGAATAATTTTTATTTATTGTGGAATCTGAATAGTAGCAAAAGTTAACACCTGAAATATTCTGTACAATAGAAAATAATGTAACTTGCTTTCACTAGATGGCCTTGAATCACTGCAATAGAGAAAGAATAGTTTATAAATCACTCCACTTAACTTGCCAGCTTTCTATATTTAGCTTTAGATGATATTTTTAGACAAAATAGTGGTATTTATAAAATTTAGATGGAAATATCTAAAAATTAAAAATTGCTACAGAGCAATTTCCTCTGTTAGAAAAAATAGGATTTTTACTGAAATTCTTTGTTTTATGTTTAGTCAAGATTGAGAACAGGGTATCGGATTTCTCTTGTAAGTTTTCAGTATTGTCTTTAGAAAAAATCTGTCTAATAACCAAACAATTTTCAGGCTGACTTTTAAAACAAACTAATTTTTACCCTTACTGTTAAGGTATAGTGCTGGCAAGAACATTCAAAAGGGGAGATAAGCGTGTTCCATCATTTAATATTATGATGTACATGTACTTAAATAAAACTTCAACTGAAAACTTCCCAAATCAGTCCCTTTTACATGAGTGAAATTATGGATAGACTGTTAATTAACAAAAATAAACTTTAAAATCCTCAAAGGTCTTGTTACTACGAATTAGATTGACCATGTTAGAATATGTCACTGGGTTGCATGTAGTTCTGATCAATTTCTAGAGACTTCTCTTTAAAAGTATTATTAAAGTTGCACCTTTGACCAAACATTACACAAGTTTATACATGTATAATTACATTCTTGAAATTTCAAATATATTTGTTTTTTGTTGAATAGCATTCTCTTCAATTTTCTATTCAAATACATGTATAATGTGGCTTTCTATTCAATACTGAATCGCTTGAACCATGTTCTGTAACATAAAATCATTATGTCAGGAAAGGTTTTTCTGAAAACTTAGCACATGATTTCACAATAATGATATGTGGTAGACAGGCTATTTTTAATTGTTTCTTGATTACTTTGGTGCTTTTGAAAGCCCACATTTATTTCTTAGATGTGTATACATTATTCTAGTTTGAACTGGGTCATCAGTGTAGCACTTTGTTACTAAATCAGTAAATGAACCAAAAGCCCAAAATCTAATTTTGTTGTATAAGGATTCTTTTGTGTATTATATGTATTAGGTTAATTCAGGTTGTTCTTGCAAGCATTATGCCATGGCCTAACAAATTTACAACGTAATGCAATATTTTGCATGATAATTATACTGAAATATGAATGATTAGTGATAAGATAATTAAAAAGATATGTGTTCTCATAGGTCGTTATCAGGCAATATAGCAGTTTAAAAATTCAAGAGGTAAAATATACTTTTTATGAACAAATGTTGAAGGAAACAAACCACCCTGTTGGTTAGAATAATGCCTTGTTTCTTAATCCAATTTACTAAACCAACATTTTTTTTTATACCTTCCTTTGCATGTGTTTTTAAGGTTGTTTATTTACTTGTTTTATTTCCTATTAGATAGTGTCAGGTAACAATACATTTACTCTGTACAATTATTAAAGAGGTATCTCTTTTCTAACTCATTTATGTTTTTAAAGAATCTAAGTTGTTAGGCAGCAGAAAATTATAACATAAAACATGTCAGGATTTGCATATTTTAACGTCTGTTAAATATATATATGTAAAAAATGTTACTTTTGATATATTTTACTTTGGTTCATTGGCAGAAATTGGAATAATTAGGAACTAACTGTTACCTCCATCTCCCTCTTTCTTTTACCATCCTGTGTTTAATGTAAAGAAAAGGCATGTTGTTTTTTTATTATATTTAAGATGTCAACATATCCAGAAAAATGATAAAAAATCAATAATTCTTTCTATTTATAAGAAAGTACTTACTGCCTTTATAATTGACAAGGTTTATTTACCTCAATATTGACCCTTTTGATATCCTTGGCTGTAAGGTATAATCTGGTACTTTATGGATTTATGTCTTCGGAATATATGTTCCTGTAAGTTATCTTTCCCAAATTTTTACAAAATTTAAATTGCTTAAAATAAAAAAAACATAACTTTAAGACAGTCATAGTGGCACCTACCATAATAAATAGAGATAACTTACTGCTGAAACTTTTGTATTTACATATATTTTTGTGTGGAATTATTTGCTTGATGATATCCCTTTTTTTTTTAAACAATTGTTTTCCATAAAAGACCAAAAACAAACATAACTGCATTTACATGCCATTTAGGTGAATTACCCAATGCTTACGTCTGTATGTACAGAAAGTACCGGAAAAAATTATGCTAGGTTTTCGAAGTTGTGAATTGAATGTTTGTAAATTTAATCAGTTGTCTCCCTTATTGACTGATTATGAAATAAGTATGAATATTTTATTCAGTTGCTCTCTTATTGAGTTATTTTATTATAAATATGCATATTTTTATCAGTTGCCTCCCTTTTTCTTAAATGTAAGTATGTTTGTTTCAATCAGTTGCCTCCCGTTTACTTAAATGTTGACTTATTTGAATCAATTATCTCCCATTACCAACTTTTTTTTAAAAGTATGAATTAATTTCAATAAATTACCTCCCTTTCTGACTGATTTTAATAAAGTATGTTTGTTTCAATCAGTTGCCTCCCTTACTGACTGATTTTAACTATGGGTATATTTACAACTTTCCGGTAAGTAAACACACGCATTGCACGGGAAATGGTCATTGCACAAGTTTTTTTAAACTGGTATTTTTAATTAAAGTTACTGTTCAGGGGGAGCAAGTTAATGTTGATGTCTTTAGACTTTTGTAGAATGTTCAGTTATAGAGTTTTTGGCACATGCTATGTTCAAGTTTAAACTGACTTTTAGATAGTGTATGATGTTGCATGAATGCATGTAGTGTTCAACTGCATTTGCATGTTTACTAAGAATAAATAACTACAACAAAAAAACAAAACAAAAATTAATGTAGATATGTCAAAAGATTTTACAAAAAATTTATTTATAAAAAATAACTTTGAAAACAGTTATTATTTAAGAATACTTAATTTATACTGACGAAAATAACTTAATATATCAGTCATTTTAATATCATTAATGATAGTTTTATAAAAGAATGTTGTTAAGACACTCATAAGACTAAATGTATTCATATACGTACATATAAACATTGGTTTATTGACATTTAGATATTCTAAAAGTCTCGATTTTTATCAGATTTTTACCTATAATCCAAGAAATATATAACCTTGCCAATTTAAATAACCAAACATATCTCAGCTTGCAGTCCGACCAGACTCTACAGCTTAGTTTAAGGACTAATAACAAAATCTATATATTTATCAATACATGTAGTCAGTTCAATATTTAATAAAGAAGGGAAAGTTGTTAATAGAAACACAGCATAACATTGGGACAGGGTTAGGGTTGATGTTGAACTGGTAATAACTATCTTAACTTAAGTTGACTAAAATCTCTATGATTAAAAGCAATATCCATTTATTATTTTCTATTAGGGTGTTTTTGGTCAGGGCCAAGGTCAAGGCCAGGTAATAAAACAAGCTCTGTTTGATAATGCTGCATACATTTATTTATTTGCTCTGTGGTGATTTGTAAAAATGCAGACATGGCAGTTAAAAACATAACCCCCAAGAAAATGCTGCCTTTTCTCTTTTTTTTGACAAACCTTTAGCAAAGGTGTTTTTTTATGTAATTGTATTAACTACATTTTATAGTGCTCTGTATATAATTTTACTAGACATGCTTGCAAATCATATCATTTGTCATCCAATCAAAAAAATCTTGTCATCCAATGGTGAATAAATTCCATTGATATGCCATATTGTTGATTAATGATAAGTAAAAGGCCAACTTTTTTACTGAAAGGCAGAACAAATGAAAACATATCTTCTAATAAAGTTGTTTTAATTCATGAATGTCATTCTTATATATTAAACGTTCTGAAAATTATGTTTTGAAAACATCAAAATAAATATAAAGATTAATATAGTATAAGAATATTGTTTAGGTTTTGAGATTGCATAATTTAAATTTGATCTGTGATATAATAATCTTTTATTCATTTCTGCTTAGTGTATTTTTATTTTATTATTGATGACAAAATTATAGTCCTATATTTATAATAGTCTGATTTTAATAAAGTGATTTACTATATCTGTTACAGAAACTGCAGTATTTTTAAAAAAATATAAATGAAACAGACTTGTCAGGTTGTCAATAAAGAACGTATTTTATAGAATTCCTTTAGTTATACAGATTAGTGTCATGGTCATTAATAGGCTAAGTTGTACAATACAGAATAATCAGTTTATACCTGTCTCAGTATTTTTATTTTATTACATTAAATGCAGATGTTAAAATTGTCACAAAAGACAAATACAGCTATTATTGTCAATAATTCTTAAGGAGCATCGTTACGTACTTTTAATAGATCTGGTATGAGTCTTGCTGTCAGTGTAAAGATTGGACCTATTAGTGTAACCTTTGATTAAATTACTGTGAATATATATCAATTGTCAATGGTTCCAAATATTTTTTTAGCCTGCAAAAACACAAGAGAATGTAAAGATATCAAAGAGGAAGCCTTCCACCTCTCATGCACATGATGACTTGAGATCCACGTGCACAAAATTATGTCCGCCTAATTGCCCATTGAAACACCACGAAGTTGTGAGTCTGCCATAGTGTTTACGTATTGTGTTGTAACCCAGATGACCTCTATCAGAGGTCATTTTATTTGGCTCTTCCCCCCTCCCGTAGAGCAAGAGAATTATTGTATTATTGATAATTATTAAGATAGCATTTTAGTTACCTTTTAGTTCAAGCTATGAAGAAAACTGTACATTTTAAGTTTGAATATACTCTAGACAGCCCGTATATTTTTTGTACCTAGATGAATTTTTATCAATTATTTTTACTTCAAAGTCTTATTTTTTTAGCCTTACATAGTATTTATTAGCATAGCAACGTTCTGATTTTGCATTGTTTCTGTGTGATTTTATGTTAGATATGTTTGACAATATAGCTGTGAATATTGTACATATCTATATATATTTATCTTTCGAAGCTTTGATAATTATCATTTCAACTACACAAATATGCTTATTCTTGAATGGCCCCTAAACCTTTAATGTTTCGTTTCATGACCATAATATGTTGAAATAAATTCTAACTAACTTTGTTAGTGTTTCTATATGATACAATGAACTTTTACAATATGTGCATCATACAAACAAAAATAGTGAACGAATTTCATATTTCAAAATACATCTCTTTTTGTTTTGGTCATTTAAAAGTTAGTGTTTGTTCATTTGGCGATTCTTCCAAAGTATGTTAGCATTCGTGAAGGGTTTCCACTGAGGTCCAAAAGCCTAACAGCATGAAAATTGATTTTACTCATAACAACTGGGGTACTTTTAGAACAAAAAGAAATATACTCAGCAAATCAAAAGTTGAATATTTGGTACAGTCATAGCCTGATTTGAGGTAACTGTAATTTAAAAGGCTTTTCATGTTTGGGTCATTTGTCACAATTTTAATAATTATTCTGGAAGCTGAATTTACACACTTGTTAAACCACCATGTACATCCAGTAATGCCGGAATGTGAAAATAATGCATGAATTGTGCAATAGTAAAAGACACAGATTCATGCAAATTTATGATTAAATCAAGCTCTACAGTAAGTAAATCAATATATTTTATAGATAATCAAATTGAAAGGAATGGATAAGCACATACTGTTGCTGAGACATTGTATTTTAAACCTCTTTAAAAAAAAACTTCAAGAAAGTGTTTGTTTTTTTAAGATCATTCATGAGAATGATGACCTGAATTACGTCTTGAATGTGACTTTTGTGTTTTGTCAATATGTATGAATATAATTACGACATACGTATATATTACATCATTGCTTTTGATATTCGGTAAACCTGAAACATTTGCCAAACTGCTCGTGAAATATTACTGATGTAACAGATAGATTGTGATAGAAAATTTTTTGGGGCAACGCCGATTTTATGCTTGATGCAACACAGGAACGATGGTTACCTCATAAAAAGTACCAGTGTCATATTTTATCTGCTTCCATTTAGAATAATTTGACACTAGTAGCTTGGCAAATGTCAAGGTATACTAGTTTTAAATGCATTATTGTACCCAATAATTTGGATAAAAGTCGTCTTCGAAACGGTACTCGATCAGGTCTTCATTTTCTTGAATGATCTTAAAAAGTAAACATATTCCTAGACATATTTGTAATGTTGGTTCAAGTATAATGTCATAGAAGGTGTATGCATTTATTCATTTCTTTTCTGTTGGTTTTCTATTTTTCGGTTTACTAATATCTGTTATTCGTTTTGGCCATAGCTCTCTGTTGCACGATACCTGTGTTATTTTCACATTCTTCCGTTACTGAATATGGACGGAGTTATTGGTCCAGATCTACATGAAAGGGTACATGTGCAGTAATTTAAAAATAAATAAAAAACTTATTCCCAGTCCTGTCACGGTTGAGTTCCTTGAACGTTAACATATAAGTAGTAAATGTGATATGATATTCATAAATGTCTTTAAAAAGAGACTATTTTAAGCATGTCAGACTTTAAGATTTCATCTAAATACAAATGTACTATTAGTTACACCTGACATATCTTTGTTGATATTTTCATATTGATTTTCAAAAATCAATCAATTATTTAAGGTTATTTTTTATTTTTAAACTGAATTAAGGTGAAGCACTTTGAAAAGTTTAACATTCCAATTGTTTACTTAATAAATGATTCTGTAAAAGACGAACAATTTAAGAGACAGATAGATATAGATATAGAATAGTTAGAATTTAGGGGTAATGATGTCAAAACTATCTTGTTAATTATATACCCCTGCTTTATCATTTTGAAAAAAAGTTCTTTTCCTCTAAATAGTTTATTTTAGGGGCTGATTAATCTCTTATCTCCCTTTATTAACCAACAGAACGTAAAACACAATATTCGGAGGCTAGCCTTGAGAAATCTTGGCAGTCCTCAGGTATGTCACCTTTACTAATAACCATTTCTAGATTAACTGTCGGACAAAAATCTACATTTTTTCTAAACTTCTACTTGGCTGCCATTACTTATTTAAGGTTAGGTTGTCAAAACACCATGTCAGAATCAGATACTCTCAATGTTGATATAGTATTGTCTAGAGAAAACAGATAAAAAATGCAGGCTCAGTAGTTTTTACTTTGTGTAGAAATGGTTTACTAAAACTAGGTTATTTTACTCCCTGTCCTGAGCTACTTTTGATATTTCTTATTTACATTATATTTGTAATGAGCAACCAATGGCAGCCTCGTTAAATCTTTCCTCTTTCTTAGTATACATACATATTTCTCTTTAATGCTGATTTAGATATTTTATTTACTGTAGAGTAGCAATTTTTTCCCTAAACTTAAATGCTGATTACAGCTTCTTACTATTAAACGACAGCTCTTCCTGTTTTTTATACGCATTTTTGGTGCATTTTTGGTTCATCTGGTCGATAAAAGCCTCTCAAATTTCTTTTGCATTGAATTATTATCAAGTAGTGTTATATCCTTATAATTTTTTGCCTTAAAAGTTAGGTTGGAATCTTTGCAAAGTTCTGATATAGAATTGACTTTAAAACTCATTTCATTTGCTTCAGTGATGCTTTGCTCTTGTGCTGAATGAGTAACAGAGCTAACACCATCACTTCTATCTACTCTACGTGTGAACATATACATGACAACGGTTCCCCCAATCTCTTTTTTTTTGCGAAAGAATTTCATTTTTGACGTTCAGCACTTGCTATTTCACTTCGATTCAATATATATTGGGCTACACGGGAGCATTTGGTATCTGTGTGGTAAAATGATTTTAAATCGTAGAAGTAGCCTTAAATTTAAAACTTAGATTCTTGAATCTTTAGGCCAGTTTAAAATAATAGAAATGACCAAATGTCTCGTCAATTTTATTTTGGTTTTGTTGTGAATCTCTCTGCATTTATGTGATACATGAACACGATTCGGCTTATTTCAAAAAGATATATTAAAATGAGTATCAGTTTTGATTTAAAACATGAACTCTGTTTGTTTATTAAACAAGATTATTATATGATGATTTATTTAGTGCATATGAATCCCATAAGTGCTGAATTGTAGTGTAGTTTTTTGTCATTTCCTTTCCCGTCTTTTATCTTAGATTTCTTTTTATTTTCCTCTCCTCTTGCACTTGGTAGGAAAATCAAAGATGGCTGTACACAAATCGGCAGATGGACTCGTGCCTTTCTGGACGACAAGCTCCTATTCGTATAAAGGACAAACAGTACTATAAAAAGCTTCTTGATCGATATTTCGGTCACAATCATGCATTAGCAAATGAGAACAATTCTCGTTTAGACAAAACCATATATAGGTCAAATCGTAACTTTGCCGGTCGTGGTATTAATAATAAGGAAGATCTAAACCGTCAGTTTCCGCATGTGAGACTGTCATACAGCAGTAGTGATAGAAAAGTGTTGCTCACTCATGAGCCCTATATACTGGAAGGCTCTGATACCGAGGAAGTTTTTGAACTGGAGGTATGTTGGACCTTGGCATAGATAAAAGTTCAAGGTCAGGCTTTTTGGCCCTGATTGAATGGTGTGAAGTTTTGCGTCTGAAACTAATGCTTTAAAAAGGCGGAGTTTGTTGTCTCTATTAGAGTTTGATCATTAAAATATTAATGTTTGTTTTATTTACGTTTTTGTTTAAATTCTGCTATTTACTGAGTTTCTTTTGCTTTTTGCATGTGTTTGGCGGATTGTTAATCAGGCAGAATTATGCATGCAACCGAGTGTTTTATCGTCACCTTTTGAAACACAATGTTACAACAGCCATCTTTGTATAGTAATACCATTCACTAGCTTTGCCTTCAATTAATTCTTTTAGTCTTATTACTTAATTAATACATTATTCTTTGCTTTTTATGCACTAATACAATTAAAAGTTAAATTACAAAAGTAGAAAATGTAGGCTATCAAGTATAGATAAATAAGACTTTTTCTTTATAGATTATTTAGTTAAAAATGAGTATATGATAGTAAACATCTTGGGCGGATATTTTGCATGACAAAAGTGGAATCGGATTACCTGTACTATCTGCATGTTGTCTATAATTTATGCATGTAATCTTTTTTACTGAAAATGCTATTTTGAAGGAAAGCTTTAACGAGAATTGCTGGTCAAAATAATTATAATTTGCATGAATGTGACCATAATTATGATTACTTCTAATGCATTCCATTAAGATATACAAAATATTGTACTTTGCGATTTATTATTCATAATAAAATTGATAGATCTATATAAATTGACAAAGAGTTTTCAAGGCCACGCGAAGCTGATGTAGGGTATCACATACCAAACGTATAATTCTTTTATCTTTGTGGCCTTTTAAAAAAGTCGTACATGCTTTTCAACAATAAGCACCGGTACTTCACTTCATCAAGATTATTGCAATACATCATTAGGAAAGTATGAGGTTCAGGTTTTCAAACAGAGCTGCCTTGATTTTCATTTTCCAACTCTTCACTGGTCTGACTAGGTAACTTGGCTTGAAAGTTGAAATATGTAATATCAAGATAAAAAATTGCAGGCTCAATTTTACGATCACAGTAGTAAGAACAATCTACTTGGCAATATAATTTTGTTCAATGCATGAACACTTAAGAGCCAATTCTTGATTTTCTGGAAAACAATGACTACCTTTTAACCCGTGATCGTTTATGTGGGGGCAGCATTATATTTCTCCTTTTTATATGACTGTCATTGCAGCCTTGACTTGGTTGATTTATGTTAAAAATCTTACGCAATCCTTTAAATGCACTGATTACAACGTTATATTGGCATCAGTGAAGCACAGAACTAGTCAATAAATCTGCCTGACAACTCAATGTCAGTCATGTAAAACAAAGGGCAGAAATTTTAAATCCAAGACTGGATAAATATGTACATAATATAAATTATTTTTTCAAAATTATTACTCTTCACTTCTTCACATTAGCTTTGTGTGGCCAATACGAAACTCTATTTTTAAGATTACATTATTTTCAAAGTGAAATTACAAAATTCAGTTTGTTTTTTTTTGTAATTTATTTAATGAAAAAATCCCGGTGAGGCCAGTCAGATCTGGTTTTGCTCACTCTTAGCTAACAAGTGTCACATTTTTTCCGCAATATTGTATGAAATATTAGTATGTATTATTGTTATTGACCAAAGACATAATATGTTATATGTTTGGGCTTAGCTGTGTGGGTGTTTGGGGTTCCCTGTAACAAATGTTTCAGGACGCCTTTGTTGTTTATGGAGGTGGCAGATTTGTATCTAAACTAATAAACATGTTTGTGTGAAAAAATCTCCATACTTACCCCATTTAAATTCTGTTCCAATGTGACCTTTAAAAAATTTACGCTTAAAGAATAAAGTGCATACTTAAATAGTTACTAAATCTGTGTGTTTACAAAAGATAAAAAGCTGTTTAAAGGGAAAAAAAACCATAAATTTAATATAAAGCAGTCCCTTTGTCTTGACTGCAGTTTACTTTATTATTATCATTTTATCATTTATTTTTTGGAAGCCTAAGTGTTACTTAAATGTTCGGCCTTTTGCAAAAGATCACATTGGAATAAATGACTCAATATAGATGCATGTATGTACCACAATTAAATTGCATGCATTGCAAATATAACATTTAGGAACCTACATTATCTTAACCACTTATCTCTTAATTAATGGTTTGATGTGTGCTGTGATTAATTTAACATATACATGTACTAACAACATTCTTTTATTCAGCATTCAAACAAAGTGTTTCTCTATCTAAATGTTGATATTTTGGCTATAATTACATTACATGAAATTCGTTTGTGGCCTTTCTGTGCATTCTTACAACATTAGGCAAGACTGGTTTTGGAGCATGCATCTGGCTGAATTAACTGTTGTTGTTAATAGTTGATTGTCTTTTTGGCATTGTTACTTGAAATGTTACCGAATTGTCTTTTTGGATAAATTTCTAAAAACTTAAAATTTTCAAAGTAATTTTGTCAACAATGTAACTGTACATGTAGGTTTCCTGTGCATGTTAAATAAAAAAATCTATATCTGAATTAATACAAGAACAATTTTTTGTGTGAAATCACCTTTAAAATCTTTAATAAATATTCTCTGAAGTATATAAAATCTTACATCATCACTTGTGTAATCACCAACTAAAAGTATTTAACACCTCATTATCCAGGTTAATCCTAATTGACTGCTTTTCTCCATCTTTCTGGTTTATTTTCAGACAGAACAGGATTGTTCCGGTCAGCGTGTAGATAGCCAGATTAGTGTAGGTGCCGGTAGTTACACGTTGCAACCGGATCGCAGTGTAACATCTGTTATGTCCGGCCTTTCAAATGGCAGTGGTCAGACCGGCACCTATGGTTTGATCAACGATCTTGGCGGTCTATCGCAGCCGAATCAAATCGGCTCCAATAGCTCTACAAGTTCTCTTTCAATGACCTCACAAGCTTCGTTGCACACGCACTCAAACACTCACACCACAACTAACATCTGTCTGTACCCACCCCCAAACCCACTAGCTAAGCCCATTTTACCGGCTACGACCGGTTTGTCAAAAATTGTACAAATTTCAAACAATACTGTCTCCACATCTCAGCCTGGGCATGGTGGTCGCAGTTGGACGCACAAGTCAAGTACCGCTGGGAACCTTGGTAGTGTCAATGAAAGAACGGTTCCTTCTTACCAGGTGAGACATGACTTTTGAATAGGGATTTAACTTTATTAATTTGTCTAGATGTTATATGTTACATGTTTATTAATACTGGCAAAGATCTGTTTTAAGGTACATTTTTCTCATGCAGAAGTAAAGGAAAATGGGATACGAGTCTTGTTCAATGTTCATGCCTTTATGCAAAAAGATATTTTTCTTATCAGCTTACAAGCAGCAGATATACATTGTACACCAAGTATCTGATTCACTGGTCAATCTTGTATATGCACATAGTTCTAATTATTTTCATTATTATTTATCATTTATGTTCATTTTACCATAGAATTAGCAATCACTTACATGTACAACTGCATAGTGAGTTTACAAAAGAAATATTAAATACACTAGCGCTGATTTTTGTAGAAATAAGCTAGAAATTTGAAATTGTTTTGTAACTGCTCGAAATTTGTTTATTGCACTGGCTTTTCATTTGCAGTGAAGCGTGCTTATTCAGTTGTTAAAAAGATAAAAACATATTTATCATAAGACGGAGAACATTTATACTCTTGAGCTTGCCTGCTGTTTGACTTTAAATCCCAAATCAAGATACAAAATTTAGCTGATATATGGCTTTCAATTTTCTTATGTATTTCCATTAAAAATGCCTTACTTTTATGTACAACAATTACTAAATTAAGTATTTTACATTTCTTTAATTTTGTCAGGAATGATAAATTACATGTTTAAGTAGAATTATTATGAGAAAAAAAAATTGTGGCAAAGGAAAGAGAAACTTAAGTACATTTGATATTTGCTTGGTTATTACATTTGTTCTTATAATTCATTTTCATTGTAAACAGAGAAACAAGTTTATTCGTAAGCCCCTTGGTAGCACCGGAAGGGTAGGTGGTCCAAGTACGGTGATACCCGATTCTGAATATAGGAATTTGTCATCATTACTTGAAACTGAGGCTGAACGAAACCGGATTCTTGCAAGAAATGGTTTTACAAGTAACAGTTCAACGGATAATCGTCCTGACTCAATAACGCCAAATTCAAATCAAAAGAGAGTACTAAGTGCCTCTGGTCAACGTAAGGATAATGGTAAGGATTTACACTATTGATTTGTTCTCAGGGCTGTCCTCCTGAAATGTTTACTTATGTTTTCAACTTCTGTCATGTACAAATAAGAAGTGTTAAGAAACTCGGTCCAGAATCTGATGTTTAGTAAAGGCCACATATTACACACAAGCTACAGACCAAGTTTTGTGGTTCATGGTCCATTAATTGGTTTATTCTGTTTAAAAGATAAACAGATAAATGATAAATAAAAGTAAACAAAGAAATATTTATAATTACTGTCATCGTGGCCCTACTTTACTGTTAGTGCCTTTATTAGTGCACTAGCATTATGAATTTGAAAACATTGTGAATATTTCAAAGGTTGAGCTATGTTATTGAGTATGCAACATGCATGATGTTGTTTGTTACACCTTTGATGTAAGGCATGAGAGCAAGAATTTTAACTTTGTAAACTTTATTTATGCCATATCAGCGGAAGCAATAACTCAATTAACCTCCCAAAAGAAAGTTTTGGTGGTTATTTGTTTCCCCAAGGATAATGCCATTGATAAAGATCTAGTTGGTTTCTGTATGATTTGCAAAGATATACAAAGAGATATAAGAATTTTTTAGATTCTGTGTCACAATATCCGTTTGTTTTCTGAACGGGTCAGTTGAGCATCTCACCTAGGTATAGTAGAAACAAACTCCAGGTAATAGCCCTGCACTTTGGGTTAGTCAAATAGTAAAACCCTTCCTAAAAGCCATTGCACTGCGAGTTGGACACATCCACATTTTTCGGCACCGAAATTAAACCACCGAATTTTCTGGCTCTTTTTGGACAAACATAATTAAAAGCTTGACTGGTGTATCGGTCATTCAACATTCAGAACCATTTGCTCTCATGTCTGCATGATTGTATGTAGAATGTAGTGTTTGCACCTTTTCATGTATTACAATAAGATATACTATCCATTTCTCATCATCGAAGAAAATCGTTTCATTTATATAACTTACCTCACACATTTTTAATTGCAATGTAAGACATTTTCAGCGTTTTTCGTCCTCAACAAAGGATAGGAAAAGCTAGTCAATCCAGTGCTTTTCATGCTTGAATCCTGTCCTTTCAACACTCACAATATTTCATGTATAAAACTTTCCTTTTTGTAGTACATTATGTATTTACACGTTGACGGGTAAGTTGCTCGTGTTAATGAAAAAAGATCCCCTGCGTCTGATTTCTTTATTTGGTATATCCGTCACTGTTGCAATTATTAATACATTAATTCGATATGTGACCTACTTTAAGTTACTAAAATGTAATAATTGTAACAAGCCTTCACGTTAAGCAGTTGGTTGACTACCTTTTACCTCTAACATCATTGTTGTCTGAGAGGAAAACGAACAAAAAATGGTGATGAATTTCAGGTCCATTAAATACGGTCACACTCACGTTACGAGGGTCACTCACACTCTCGGAAAAATGGCTGTACCAAATCCTTGAGCAATACAAAAAATAGTTCTAGCTCACAGTCACGTATGCATGAGTATTTGTTTCTTGAGGCTGAATTGAATAGATGTGCAGGAGGCGGGTTGTAGCTTATTGTAACAGGAATGATTCCTCATTCATACGGTTTCTTGCTTTTTTCGAGGGATTTTTTATTCATATTATTTACGTTTATAATTATTATTTTAAAATTTTGATTGGTAACAAAAAATTGAAATGATATTCAAACTTTCATGATAAATGACTGATTAAAAAAATAAATTGCAGGAAAAACTTACAGGATGCTCAGGTTTATATAACTAAATTGTTGCGTTACATTCTCAAGTGTTGTTATGATTTTGCATGCATTTTCATAAATTGATACTATTTTTGTTCAATATTTTGCAATGTTTTGAAATAAAAATGGTTTTATATTAAGATTATTAGTATTGTTATTTTTATCGAATACAGGTTTAATACAACACCATGCAATTATAACCAATTTCATCAAACGTGACAAAAGAAGCGATATACAACAAATTATGCTGTAATGCTCGTTTTAAAAAGAAACAAAATGATAATAAATCTTTTTGACTGGCATTATAAGCAACGAACGTTGTTAATTTTAACAAGTTTATTAAAAAGAAAAATATTTGTTTATTTTGAAATATTTGCATGCGACAAAATGTTGAATTTGACTGATTAATCGCGACACGTGTTTCTTTGTTTCTTATTTCAACTCTTTCGAATTATAAGTTTGTAATGAGGAAGCATTCTGGTTTGCAATGTTGATTTTTGATACTCATTTCTTTATATTTTTGTCTCGTCAATAATAATTTTATAACAGGGCTTTTTTTTACTTTTTTTCTTGTTGTCTATTATTTTTGGTTTCTAGATGGTATTACTACTCAGCCACAGATTAAGACAAAATATGTGAGTGAGGCAACTGGTATGTGCTGATGTGATTATGTTGCTGTGCGAAATTTCCCCCATTGTCAATCCGAATGTTTTTTATTCTGTTTCTGCATTCCCTGTCATTTTAAAGCTCAGTTGATATAATACAAAGGCAACAATGGTGATGTGTCTCAAAATTTTATCATGAACATGTTAGCATTAATAGATGGCATGAAATTTTAGAAAGGAAAGATCCATTAAAGGAAGTGGAAATAGAAGTTAAAGTTGAAAATTGTATACTTCGCTTGAATCTGTTAATGCTAAGATACCGGAAGGTGTTAAAGCATTGACTTTGTAGGATATATTCTAGTCTGTGCGACCAAAATATTACAACACGTGAGATGAAATAAGTCACTTTACGGAAGCGTTGTGTTGTCAAACTTCATAGGATAAGAGCTTAATTCATTTGTCCATTTCATAGCAAAAACATAAGCATTTTTAGAATTGCACGAGCGATATGCTGGCTGCTTCATTATCAATCATCATAAGAATATTTTGAATAAATACCAGTACCTAAAACAAAAGTCATCAAAATTTGATTTGGAACATGATAAAGGGTGCTAAGATAAAGGAAATACAGTTTAACAATCAAACGTTATGAAAGAATGATACAGTGCTTTTCTATTATTGAAAATGGATTGAAATTTTTGCCATCATCAGGTTTTGTCTTGGGTAATTTTTATGGCTGTACAAAATCATTGAAAATTGTAACCACATGCCATAGTTCATAACGAATGAAATTCAAAAGAGATAACAAAACATTCTCTCAAATATGTGAAGAGTTTAGTTGCCAATTTAGAGATACACATGTAGTAGGTTTATTTAAAGGTGTTTTTTTTTTAAAGTTTTCATTATTGATAAATTCATTTTTCACATCACCGTGGTCTTTGTAGTATTTCATGGAGCTCTGATCAGTTTACAGGATACATTTTGAATGAAGTTCTTCTTCCATGTCATGCATTCCTAAACGGAAATTCTCGTAACATAAAAATGTTATACATGTATATACAAATTGTTGAAAAATTACTTATAAAAAAGAAAAGATTAAATATAGCAATATCCAAAATCTATTTCAGTAAGATAAGATCGAACTTTAATTCCAAGCTGCTAAAACGTGATGTTCTTCTTTTCTCGTATAAATCAGATATTTTAACACAGTATTGATCAAGTAAAATGAAAAACAAAACCTCAGTTATAAAATTAGTTCAGGTAAAAAAAGATTAAGACGGTCCAAACAAAACTTGGAGTATGAGCTTCAGTCTGAATGTTTATATAAGGCTTGGGGCTATAAAAGAGCTTAAAACACAAGACTGTTTTTTTTTAGTGAAAGGTACGTTTTTGCTTCTCCAAATGAATGCAGCCAGTAAAATATAGATTTGAAAAACATTGCATGCAGATGCTTCGGAATGTTTATTTAGCATTATTTGCCAGTTATTCTTTGATATTGTTGAATGGGAATTGTGTTTTTTTTCTTTTCTTCTTTTTATTACGGATATTGACACTATCTTTATGTCAGAGTTTGGGTCTGTGTTTTTCAGCTAACTACAGGCTGTAAGTCTGATTCATTTGCAGTACATGTATTTAACCATCCAACAACCTTGCATGCTTTTTCCCTTTGGCCTTTTAATAATTGTCTTTTTTCCTAAAACTTGATTGTTTTTTTGTGTTAATATGTATAGATGTCACTTTTGATGTAATTTTGAGTGTACTAATTTGAATTTTTTTAAAGTTTACATCTCGATTCTTTCGAAACTTAAATTTGAATTGAGTAAGAGAGGTGGGTTTTTGTATTGTTTGACATTAGTGCAAAATGAATTGCGCTGTCAGTCCAAAGGCAATTTAGTTATTATGAAATTTAATATATTTCATTTTTTTCAAGTTTTATAGATTTGCCATTGTATGACATAAACATATATCATTCAACAAATAAAATGTATTTGCCATAATTTTTATCTTCTATGATCAGGTCATTCTGAAAGTTGCATGTTGTACATGTTGCCTTATTGATCTCTGTAGTCGGCAAATTTAAACGGTATTTACAAGATGCTTGCCCTTATAGTATGAATCAATACTGGCTATATTGTTGACTATCTGGCTTAACAAGTTTTATTTTGACTTTATTGGTATTCAGAGTACAAAGCTTTACATACAATTTACAATAAGGTGAAAATCTTGAAGAAGGAAAGTTTGATACAGAAAACAATTGTTGATACTAGTTTTAAAACTGTTTCAGTAGCTTTTCTTCAATGTTTCGGTTACTTTCCTTCTTCATGATACGAGTTCCTACTTAAACTGCTAATGAGTTCTATAATTGGAGGACAACTTTGTTTTATACTACACTTTGTTTATTATGCAGAAAATAATCTCTTATCATGTATTTATATATTTATTTGGATTTAGAATTGATTATTGTTTTTTTTTGTTGTTTTTTTCTGTCAAGGTTTTACATAAACAGAATATTTTAATCTCTTTTATTATCCGGTGCTCTATTTTTTAACCATAATTGTATTTTTAAGGCTAGAACATTATCACAGAATTCGTTAAATGTTAACCCTGAATTTTATCCAAAAATTGTCAAGTAATACTTTGAAGTTTTTAATTCAAAATTTCATATTTAAAATAGCTGGAATTTATAACACAATATTTCGATAAAATGTCAGGAATTTATAGTATGATGTAAACACCATAATGTTAAAGTTAAGATAGATAAATTCATTTAGTTGTGTATTAAAAATATTCTGATATTTACTAATGGTGACACATTAGAAATATTTATACTTACTTTTTATTTTCATGTTTATTTTTGTTCTTATTATTATATGTCTCAATATAAAAAAAAGATTGTGTATGTTTAATTGCTATTTTCATGTTGTATGGATGTTTCATGTTTCCCTTTATGATATAACCATTCTTTCAAATTGATACTTATGTGGCTTTGAAAGGAAGAAGTAACATTGTGGTCTGTTCAGATCTGCACATGTCAATGATTTGGTCTTAAAATATAAGCTTTTTAAGGCTGCGAGTTTGATTTCTGAAACGAAGGCCAGGAAATATGTCTTGTCTCATTTGTCAAGAATTTCGTTCTTGCCACTTGCCCCCAACTCTCTCCCCTTCCCAACAAAAAATAGCTAGCAACTTGCTTAATGATGTTAAAGTATCTGTGCTAATACAAAATGTATATGTAACAAATTAATAAGCATGAAACAAAACGTCATAGCCACATGAGTACCAATTTTATAGACATTGTTGTATACGAACCATAACCTTTGTGTACAGTATAAGTTAGTAATGCAGAGGTATTAACTGTAATGTACAGGCGCTGTAATTTGTGTTTATGTCAGGTTACCGAACAGCACACCAATCAAACCCACTCTGGCAGTACCATCTTATCGGAGGGCAGGGTAGTGTATCGCTCATGTTAATCACTTGTACTTGAGCTCCTATTGCCTCAATTTTATCTCAGAACTGATATTAAAAATATCTTTAAACATAGCTTTACATGGCAGTTATACCAGCATCCGCAAGTTTTTCTGTTACAAAAGTTTAAGACATTTGAAATGGTATTTTTAGCATGACAATTTAGGAGAAGACTAGCTGAAATTTGTAAACTGCTATTGATAGACGGAAGTTTACAGAATTTTAACATGGAAAGTATCAGTCAAGTATCTAAGATTATTTTGAAAACAGTCACTCTGTTTTTGGAAATATCTGTGCATAAATGATAATTATAACTTTCCTTATAAAAGCAAACACTTTTGGTGAACAAAATTTACATATCAATCTTACAAAATATATTAAGTCTTAAAATGTATCATCAGTATGAGATGTAAAGGAGGCATAAATCTGCTCTGTATTTAACCATTCATCATCCATCCTGAAACTATATATTTTAAACTTTGATTAGTGAAGGATTACTCTACCTAACAGAAATATTATACAAAACTTATTGAACTTGTTCCCTGTAAAAAAATTATATGTATTTTGGTACCTAATTTCAGGTCTCTAAATTGGACTTTTATTACTTAGATGTAATTTTAAAAAGATTTACTTTTATGTGAGGTAGCGAAGGAATGGTAGTTTTGATAAGACCCATTTTGCTGTGACATGAGAACATTCATGATATAATGAAAATAAAATGACCCATGGTTATGACCACAGCCTTCCTGTTTCCCAACAAGATGAAAAAGAAATTAAAAGAAAATGATAAGATTCTTCGTATACCTAAAAATCCATGCTATTTTAATGTCCCTCAAATTTTGAACAATACTAAGTTTTGTTACATTTTGATATTAGGTAGAGTATTCTCTAGGTCAGTATTAATCATCTTGTGCCTTTCTGATATAAATTATTTTGTTAAATTTTGTATTCCACAGGCATTTCTTTGTGGAGTATATTCCATCATACTACCTTTTCTCATAACATCCTTCTGTATTGAATACTATCTGAAATAGTTTATGTATATGTAACTTCTATTAACTTCTGATCCTGTGTGGTATTAAAAGTAAATAGGACCAATGTCATCATGAGGCTGAATTAGAATTTTTTTTAACTTCTACAGGAAGGCCTAATTTCTTTTGCTTTGTAAAAAATGGTCGCATTACCATGTTTGCTGCTTAAGGTGATAAATACTGACCTAAAATTGTCTTTGTAATTTTATACACAATGCATGTACTGACATTTTAAGCTTATTTAGATATATTTTCATTTAGTACATAAGGCATCTTCGTTTATATATATATCGTCTAAATTTCTCATTACATATACATAAAGTTTCTTTCTATAGATACTGAAAAGTACCTGCCTGATAGATTCAAACAAGCGGAATGAAACTTGCTAGTTATTTAAATGTTTAGTCTTATTTTGCACAATTTGATGAGTCCAGTCGAGTTGAGAAGCCGACACATGGCGTTATTTGTATCTTCAGTACCTTAAATAAAGCACATAAGACTGATGACTGTCCGGCAGAGATAATATTTGTATTAGTCAAGTCTAACAATTATGTATCATTTGGCTACTTTTTAGAATAAAAGTGTTTTATCATTTTGTCTCTTATTTATGAACGTCAGTGGCTCTGTCCGGACGCCAACCTTACCTATGCTTGAAATAATGCATGCAAGAACAGCTTTTTATTTTCGAACATGATTTAATGCACACGAAGTCACATTAATTCTGAAACTCTTGTATGACTTAATAACTTGACCAATTATATTTTGTTTAAATACAAATATCTTTATTTCTCTCAGGTCAAGAAATAAAGATATACAATAAAACATATCATAGTTTAATCATACTCATCGCAGTAGTTTGTTATGAGAGCAGACTTTGATAGTGCTCTCTATATCTTATACAGGTTCAGCGATATCATCATACCTTGGTGGAAGAGCCATTAGATTTGGCGGGGCCAGTAAATTGTAAACTTCTCGTAGTAGTATAATAACAACATTGTTTTTTTCTTCTGTACTGTTGTATATACCAGTGTAAATGTGTGCTGTACATTCTCCGAGTTTTATATAATTTAATCACATTGCCGTACTCGTACAAGCTTTTTATTAGGATTTTTAAATTTGGAAAATTTAATTTGACTGAAGAAAAAAAATACTGATTCAATTGTAGCCAAAACCTGTATTGTTTTAAAGTAACATTTTTCTGTGGTCTTCTTTCTCTCTTTTTTCTTCATAAAAATTGAGAATATATTTGAAAAGGTTCATGTTAGTGGAGCATTTAATATGCAATGTCCTTAAAAGATTTTTTTTTAAATATGATCGTTTACTGTATGTTTACGTAATTAGCTAACAAAAACGTTTTAATACTGCTTCAACTTATTGTTACAGTTTGTATTTTATTTTATTGTTGGTTAGATGATTTTAACAAACATGCATGTACTTTATTAGAACAAGCACTTTCTTATGAAATAATTTTCACATTCTCGAACATAGAATTTAAAAGAATAATAATTTATAGGTTAAAAACTTTTAGTGCTCTAATGAACTGATATAATACTTGCTTCCGTTTTTGTTCACTGAAATCTTGATTTGTGATATCTCACGTATACACAGCTTTGTTATTTTGCTTATGTATCAGTATGATAAAAGTGTGTAAGGAGAAAAGTGATAATGATATTCAATAACGACTGTTCAAACTGATATTTTGTTTCTGAATATTTAATTTATTTATGTTAAAAAAGCATTCCTCTGTGCTTATTACTGTAACAAGTAAATTTCTTAAGTTTTGTTCTTCCAGTTCATTTTGTGATATTTTTTCAGTATAGTTTTAAAAATGGCTGTATTTCCTGACTTGTCTCATTATTTTATATTTCAGACCTGCAACGGTATCCTTCCCAGCACGGCCCAGGGCTGTCTGTAGTATCAGGTAATTGAATAAAAGATTGTCTTTTTTCAGTCTAGCCCTTAATCTGCTGAAATGTAAACTATGTGCCTCTTGCTTTAGATTGGGAACGGGCATTTCAAAATCTCAATACGAAAATTAAGCCATACATATTGCAATGTCTGATATTGTTCTTAACTTGTTGCCGAGGCTGTTCCCTTGGTTCCAGTCGGTTAAGGGTTGAATGAATTAGCTAAATTTGGCACCAAGAAACAAATAACCAGTTAATGTCAGGATAGAAAAAAATTGATAATGTATATAATATTCATTTTGTCTGTATATTTGTAACAATATTACTAGGAGTACAAGTACAAAACAATAGATTTTTACCTTAATTAACAATGTATACGATTAATGATGTTTGTATATGAAACATCTGATACCCATCTGAAGTGACACTGTGTTTGCTTTTGAGGGAATTTAGAACATGTAACATATGTAATATTCCAAACGGATCCAGCTGTTTTTATTATAAAAATGACCTTAAATTCATGTATTATATTTTTCGTATATTGTAGGTCCAGCCCCAGTTATACAGCGACCTGACCTTTGTCACCCATCAACAAATAATCCACCATCATCAAATAGTAGCATTAGTCGAGTTAGTTCCCATCACTCAAGTTCAAATCTGTCTGAGGCAGCTTCGAATGTTTCTGGTCTTAGATCGACCAGATCTCAAAGAATACGTGGCGCCTCCAACAATATCCGTCTTCGCCAAATGGAAATGCGCGAAAACCATGCCGTTGTTTTCAGCTGATAGTAAAATTACCACTCATTAGAGGTGACAATTTATGATAAAAAATACAATTAGAACATTGAGATTGCAAAATGAATATTTGAAACAAAACTGACAAGGATTTGACATTGCATGTTGTGCCAATGTGATTATATTCCAGTTGCCAAACAAAAAATACAAAAACAGTTGCCAAGTGATTAACAGTGAGCTGAAAAAAATTAATATATTCCACATGAACTTGCTTGTTGGTCAGCGTGGCAGTTATATCGTTGTCAAATTTGTTGCTTGTTTTGCGTGACTCGTGATATTATAATATTCATCTATGCAAGTGTTTACAATTTGTAATTGGTAGGAAGATAACAGATATTTCATTTATTCAGTATGTATAGAGTTTGTGTCGATAGAAAGTCGGTATTGGACGATACTTTTTGGAATAGAGGATGATCATGTTGAAAAGGGGGACAAATTAAATAAAAAAAAGTGTGATACATTCAGGGATGTAAAGCTTATAATTTGTTGAAATGTCACTTTTTGAACTTAACATTTTGAGATATGCGAGGACTGGAATTCAGACAGAAAATTCCAGTTGATGTTAGAATACAAATACAATAGTTAAATTTAATTTAACTTTTATAGTATTTCACCTGTTGTGATGAATTTGTGCATATATCCATTTATTCAGAAACAAAGTATTACCTGTCAAATAAGTAAAAGAAGAGCATTTAATTTCAAAATTGCCCTTTTGTTTGAATATTTAACATTTGGATATTCTGTAAGCCTCTTTTATACTCTAAATGAATTAAAGAAGGGCGTTTGTATGATGTACATATAAGACATTATACTGGTTTCAATCCAATATGTAATCTTAAGATACCCTTAGTGCTGAGCTAGAAATTTTTTTACTACATGGAAAACACAATGAAGTATGAAATAAAAAAAGTAGGACCATTTCTTGACACAATTGTAACAATATTAAGTACAATGTAATTCGGTTGGGCTTGAAAAAAGTTAATAAGTCTGACAGAAAGATTGAAAATAAACATGAGCTGAACGATTTGCCAACATCAGCTTTTAATATACAATTTTACCTTCAATTTACTTCAATTCTCTATTACAGTTAAATATTTTACCAAATTTTACATGTACAACATTGTAATTTAATTGTTTTGTATATTGTCTCAATCTTAATGTATTTCTTGACTCCTAGATTATATTGGCTATACGTTTTATTGGCTCCAATATTGTATGTGCAGATATCGAATGTAAATCAAAACTTCATAGCAAGTTGTATACAAACATATTGTATTAATGTAATATTTCTGTGATTGAAGGAGTACCTCAACTGTGATAAATATGCGTTGTTCTGTTAACATTTTATATTATATGTGTGATTACAACGTTACTTATTATTTGTTAAGTTTAAAGTTTGATTACAAGTAGCATGAATTATTGAGTGATTCTTTTTTAAATATGTTTGTATTTTCTTCCCTATTTTGAAGAAGATAACGAAACAAATTTTTATTCTCTTTTATGGAAGATAAGAGTAGTATTGAATTACATGATGTATTAAGAAACCTGGTAACTGATAAACCACTCTACTGTCTAGGTAGCTGATTTTTAGTAATAAAGTTGTTTTTTAATTTGGATACAATTATGTTTCATTGAACTTTTAAATTTTATAGAGTTGGTTTAGAGTAAACATATTTCTATTTTTATAATGTTAGCATTAATTTAACCGAAATTCAGTATTAAAGCTTTTGGAAGGTTGTGTTACAAAATTAGTATTCTTTTGTGTTTTCACCTTTTGTCTGTCTATGAGGCACCTAAGGACTGTATAAATAAAGAATAGATAATTGAACACTGCCGTTCCCATTTTTGTACTTTTCTTGCAAGACTTTCAACAGTACAAAATTGCACAATGATAATATTTAAACATTTTATGTCCATGCCTGTTATTTGAATATAAATATATGTCCTTATTTAATGTCCTTATTTATTCATACTATGTGACCATTGATGCCAGAGCTTAAGTGGCAGACTAACCATTATTCCAAATATTGCCTACACTAGAAAAAAACATAATTAGCTGTAAACATCAGTGTTTAGTGAATTTTGTGATAGCATAAACTGAATTTCTACTAAAATTCAATGGCACATCTACAATAATAACCAAGTCTACTTTTTTTGGTCTCTACCTTTAATTAAATAAAAAAAGTATGGCACTGCCAAAGTGATATTTTATCAACATGTGTTAACATACTACGGGGGAAAAGAGTTTCTTTGCGATCAGGCCGTTTAAGCAAGTCCTTGTCTTGTGCGCTCATTTATTAAATTATTATTTGAAAACATTTCTTCAGCCCTATGTATTTAAAAATGGACATTATGAGCGAATCTAAGTAATAATTCCAATATTGATTCTGTTGTATCAGTTTAAAATATTGAATATTTATGTTTATAAGCATAAGAACCATTACCTGCAAAATAACTGAGATGTCTTTTTTCATTTGGTAATTAGGCAGTATAAAATTCTTATTTTTTTTATTTTTTTTATTTATTTTTTAATTAAGTGCACACTATACTAATATATTAAAATGTTTTAGTCTCATTTTATCATAATTGTAGGAAAACATTTGAATGTTATTATTTTAGTCCCATCTCAATCCTAGCAAAGTGCCAATATATTATTTCCATGCAAATTTTGATGTTATTGGTGAATTGTGTATAGAATGAAACTATATTTTATTGTATATGAAGTCATTGAAATGCACTTAAAAATAAAAATCACAATACATATTGAAAATATCCTAGTTTGTCATCTTTGAAAAGTGTTTAAAGTGTGATGTCATTTCACAGATTCCTGACGAATTTGCTCAGGAGATAGTCATGTGGGAAGAAAGGCATGCAGGAAAACACAAGCATGCTAATAAACACATTTTATTTGTGACAATCCTTGGCCATACCATTTGATTGTAATCCGTGACAAAAAATTCACGTTCTTTTTGGGTCTGGAACTATTTTGATGCTGGAAAACAATGTACACAAATGGCTTTTGACTCTATTTTGAGATTTTAATATTGAAATAATTCTTCACAAAAAGCAAATATATACTGCATTAATAAGTTCCATGTTTAGCGTCTGCCGATGTTTCGAGGGGGGTTTTTTCCGGGGGGGGGGGCAATGTCACCCAAACCATAAAATTCATGATTCATATGACTTATTTTTGTTCTAGAACTAAATAAATTAATACGAGTAATATTAGCAAAACGTCTTAATGGAGTACTTTTTCTGATAGTCCGTCGGCTGAAAATTTTATCAGTTATAAATGCTCGCTTGAATTAAAACCTTAACATAAAGAGATATGTTTTAAGTGAGATGCTTTTTTGGTTATACAAAGTGAGGTGCTTTTTGGTTATACAAGTGTTTTTAATAAAACGCTACCCTCGGATAGTAAGATCATTTCTGCTGGACCCTCTTTTTTAATTACTATGGAAGACTGTCCAAAAATACTTGCATTATTTAATGTCGTAAGCTTCAAGACAGGACAGTTTGAATAATGAAACAATTAGTTGTAAATTTAAAATAGAGTTGGAGAAGAACTTTATAACATTTTATATATTTCGTTCTAATCCATTTTAACATTGTATACATGAATGAATGTAAACTATGTACTGTGTATGATTATGAATAAAATATGTTTAAACTTAGAGCGAAACAAACAAGTCAAAATGTTGATCAGTGAAACAAAACGAATGTAATTAAAATAATGGGCAAATTTTTTTGTAATTCCCGAACAATTAAAAAGATTTTTTTATTTAACTTTTTTTAAAAATTAAATTTTTAAAAAAAAATTTTGCAAAATCAAAATTTTTATCAAAAATAAAATTACAACACTAAAATATAATTTTCTAGGTAAAACACTAGAAGGGGTTTTAAATTTTTTTAAGCACCCGGATCAATTCGGAAAAAGTTTCCCGTGGTGTTTAGCCCTGAAACCCTTAATATCCAGGTGGCCAATTTTGGGGAATTTGGGGGGCAAACTACCCCAGCTTTATCCCTGGACATTTCAACGGTAAGATTTTCCCAGTCCCGGGAAAACTGAAGTATAAAAAGGGGGTACAAAATGTCAAATTGGGCCTTGAAAAAAAAGCTGTTTCATTATTTTAAAGTAACAACTGCTTCCTTCACCAATTAAATAACATCATAGTTCTAAGTCAAAAAAATCAAGAGACAAAAGACAATTCATATACAGTGAAAAGAAATAAAGAAATGATACTTAAGACGATGTGTTTTCTACGAATAGCATTCACTGATATTTATTTGTTCAATTGATCGTTAGAATAATCGTTTGTAATATCAAAAAAAAATCCGGTTTTTTGTTGTTGTTGTTTTGTTATTTTTTGTTTCTCTTTTAATTCAACATCCCAAACAAGCAGAACTAAAAATATGGTGTTTGCTTTTGCGGGCGCTACTTTTTCTGGATTGGCGTTTTATAACTCAAATTAATGTTATGTAAAACATATTTTGTGTTGTTCTAAACACTTTAAAGCGCAGAAAATAATACCTACTTGCGTTATTTGGCAATGGTGGTCCTTTTTTGAATGATACATTTGGAAAAGAATACAATATTACGCCAGTGGGCCCCTAGCCCATGCTGCGTATGCTGTAACTGTTACACCCATAGAGAACCACCGTAAAACTCGTTACAGTTCTCAGTTTGATTCCCGCAATGTTAGGAGCTGTTTAAAATGAAAACAAACTTTATTCTTTTTACTTTTTTTCCTCTCGAGGTAATAAAAGAATTGGAACTTCTAAAATATCACTTAATGTAAGCATAATAATGCTATATAAAACATCCATAGTTCGCTCCTTACACACATTTTTTTATGCTTAAATGTAATATTCATCAAATGTTGACTTTACATTCTGTCATTGAAGTCACCTGTTGATAAGTCGTACCTGGTTTAGTAAACGCTTCAATGGCCATTTTAAAATATAAACACATTTCAAATATATTTATGTACAGAACACAACATTTGATAAATGTAAGCTTTTCTGTAATAATTGTAATAATTAATGTTTAGTTTACATAGAGTAATATAAACACATTTCAAATATATTTATGTACAGAACACAACATTTGATATATGTAAGCTATTCTGTAATAATTGTAATAATTAATGTTTAGTTTACATAGGGTAATGTGATTTAAAGACATGTTAATGATATGAGCCGGGTCATGACAAAACCAACATAGTGCGTTTGCGACCAGCATGGATCAAGACCAGCCTGCGCATCCGCGAAGTCTGATCAGGATCCATGCTGTTCGCAAACCAAACCAAACGCAGAACGTTAGTTTTGTCGTGATGCGGCTCATATAATTTTTCATATGTTAACCATTAGAAATAAGTAAAATGTAAAAGGGTATGAGGTAAGCCTCGTGATTTTTACATACCTTCTGTGGCCTTGGCAGCCTGTGTTGTTTTAGTTGCTTCCGTTGGAATTGGGCCACCACCTGGAATAGATCAATTTAAAACATTTATACGTAATGTTAGAATATAACTGGAAGTGAACAAAAAAGTTACAACAAAAGGTATCCTTCGGGAGCAATGAAGTGAACATTGCAAACTTGATTTTTTGATTCAGCACGATACCTTCAACACAATAAAGTTTTGGAATCAATAAATCTGAAGTAAGTCGTATAAATATAAAAAAAACGGATCAGAAGTATATAGAAATAAAATGAATTACGGCTTACCACAAAATCCGCAGTATTTTGGACAGTTGTGTTTTGTCCAGCTGGTCAGAGAGACGGAGGTGCATATGTAAGTACCATATTCTGGGCAGTTATTAAGTCGGTTTGAACATGTTGGTGGAGTGGTTGCTGGACCTGTAAAAGAAACGATGAAATATGTATAGCTAAAGATACACGTTCTCTAAAATCAGTTTGCACCCTTTTGATAATAGAATTCGAAGTACATACAGAATATTATGTTATAGTAGCTTTCTGAGACTATGTATTTCGCAGCGTTGGAAAATTGCTATATTGCGAGACAAAAGGTCGAGAGGAGAGGTCAGCCTTCAGTAGCACCCGTTCCCGTTTCCAAATACATGTACTACGTAATGCTGATCTAAGATGGGAACCAAATAAGTATATAGTAAACATATTTATTATACTATTATAATTATACTGCAATATGTTGCATTAAGAACCGTCGTATGTACACATCTGTGGATGTTTCTAAATTGAAAATTTCACCATTACCACGATAAAATGTTGAATTCTGCTTAAGCCGGTGCTATAGGGCGTTGAACTTTCTATTACCGTCCATGATCAGGCTCAATCAAACCGAGCCTGCACGATTTTCAATTTTGCCGTGTTTTTCTCTCTATTTTAATAATTATTATAATACCCACCTCTACAGAATCCACAATGGGCCTGACAGTGAGCCGTTGCCCATGGTTTGTAATCATAGCATATGTCGTCACCATACTCTTCACAGTTTTCTACTTGATCAGTACAGTTACCAAGATCTACTGTGGTAGGTGGAGGTAACGTAGGCTGTGTTTGAGGGGGTATTGGAACCACTAGTGAAATAAATGTAAAAAAAGGCTACTGGTTATCATATAATGAATATGCAATATTACAAATAACTGCCAATTTGAATCTTTTTTTCTTTTTTTTTACCATTTTACACTTTATTTTTGCTTTGCACGTTTAATTATTTTCAAAGTCGGATATCGTTAATTTCTACAATATAAAGTTATCGGATTGAGAATTGTATCATAAAAAATTATTGTACTGTTCACGCAAACCTCATAATTTATAGTCACAGCAAAGAGAGTTACATAAGATATCTGAGAATCAACAAAACTCTTTATGTCCAATTGTCCAATTTACTTTGTTCAAATATGGAGGCAAAGTAGTAGACAACAAAATATGAAGTAGTGACAACAACACCGGATAAATTCATGAAAACCGTAATCTACCTATGTATTAGTATCACATGATAACTTACATCCACACGCCACTGTAGCGACAACCGTATTCAGAGTCTGTAGAGCTTCAAAGCTACCAACTTCGTATATCAAGCTTCGATTGCTGTTTTGGTCCAATGTAGCAATTGCTGTCAACTCATTAACATCAGTTCCATTCCCCACTCCAATCGCTATAATTGTGATGTTTCCACTTTGCTTTGCCAACATTGCCTAAAGTAAAACAATGTTTCAAATTCAAACATTCTCTGCATTGTATTTTGAACATATGAGTATATAGATGTAACAAAGTTAGCAAAGCTTCCATTTCTATTCTCTGTTAAAAGCTTCCTGTTTTATTCCTAAAGTTTAGATTGAGCGTCTATTGTGGCTATTTGAGTACCAAAATCGTCATTTAAAATCTTGTTTCTGAAACTGTGTAACAATTATAACGTAAACGATGTTTCCAACAGAACATTTGTGGTTGATATGTATGGAACGAAAGAAGATGTAATCAAAATACATTTGGTAATACATTGTATAGAATGACACTGTTCTTTTATTGGTGTCCAGAAGTGTCGGAAAACAAACCGGGAAAATCAGAGTACCTGTTGTCGAGTTGCTGTTTTATCTCTGGAGTATCCATCAGTGATTACAATAGCAATGTTCGGATCATTAACACGTTCATAATCAAATCCTTTCAATCTAAGAAGTTCTAAAGCTGCCCCTGTAACATGCAAAGTGTATTTGCATAACGACAGTTCAAAACATTAAATGGAAATAAGTGTCTCTTTCTTATGCAGTGTGGAAATATGTTTTCTATAGTGAATTGAATTTGTTTATATATATTTATTTATTTATTTTTAACGGACCGTGTTTATGAACAGATGATTTTAAAATAAGAATTGTTGGAAGTTAAACAATCAAATGAAACCTTCGCGTTTTTAATTCATTCATTTTGTGAATATTTATTTAAGAAAAAATTAGTTACGCTTCACAATAAAACTGTACACATCCCTATATCACCGATAGGGGTGGTGATGGGTAGGTGGGTATAGATTTATTGTCAGGAACCGCTCTCCCACCAAAAAAAATAATGATAAAATTAGAAAGATAATATTTGTTTACTAGAAAAATAATTACCTGTGTTTGTTCCACCTTGTGTGTAGACAATATTATCAATGGCAGTAGACAAATCATAGCTATTATTGTATCTGTTGAGAGGAAACTCTTGCCTAGCATCACTACTAAATGTTATAACGCCGATACGAGTAAAATCTGTTCCTATATCAAACACGTTGACGGTCTGTTTCATAAAGTCCTTTATCTTTATGAAATTGGGTTCACCGACACTCCCAGACGAGTCAACCACGAATACGACGTCCGCAACTTTGGCTAGGCAAGCTGAAAAAAGATATTACAGGAAAACTTGAATATAAATGCGTCTGTAAAACATTTTACATGTATAGTACATGTAGTATCGCCAATATTGCAAATATACCATGCTCATGCCCCCCCCCCCCCCCACAAAAAAAGATAAAGAGACATATAGTTGATTTAGAAGCTATGAATCTACTGGTAAATAATGATACAATATATAGATAAATAATGTTATGTTAATTATGTAACAAATAATGTGGGAAACATACAATTTTTGAAATGTTATTCGTATTTTCAAATACATATAAATTGTTGACTATGAGTTCTGATTGCTTCTGTTACGAAACAGTAAAACGATTTATTTACCTAGGATTCTAGTAATTGAAATAAAATATACTATCAGTTTTTAAAGATATGAAGATAAACATATTCTTTGTTACAGATTTGATCTAACTGCTCACTATTGGCACAATGTTTTTGAGCACAATTTGCAAAAATGTTTTTCATGTTGTTATCTATAGTTCAACTTACTTGGCGTTGTAATCTCGGGGGTGAGAGTACTGAAAAGTAAATTTCAAAGGTAGTTTAAAGTTGATAAAATACATTAGACATAACCATATGTTTTGACAACTACACTAATCTTGATGAAATTACAACTTCTAAATTAAAGATTTTACCACCAATTTATTTATTTTATAATATTCAAAAGGAAATGACACTTGAAAAAAATACAACTTATAAATTAAAGGTTTAAAAGCAAATTTAAATATCTTCTTTTTTAATTTTCAAAAGGAAATGACACCGAAGTATGTTAAACATCTATCAACACTTTTATCATCTGCGGAATTAGGAATGATAATTTTTTTTTTGATCATTGTCATTTAATATTTTCACGCTAAACTAACATGACCTTGTCCATCCAAACATTTTGGAAACAATACTTAAATAGTTTATAGAAAATTACATATGTAATACTGACTGAATAGGGAACCGTGCAGACCAATATCAGACAAGGAGTGATGGCTGATCTTAGCGAGCACTTACTGCATGGGTAAAATTAGTTTATTAGCACCAGAGCAGGCTAAGGGTTAAAAGTATTACACGGAACTACAAATGAACACTACTTTCTCAATCTACTTGTCATTATTATGGTTCTATATGATATACTTTCATTTTGTTTTTACACTTCTGATGTCGATAAATTGATGCAAACAAGAAGAAGATACAAAGTCTATTTGAATTTTAATACAGCGTCAACTTACGTTGGTGCTAATGTTTGTGTGGGTTTCATCGTAGAGGGTGTGGCCCATGTAGAGCTGACAGGTGTTGGTGGTACTGTATTTACAGTCGTCGTCATAAGAGGCACTGAAATAACAACACTATTATATACTTTTCTTTAAAAGCGCTATGATATTAATTTTGTCTACATATGTCTAAGTTTTAAGTATTATATGACTCCATATTGTTTTGTTACAACGTAATATTGTACTGTTATAATTTTGAATTAATATTGAATTGATTTAAGCATAACAATAACTACATGTAATTACGCTTCGAAGTTTGTTTACATTTTTTAGTTATCTATTTTTGGCTACTTTTTTAGCATCAACATAACAATTGCTCAGTGGTTAATTATGATCTGTTATTCCTACACCACTGTTTTATATAGAGACATGCATTGTTTCCTGTTTTCATCGTATTTTTAATTTGATTTTGCAATGTATTTCTCTTAAATTGCAATTTTTTGTATTATATCGATCGTTAAAATATTGTATTGTATTTATGTTCCTATGAATTGTATTTATATTGCATTTATATAACTTGCAAATTTTTATCGTGTCGCATTGTTTTTAAACATGTATCGTTTGAGTGTTGTATCGTATGATATCTTATTTATTCACGCATGTAACAAATAGTAACACATACAACAACATATACACCATATACAAATTCTCTCGGTGTATACTAACATCTGTACAAAGATAGAAATAAGATAATAAAGTTTCAAAATCACGGAAGTTAAAAATACTATATTTATTTCATCTGTTAATTTTCTTTATTTGTATTGGTCATTTTCTTTTGTCATTATTTATTTTTCGAATAAAACATTGTGTACACAACACTTACCAAATAAAAGTGATTGTGTTTGTAAATACATGTACATTGTCGCATGTCAAATATGAATATTTATATCAATTCGTGTTGTTCAATGTCTCAAATGCTACTAGTAGATAATTTTTCCATAGAGAATCTACATGGTTTTTTTTTCAAATACATTAAATATTACTCCACATGACTTGAATATAAGACAAGGAGTTATTTTTACATCGGAATATGATTGATTCTTTAACAACAATAGTTTTTTTCTGTAACCTCAACCTGAGTCACGAACTAAAACCACAATTAAAATAATAGTTAACGTTGATGTTAAGCTATAAGTTATATATATATATATAAGATATAAGTTAAGTTATTCAATAGTAGGTTAATTATCGCAAGTTAAAATATGTATTACAATTTAGCCATGATCTTATGAACCAAGTTTTTTATTTGAACTACCAATCTATAACTGTGGCGTATTGTAAATGTTTTACTGCGCGAGGTATGATGTATTGTGTTAAAGTTATAGAAACTTAAATACCAATATTAAAGTGATATGAAACTAAAGTGTGCTGTTATTCACTTAAGGCATATATTTCTGAATATGATTAATACACATTACACGAAACATATAAAACAGCAGCGAACGCACTCCTGTACAGTATTGGCGTATTCATTAAGTTAATGGACCAAATCGATACAATATGTTACGTAACTCGGATTAAATGATGAATGTATTATATAAGATCAGCCGCAGTTACATCTGATATAATATAATTGCTATAATGTCAAATATTGACATTAAAGACATAAGTTGATCTTAAAGAACTATGAAAATAACCTTAAGTTATTTTATCAAACAAAAGTCGTTACAATGAAAATGACGAACACACGGTTTTTTGACAAGTAAAGCTTCAGGTCGAAAATTCTTTTTTTTGACAATTTTGTTAGTGTATTGGAGAACATAAACGTATATATCACATAACGCGGTTTGTTTCGTTTGTTTCATTTTACGCCTTTTTCAACAGTATTTCAGTCATATAGGCGGGTAGTTTCCTAACCATCGTTCCTGGAGAGTTACACCAGTACTAGACAACCTTCCTCCGCGCTAAACTACCAACGCATCTCCCGGGGATCGAACCCACGCCAGAGAGGTACCTGGATTAGAAGTCATCGACTCTAACCCCTCGACCACGGAGGCAGTTTGTTTCCAATTTATTATTCTAAGACTGACCTGTCAAACAGAAATTTGTTAGTGTTTTATGAGTTCTAAAGGTGTTGTATATTATACTCGTCACACACCATACAGACTCACTAACGGCTTAATGATCATTATTTGATGATTATATGATAGGAATATAGTAAATAAACTTAAAATCTGTTACGAATATTTCAGATGTGGTGCAAATAGATAAACAATATATTAGTTTGAAAATCATTTTACATCTGATTTGATATGATATTGTTATGAATAATTATCATAATTATGATGTATAATAAGCAAGACATGGATGATACCTTGATAATATGATATTATTTCAATAAATGAATGAGAGTAATAATAAATGATTTTGTATCAAACAATAAAAAGGTCATTTTTCATATTAAACATGAATATGAGAACAAAATGACATACAGTAAAGATGTATTACAATCGTCTGCAGCTAGACTATAGATTGCCTGTTTGCTGACTTATTGGATAATTACGCAGTTTATTCGCTAGCGAAGTTCAACAGTAGTGCTATGAAAAGCTTTGGCACAAGATATCATTTATTGGTGTTGATGGAAAATATAGTGAAAGGAAAATTAAGATTACAAGCTAAAAATGTATATAGTTTACAGGGTCTATGTTATTTGTTTACACACGAAATTCAAGACGCTTCACTGGTTACAAAACTGTAATTATACAACATGCACTACTTCACGTGACTCATGAAACAGACGAATAAGCAGCTAAGCAGACGACTGGCTGTTTACGTATTGATCGAAAAGACGCATTCGCGATCTCTCGTTCTTACAGGAAGTATTGTGGTAAGCGATAAACTACTTAAGAATATGTGTTATTTTATGATGAATACGTATACATGTGTAGGAAATAGTTAATGTTTACACCACCTCTTTTTAAATCTTTAAACGAAATGGTAATAAACTTTACAATTTGAGTATTGGCGTGGATTTATATATAACTCACAAAAGACATACAGATACAGGAAGAAAATGGCTGCTTGGATGGTATTACAAATGGTATTAAACATAACAATTTGAGAATTGGCGTGGATTTATTCATAACTCACAAAAGACATACAGATATAGGAAGAAAATGGCTGCATGGATGGTATCATGGTTTATTTTGTGTCAAACATTATTCGTGTTCTGTGGCACGAACATATCTCTAGTATATGGAAATACTACTTCATCACCGTGTACAGTGACACCGGAATTGCCGGACGCTGCAAAGGCTATAGCTGGGTTAGCAAATGACGGGAAGCAGGTAGTGAAAATACGGGTGTCGTTCAAAGGGGTTAACAACATGGACCCTATGATAGAAGAACGGTATAGCCGCTGGATGATAACTACGACTGTGACAGGAAAATCCATGCTTATGCTAAAGGAATATTTCGATGCAATGTCACTGTATACACTTGGACTAAAAGTAGGCAATTATAAAGTTAGTCTCAAACAAACTCCTAACAATTGTCTAAAAGATAAAGGTCCCGGTGAAATTGATACCATTTTAAGGCTTGGATTTTTAAATGGTTTTGGAGCAAGTGATTACTCCCTGCCAGCAGGTGCAGAACTATGTAATAAGCGAGTCGAGACAGGAGACGAAAGACGCCTTACTTATGTCTGCTGTAAAATGAACGCAGAAAATAAACTTGAGTGTAATGGAATAACAAGAACCGCTTGGATTGAATTGCTATTTGCATGTATTATCATACTTCAAGTCGTTGTAATGCTATACAGCCCTTTGTACCTGCCTGGCTTTATGTACAAAGCAAACAGCATCTTCCAATCTTATATCTATACAGCGGAAGTTGACAAACCGTTTAGGTTTAACGTGAAAATGATACAAGAATCATCAGATGTTGACAATGGCTTTATCAAAGCTGATGTGAAGGATTTCACACACCTTCGGAAGCTCAAATCTCAGTTAGAAACACTTGAATCTGAAAAAGTTCATAGTTTTTCCGTGAAAGGCATGGATGTGTGCGTAAGGGACAGTAAGATAGTAGCGGAGGGCGATGCACCTGTCTCTTTACTAGGATTTCTGAGGGACTTCATTGTCCGATGCAAACTTCGGTATGAAATAAAATCAGTTGGCGACTGTTGCAACGAAAACATGTGGCGCTTATTTCCGTGTAACACAGATTTTAAATGGTACCAATGCATGAGTGGATTGATGATGCTTCTTGCAGCTCTGTTTTTCGCCATACCATGGCTTCTGAGAATCTGGTTTTATTATCTAATGGAAAAGAAAGAAGTTGACTATGAAAAACATTTATATGATAAGTACAATATCACAAGACCATACCCGGGAAATTTAATCACCTATATCTCTCCTACGCATGAGTTGTTTATGATAATACATATTTTGTTTGCAGTAGAGATCATCGTTTATTTACTGATACCTGGAACATTTAAAGAAAAACTTAAATATACAGTACGGAAATGTTTCCGAGACACAAGGGACAAGTCGAAAACTGATGCATGTGGAATAATGGCCTCTCACATGCTGCGTCCATTAAAAAGATTTGGAATTATAGGCTGTTTACTGATGCCACTGTGGTTTATCGTTCTTCCGCTTTATCTTCTTGTGGTGTTACTTGAAGTAATTCCAATTCTCAATTTATCGATTCGACTTCTTATGAATCTTGTGTTCTATACCACCAAGGTAATTAATCCGAATATATGTAGAAGTACTGATAAACAAGTACCCAGCAAATTGAATTCATGGATGCAGAAAAGATTTGGTGATGTTTTAGTCGTTAATGAAAACGAAGAAAATAACAGATTGAATAAGTTTTTACATCTTATAGCACTAATCATGACTTTTATAACCTTGTGGTTTTTCCTTATTATCTTAATTGATTGCATTGCGTTCTATGTTGAATGTATTGTATACATTCTGGTTGGATTTATTCTTGATCCATTTATCGTTTTGAAGTACGTGTCGTTGATTTTACTGATATTAGTTTATGGGAATGAAAGCTTCAGTGGCGTTCACAAACGGTACGCAACATACAGTACAGCGATAAATGGCGAAATCCAAAGCATGGTCGGTGAAAAGATGACAGATGAAGCATCAAAGGCAATTGAAATTCAAGAAAACACTGCATTTAGAGTACCACCAAAGGATTATGTTCCTGAACGTATATGTTTAACAACTGATTCCGAGGGATTTTTGAAATGGAGAGTGTCAAGACTTGTACTTTTCTTAGATAAGACGGATATTCCCTATATTCCAACATCATTTTTGTTCACGATGGGACAAATGAACCATTTCCAATGCCCTGGCTTAGTGCACGTGCTCTACTTTAGTGCTTTTTTTAACTTTATTTGGATAATACTGTTTCTCGCTTTTGTCTTTATAGTGATATTCGCTTTTGGGCAGGCAAATGATGTTACTTCAGCTGGTCAGGCTATAGCCGCTCTTGCAACTGGATTCTTTCCATTAATTCTGAAAAAATTTCTTTTCAAACCGCTAGACTATTCTGTCGACAGATCTAATCTTAATTGGAAAAATATGTTTGCGAATGCCGTACAAGTTTACACAGAGTCATGGAGCATTGCCGATGTTATCTTAACGGAAGCGGTTGGAACTGAATTGGAAGATGGGAGTTTGGAAAAGGTCTCAATGAAAGAGGTAAACGAGACAGACAAAGTCGATATGAACAATACATCTGATAACAGTGACAAACATGTCGACAACAATGTGATGGTAACAACAGACCATGAAGGAATAATATTAGACGATAAAGTAGATTTAATCGTTAAACGTGGAAGTGATTCTGAATGGACTTTTTATGTACCTCTTCCTCCACCTGAAGACTCTGATGTTGAAGCGTTTAAGGATGAAGAAACTATTTTATAAAAAGAAGCTTAATGCATAAGATATTTATGTATAGATGTATCGTTTATGTTTATATGTGTATATGTTTTCCAATTGTATGCTTATTGTTGCAATGTCTATCTTGATTAAGAAGGTTGAAGAAGGAACATAAGAACTGACCTAATATTTCATTCTTTTTCACAAAATACACACCTTTACAACTATTTTCTTCTAATTATGTTTTAATAACAATTATTTCTGTTATGCAAGTCAAAGAATAAATTTGTCACATTAAAGTATGACACTATGTTAGGTAGTAATTTGATACAAAATAACGCGCATTCGTTATACGATGACATAATTGCTAAATTTAAATTATTGATTAAAACTGACAGAAAAGCTACCCTATATTTACTGAAGAGGTCATAGATGTTAAAGTAAATATAAAATAAATGTATTATTAAAACAACCAATATCATGACTGCATCATTCTAATTAGCACAAATTTTGAAATCTTGCCAAGATCTTTGTCACAACTTAATATGTATGGTGTGTCAGGTAAATATTCTTACCTTTGCAAGTCGTTTTTGCTACGCTATTCTCGATGCTTGACAGATCAGTGAAATTGGCGACAAAGAATACGTAGTTGCTGTCGGGGTCACTAGAGATATAATTCAACTCATTCCTGTCAATCACATCCTGACCAATACCTAAAATTATATGACATTCATGATTAGAACAACTGTTAATTTAAGATGCATTTTCTTTAAAATACATGTTGGTTACACAACAGTCATAGAACTTTTTTGTTTGAGTGTTTTTGATTTTAATAATATATTTATTTCGCCTAATACTTTTGTCATCAAAAAGTGCATTATGAGTCTGTGTAATTTGTCAATTTTATAGACTATTTTCGACTGAATATAACTGTATCTGTCAAATAAAGTTAATTGATTCGGAAGACGCATATATATATTCTTAAATTAGTCAAGTTGAACGTTTTCAACATTAACAGGCTACAAGTTAGTAACTAATTACAACAGTTGTGTGTTCCTTTTGTTCAAAATAAAGTATAACTACATGTTTATGTTTATGATAATAAAATGTTTCAACTCGATTTATCGATGAACTTTTAGTCACCATTACGTGCCATACCTGTTTTTACTTTCTTTACTGAACCATCATCCACTTAGTGTACCAAAGTGTTTTCATTTATCATTTTCATTAACAAGGGTAGATACTATCGTCATTTTTGTGTTATACATTTAATTCAATACAACAACATTAAACATGTTAAAGATTATTATGTTTTGACATTTTATATTATCTATATATTTTGTATATGTTTTACTTTTTGCTTTATTTTTTTATTTAAACAAGTGCTAATTTGAATAAAAATGCTCAAACTGTACAACATAATTATGTACAAAATGTCACAAAGCTATGATATTTGAATAATTACGCTTTTTATTTGATGTAATAACTATATTTTTACAGATTATTTATGATCAATACAATTCATTTGAAACCACCAGTGTTTTTATTACCGAAACAATCAATGTTATAAAAAGCTACTGGTGTAGGAATACGTAATAATCTATGCGGATGGATTTTTTATTAAAATGTTATCAATGTTATAATTATGAATGAAGGATTTTTTAACTGAGGGTTTTTTTCTTCTAAAAACTTCTTTAGAGTTGTACATCAAATACTTGTTTTAAACCTTGCAGTTTTTTCTATCAACACATGATGTTTAATTCCTTCTACTTAAGTACATTATATATTTCCAAAATATCTTTGATTTGTACGTTTTACTTTTTTCAGAAAAACCTCCAACTGATTCAATCAAGTTTTGTGTCAATTTAGTTGTTTTCCCCATACAAGGTTTTAATAATTTTATAATAATTAGGCGTGCGTTTTATCAATTTTAGATGGTAACATTTAATAATCGAAGTATTTTTTACCTCAGTACAAAAATTGTTTTTTTATCTTTTTTATTTTTATTTATTTTTTTTGTAAAGAAAAACTTTATATTTATTAAGAAAATACAGGACAAGTAGCTTGAGATTTTTATATTGATATTATAGTTTTTAATGTTCTATACAGTGTGCCTTTTTCCTGTTAAGTGCATTTTCTTTATCACCCCCATTACTTCATAATAAGCATGTATTGTGTCATTCATTTCCATTGTTATCTTGAGAAAAAATCGGGCTATTGTGATCGCTAGTCGTCCTCGTGAAAAAATGTTGTCTTTACACAAAACATGATTTAGCATAACTGCTTGTGATGATATTTGCGCAACTATACGAAAATGTGCATCTTACAGCTATAATGTTGAAGATATAACCTTTTTTACTAAGTACTTTTGTTAAAAAAGATTGTTTATTCCGTTTGATAATTATAAACTATCACAGGTATCAACACAAAACTTTGAACGTTAGTTTAAATGGTTTTATAATTCATCCAGCTATATTTTTGAATGTTACTTTAAGTTAACAATATGTTTTTTATTACTTACTGTTGATTCTTTTAAAAAAAATTAACCATATTTTAAACTATTTTGTCCATCGTTTACCTTGTGGTATAATGATAATTATTTGCTATATACATGTACATCTCTTTTCAACAATTTACCAACCCTTAAGACCGGGTGTGGTTTATATTGTATTGCATCTATATGCGTGTCCTTTGTTTAATAATGCAAGTCGACCATTAATGTAACTATATTTTAAGTTCATGTAAGTCAATATTTAAAACAAATTCCTTATATTATCTTGCTACCTGACATGCTGTTTAAAAAATATTCTTTTTACAAACATATTTCAAAAGATTTCAAACTTAATTCGATGTTGAACATTTTCATAAAAATGCCTTGTACTATTTTGTGTCAATATATTTAAAAAAATTTTAAAGAACATTTGTTTGTTGGTCTGTTATTTTTCCCTCACCAGTTTTCTATAAAAAATGTACATGTGTTTGAGAATGCATGATATTACACAATCAGTGCAGTTTCATAACCGCTCAGCCAGCGTTTCTCTTTGAACCATATCATACAAGAGTAATGACTCAATTGATTAACTTTCTCACTGTCACCTAGCTTAATTTGCTCTAGCATAATGGTCCTGATTCAGATGTTATTGAAAAAAAAAGGAAATACTAAACATATACTATCGCTAATGTTTTTGGTTCATCTATATCCTTTATCTTATAAACTTACCAACAGAGAAAACTGTTGCTCCTGATTTCTTGAGCCTATCAGCAGCAATTTCAGTAAGGTCAGGATTTGTGGACAGGCCATCAGTCACGACTATAGCAATGTCGGGGGCATCTTTTCTCTCTCCTTCAAATCCTTCAAGACGCAATAGATCTAGAGCTTTGTCAGTCTCCGTATTTCCTGAAATAAGTAGAATATCGTTTTATACGTTATACGGGCCTGAAATTCAGTTTTGCGGAGTCTTCACAGTATGTTCATTTCAGTCCATAATATCAAATAACAGAATATCACAAGGGACACTATAAAAACGATTAATTACGTAGCGATAGGGTGTAAGCTTTTACACAAACAGTAAAACAATGATGATATTGATTCGATTAATGTCAGAAAGTTTGTTCCTCTAAATACTTGCATTTCGACTAAGCTTGTTGAGTTTTAGATATTTTCATAGTTTCTTAAAGCTGCATCACCTCCTTAGGAGACAAAAAAATAATTCAAAAGAATAACATTGAGAACAATGTACAAGATTTTAAGAAAAGTCTTTATATAAATAATGATTATTTAAGACATAATTTTCGTAGTATATACAATTAATGAGCATTTAGTGCTCTTTTTGCATATTTTGACCTACTTTTTGGTAATTTTCGTATTTTTTTAGTGCCGTTTTTAATGTTTAAATTATTTCTTTGTTCACGTGACATTATTTTACATTTTAATATATTTTCAAAATTTTCATGGCAATTAGCATGATCTGGAGACATGCTGCTTTAAAGGAGTCAACCGCTGTTGAATCGATTTAATTGCCATATACATATATGTTGACAAATACTTGTTCTCTTTTTTGGACAAATAAATTGTTTATTGATGTATTATCATAAAAATACGTAGGTGGTAGCTGGTAAACCACTTAGTGATTTAATGATATATGAGATGTAACAGATTATATTGCTTCGTCGGTCGTAATATAACTAACAACAACAACAATATACTGTTTAACGTTACAGCAAATTACGACGAGAAACAGTATTTATTTATAAATTAAACTGCTGTATAATAAGTTGCAATTAACCGTCATTATCATGAACACATCTAAGATTATCGGCTTCTTAGATTTAGCAAATGACACTAGTTGGATTTCCAAAGCATTAAAATGTCATTGCTAAACACGAAAGTATCTACATGTGTATTATATTTTTTTAAATAATTTATAAGACAATTTATAACCTTGATTTCAAGGAAGGAAAATTAACGTACATGTAGTTTACTAATCACTCTTTATAAGAAAAGTGGTCTTTGTCGACAGATGATGTTTCGGAACAGGTCATATCAGACAACTGCCTTTCAAATGGAAATGGTGGCCTGCGTTGGCTCATATAAAATAGGTTCAGTTAAATTAGAGGTGACTTTAAATTCGGTCTATGAATGTATGTCACTTCTTGTTGACATTACGAGTATTTTGTATTAACGAATACGTTAAGAGACATGTAAATAACTTGAAGATATAAAATCATTGGAAAATATTATAGATGGCTTGAAAATATTACAATTATGTTCTTGAAGATGTTACAATAGATAAATCACCTGGATAGTAAGGTATTTGGTTGATAGCGTTTACAAGAGCCAGCTTGTCGTAGTAATCGTCCAAATTGATACGTCTTGTCGGGTAGTTACTGTACGTGATTACACCAACCTGAAAATGACGTATGATACAATATAGGCATGAAAGGCATAAATAAAAAATAATGCAATTACAGCTTCGGGTTAGAATCCCGACAGAGACTGGGTTCTTTCATGTGAGGAAGCTATCCAACTAGCTTGCGGAACGTCAGTGGTTCTACTCAAGTGCCCGTTTGTACCTGAAATAATGCACGGAAGGGCACCCGAGGTATTCCGCCACCAATAAAGCTGGAACGTCGCCCTATGACCTATACTGTGTCGGTGTGACGTAAAACCCAATCAAACCAACAAACAACATACGCAATATAATTAAGGCATTGTTACATGTTATTACAAAATTTATGTTAATAAGGATACTTTCTACATATTTTTACACAATTAACGTTTATTTTGAAAAATTGCTAAATCACTAACACCAACAGCTTTGAGTCGTAAACAACAGTAGTGATATGTTGTACAAAAGTATACACACTTAAATAATTTAAATCATTGACAATAGCTTTATATAAACTATAATCAGTAACGTAACCTGGCCACGTATCAATAAGTTTTAAAACCGTTGAATAGAATTGTAAGCATTTAAATCATTACGAATGCAGATGAGAAGCTTTAAATCAAAACCCAACATTATAGAACTGTACCTATCCCAGTCATTTGAAAAGATAATCTTATAGGATATGCCTCGATTTTAGTGGTGCAAAGGAAGGTTATACATGAAGAGAAATAATTTTAGGTAGATTTATTACCCTAAGCACATACGCGTTTGTACATAATGAACAGTATTTTATAACATTCAGGAACTGGCATATATTTGACCATTTTTAAAAGTTGCATGTCTCTAAATGATCCAAAATATTTCAAGAAAACTTAAATTCAGAAATATGTACTAAGATTTTAAGAAATAAAACGAAACAAAATTCAAGTAGTAATTTACATGTCTTGTGCGGTTAATGACTGATTTTGCAGTATTTATACACCATATTTCTACTGCGTTACTAACGAATTGCATATTTTGACCCCCTTTCTTGTGGTGGAGGTAGGTAAATTTACGTGGATTGTAAGTGTCGTTTGCAATGTGTAACTTACTTTCTTTGTTCACTTCACAATATTCCACTTTTTAATTCATTTTCAAATTTCGTGAAAATAAGCATAAATCTGTAGGCATACTGCTTTAGGAAGCATACACAAATATGAAAACCTTCTATTACCATTACAAGTAAATTGATCGCCTCTGGTAATATTAAACAATATTAAAACGTTTCTGATATTGTATTTGAAGATCATACAAAGTTCGGATAAATTATGTTATGTAGTTGTCTTTCTGCTATATAATGTATGTCTGTAACCCTAGCTTAGCACGCGCATATTAGATTAAAGAGATGATTTGTTCTATTCAACTAATTGAAAGAAGCATTATAAAATTTGTATAGCTTTAACAATAAAATATCAAATTCACTCATACATATATAAAAAGGGTATACGAATTAAATTTGTATGATTGGCGGGCTGTTGTGTCGTGTTTTACTGTTTTATAATTACATTGTACATTATCTGACTAAACTGTTGCTGTAAAAGAATTGTATATTTTGTATTTCTTAGTCAAGTACAACTGACAGCACAAATTATGTGGTACATTTAGTTCAATCTGCAACAACTTGTCATTTAATACGATCCCGTTAAATCGTACATTACCTTTGTATACTTGACTTTAATTTTGAGATAGCGTGCAGTTGACTACAGTATTGAGATACCTTACATTATCTTAGTAAAGCTTTCTCTTATGTCGAGATAGTATGCATAACCTTTGTTAAGGTGACTCCTAACTCGAGAAAGCGTACATAATCTTAGTAAAGGTGACTCCTTACTCGAGAAAGCGTACAAAATCTTAGTAAAGGTGACTCCTTACTCGAGAAAGCGTACATAATCTTAGTAAAGGTGACTCCTTACTCGAGAAAGCGTACAAAATCTTAGTAAAGGTGACTCCTTACTCGAGAAAGCGTACATAATCTTAGTAAAGTTGACTCCTTACTCGAGAAAGCGTACATTATCTTAGAAAAGTTGACTCCTAACTCGAGAAAGCGTACATAATCTTAGTAAAGTTGACTCCTTACTCGAGAAAGCGTACATAATCTTAGTAAAGTTGACTCCTTACTCGAGAAAGCGTACATTATCTTAGTAAAGTTGATTCCTAACTCGAGATAGCGTACATAATCTTAGTAAAGGTGACTCCTTACTCGAGAAAGCGTACATAATCTTAGTAAAGGTGACTCCTTACTCGAGAAAGCGTACATTATCTTAGTAAAGTTGACTCCTTACTGGAGAAAGCGTACATTATCTTAGTAAAGTTGATTCCTAACTCGAGATAGCGTACATAATCTTAGTAAAGGTGACTCCTTACTCGAGAAAGCGTACAAAATCTTAGTAAAGGTGACTCCATACTCGAGATAGCGTGCATAATCTTAGTAAAGGTGACTCCTTACTCGAGTAAGCGTACACAATCTTAGTAAAGGTGACTCCTTACTCGCGAAAGTGTACATAATCTTAGTAAAGTCGACTCCTTACTCGAGATAGCGTACATTATTTAGTAAAGGTAACTTCTAACTCGAGAAAGCGTTCATTATCTTAGTAAAGGTGACTCCTAACTCGAAAAAGCGTACGTGTACATCATCTTCGTAAAGATGACTCCTTAGATGACTCCTAACTCGAGATAGCGTATATAATCTTAGTAAAGTTGACTCCTAACTCGAGAAAGCGTACATAATCTTAGTAAACTCGAGATAACGTACACTACCTTGGTAAAGTTTACTCCTATGTCGAAATTAAGTACACTATCTTAGTAAGGTTTACTACTATGTCGAGATTGTGTACATTACCTTAATAAAGGGTGGGGGAGTCCGTGGCCGAGATGTTAAGGTCGTTGACTTCAAACTGAAGAATAGTTAACTCTTATATCAAGACAGTGTACATTATCTTAGTAACGTTAACTCCTAACTCGAGAGAGCGTTCATTATCCTTGTTAACATTACCTTAGTATAGTTGACTCCTATGTCTAGATAGTTGACTATATTGATGACAAACTGCTTCACCCTTTTAAAGTTTGTTACCCCTAAACTTCCGGAAGAGTCTAGCACGAAAACAAGGTCGGCAACAGTACGATTACAGTCATCTTAAAAGAAATAAATTATAAAATGTCACGTGAGCAGATTGTTTTAATCGATGTTTCAAAAAATTAGCTGAATGATAAAATATATTGTTTTTATATATTATTAGATTAAATAAAGCTAAGAGTTTGCTCAGGTTGGCACTTTATATACATATGTTCCTAATACTTCTAGGTGAGATAATTGAAGAAGAAATAAGGCTGTTGTTTTGTAAATGTACTGCGTTGTTTTGGCATTGGTATCACATGGTAAAGCTGATTTTGGGTACCCTGAAGAAGGCTGTTAAGCCGAAACGTTGGTTTATTGAAGGGAATTATAAGAATTTGCAGCTGACTACTTATTTTTTTACTATTTATCATATCGTAAAGAATAGCTTATAAAATAATTTTAGATTCATTGAATTATCTGAATTATTAACGTAATTGTTTGAAATTTACCAGTGGTATTTGTTGTTGAGGTGATTATTGAAGGTTCTGAAAATGAAAACAAAGAGACAAATTAGATATATAAACATTCGTCAGGTTGTAACAAGTACAATTATGTGGAATATAGTTTATCACAATCAGTTATCACCATGAGTTATCATTATGAGTTATCACCACGAAATTGAAAGATATATATTGATATAAATTCTGTGCTGAAATGATAAAAATCTTGTTTAAATATTCTAGTTTCATTGTGCCATTGAGACCTATTTTATCCACGTATTTAACTATTTTAAGATTTTTGTTCGAAATTACAATAGTCATATATCTTATATTGATTATCAAAACAAAAATAATATACTTACGTGGTGTGGTAACAGGAGCTAGCGTTGAAACAGGCGCTACTGGCGCCACTGTAAATACAATATGGTGAACACAATTTTTGACATCATTGAAATAAATTTATATTAAATTATTATACATGTAGTGCTATAGTATAAAGCAGATTATGTACCTATAGTTTTATAAACTATGCTGTAAGTTTATATAACCCGAGCTTCTATCCCAGGGTTATATGGCTAAAGACTGTTATAATCTGTCAGAAGACATTAAAACGAATCTACAATACACTTTATTCCTTTACTTGAGAAGAAATTACTTCTGAGATTTAAAGCAGTCAAAACAAAGTTGAAAAAAAGCAGTATTGAAGGTAGTTTCTGGCAATCTTATTCCGTTGCTGTACAAATTGTTCTTTACCCTAAAAAACTTCAACTTCAAACTTTAAAAATACCTCCTATTTTGGAAGAAAATCACTTTTTACTTTTTTCATTGCTTGCGAGCGTGGTCTAAAATTGTAAGTTTACATAAAAAGGCGATAAAACTAAATACATATATTCTATGAGCCATCAGAAATATTTATTTGATTAAGTCTGACAAGCAAGTTGAGCTCATGAATATTATTTGCCAACTCCGTCATTTCCAGACTATGCAAGCTTATCCACGGAAAGAGGCGATACATGCCGAATATTCACGAGTATGAAATAATGCGTACTCGTAGTCTCAGCGTTATGCGGAATCGAATAAAAATCACTTATATTGCTCATACCTTCACACGTTTTCGAAGAGAGGGCGGAAACAATACCAGATAAGGAGCTGAAACTCGAGACTGTAAAAACGTGTTCACTGTATACCGGCGATGCTATAGACTGAAGCTCCAGAATGTTGACATCACCCCCGACTCCAATACCGAACATGACAACACCTGCGGTAAGAAAGAAATACATTTATAGAAGAAAATTATTATAGATAATGGTAATGATGTCAATTTGTGACGCCATCACATGACTGTTATTTATGATATCAAAACAACGCATTGATAAATCATACAGTCTGCAGTGCTGAAACTGAATTCTGAAGAACGCAGATTTTCTCGTTAATCTAAAACAGAGGAATAACTGCTTCAGACCCCCAAAGTGGTGACGTCGTCAAAATGGACGACCGACTCTAGCATTGGCAGAACATTGCTTTTGTATATTGACGAGCGTGAAAGGATGTATCTTCTGGTCAGACATCAGCTGAAGGCTACAACTCATCATATACCAGAATAACTGTTCGAATTACTCAGCAAAATAAGACACAATAGTTCACTTCACAACGGAATCAATAGGCACAGCCATAAACTACAAATAATGTTTTATATAAGAATAAATTAATGCCATTGCTGCAGCTGCAAGTTGATTTAAACAGAGTAAAATCGATTTTGAAATACAAACAGGTAGCACGTATGTATACATGCTTGTAAATAAATCGGCTGCGTTGCGTCTCCTTGGTTACGATGTCTGCGCAAACAAATATGTCGATCTATAATTTCTTTAAAGCAACGCTTTCGGTCATGTTCTTTAAAATTGTTTGAACGTAATAAAGTAAAAGTTAAATTTGCAGATTACATCGTTTGATAGATGATGATGAACTGTTACACTGAAATTTGTTGTAGGTAATAAACACCAGTAATGCTTTAAAAATATGCAGATATGACAGTGTCCAGGCTTGCCCTTGTAATAATCTTATATTTTGAAATAGTGGTTGTTTCTTTGTTGTTATTGTTTGTTTGTTGTGTTCCGCTTGTTGTGTTTTGTCTGTTGCCAAGTTGAACATGTTCAAATAAAGGTTACTGTTAAAAGCCTTTATAACCGATAAATATCCTTTAATAGCCTTTATTATTTAATGTTGCTCACAATGTAGTGAAGTTTTTGTCATGCAATTAAAGGAACAGCGGATCAGCCATGCAACATATAAGCTTACATTTTGTGATATATTTGAGCCGCGTCATGACAAAACCAACATAGTGGGTTTGCGACCAGCATGGATCCAGACCAGCCTGCTCCTCCGCGCAGTCTGATCAGGATCCATGTTGTTCGCTATCAGTTTCTCTACTTGTAATAGGGTTTGTAAGCAACAGCATGGATCCTGATCAAGGCGCGGCTCATTTATAAAGGGAGATAATAAAATATCATATTGATAAAAGAAAAAGGAAAGCTCAATGGCAATTATAGGTTTGATTAATTTTCCGCTATGTTCCTTCAGTTAATCAAAATATTTCACTTAGTGCAACGAACAGTGTCAAGACCGCATTTTAGAAGTCAGACAGTTCATTATATATTATTAATTATTATAAAAATCTCTGATCGGTCGTAAACGGTTGTAGGCATAAATAACCGAGCCACTAGGCGAGAGATATCTATAGCAAATATAGCCATATAATCTATCAAGAATCTTTATAACGGTTTTATAATACACCATACTTCCTATATTTTACAGAGAAAAATATCATATTTTCATATATTTCATAAATTGACATTTGCCACGTGTATATTTCATATAAACGTCAAGTATCCAATGAAAATCGACTTTAATATGTAACTAAATTTATTTTCTTCCAATGGGGTATACTTTCTATGTCAAACCTTCAATTTGAATGGTTACGGTTAGTAATATATACATGTATATATCAATAATAGTTAGCTTTTTACCTAAAAAAAATATTTACCTTGTGATTTAAGTTCGCTGGCAGATGATGCTGTAAGATTGGTGTGGAAGGATTTACCATCTGTTATCACTACACCTATATTTGGAACATTTGGCCTTGACCCTTTAAAACCTTCGTCCTTGAGCAAATAGAGGGCGCTGTGAGTCTCTGTGATACCTTGAATATTAACACATACATTTATGTATAAACATTTGTATACTGGTAATGTTGGTGTTAAATATAGGTCCAAAACTGATATTGACTGTCCGTCTCATTCAAATACATACACACGATTTGTAACACCAGAGGAGTTTCTTAGCGCTATGCTTTTATTTAATTTTAATACTTTCTTTCTCAGTTTCTAAGCAAGTGTCAGCAACAGTTGAACAAATAGATTGGCATTTTAATTACAACTTAGATAATCATTTGTTACAAATATATAAAGAGAAAACTTTGTTTCGCGTTACTTAATGTAAGTTGTGAAATTGTCGTGCTTTGATTTTAGAACTATCTGTTTTTTGGTATCAAAAATTTTGATTTTAAAATGTTAAAATTAAGTTGCTTACAGCAATAAGTCTGGTTCGTTTAAACAAGACAATATGCAATATGTATAAGACGAAATATAAAAATACATAAATAAAATACAGTAAAGAAAATAATTATTTAAGGCTAAGACATTTTCCATTATTGATGCAAAATAATTATTATAATGGTCGCTTTCTTCGCTTTAAGTTGAAACAGTGAGAGAAATGTAAGCGTATAAAAGCAACTATTTTGGAGGTTTATAACCATGTAAAGGTTCAATATTCAAGTGCATTTATACCTGGTATATAAGGCACAGAATCAATCGCTTTCAGCAGAGCGTCTTTATCCGTATAATCATCGAGTCGTAACCTGATTACCGGATATCGGCTAAAAGTAATCACGCCAACCTTCGCATTGTCAGGTCCGACGTTCAAGTTTTGTACAACAGACTTCACAAAAGTCTTGATAATTTTAAAGTTGTCTTCTCCTACACTACCGGATGAATCGAGGACAAACACAATGTCGAATTTACTGTCACTACAATCTACAAAATAAATTAGAAAGTTTTAAAATTCTTATTTAGCAAATCAGTTTTTTTTATTCGCAAAAATGGCAAAGCTCACTAAAAATAAGACGCAAAAAATCCTTGCAAACAAAGTATCGCTATGGCGATAACAAGCATAATTTTATGTATATGGCTATTATGGTAACAAGTAGAAACTTATGAATATGGCTTTTGTGAGAACAGACATGAACTTATGAGTATGCTATCACAATAACAAAGTATGGCTATCCATTAACAAACACATGAATATGGCTATTATGGTAACAAGCAAAAACTAAAGTATGCTGTCACGATAACAAAAATAACTCATAAAAATGACTATAATGATAACAGGCATAAACTTATGAGTATATTATCACGATAACAAGCTATAAATCATGAGTATTGTTATCACGAAAGCAAGCATAAACTTATGAGTATTGTTCTCACGATAAAAATCATTTACTTATATGTATTGCTATCATGTTAAAAACATAAACTTATGAGTATTGCTATTACGATAAAAAAAACATAAACCTATGAGTATTGTTATTACTATAAAAACATGAGCTTTAACATGAACTTATGAGTATTGTTATCACGATAAAAACATGAACTTATGAGCATTGTTATCAAGAAAGCAGGCATAAACGTATGAGTATTGTTATCACGATAAAAATCAGTAACTTACATTTATTGCTATCATGTTAAAAAACATAAACTTATGAGTATTGCTTTCACGATAAAAAACATAATCTTCTGAGTATGCTTTCACGATAAAAATCTTAAACCTATGAGTATTAATATCACAATAAAACATAAACTTATAAGTATTGCTATCATGATAAAAACATAAACGTATGAGTATGCTATCACGATAAAAACATAAACGTATGAGTATTGTTATCACGAAAGCAAACATTAACTTATGAGTATTGCTATCACGATAAAAAACATAAACTTATGAGTATTGCTATCACGATAAAGAATAATCTTATGAGTATGCTATCACGCTAAAAAGCATAAACCTATGAGTATTATTATCACGATAATAACATAAACTTATGAGTATTGTTGTCACGATAAAAACATAAACTTATAAGTATTGGTGCCACGATAAAAACATAAACTTATAAGTATTGTTATCACGATAAAAACATAAACTTATGAGTATGACTATTTTGACATATTCTGCCGACTTTTTAATACGACTATAATAATATAACTTACATTTGTTAGTTCTAAATGAAGAGAGCAAATTTTACAGTATAATCAGAACAATTAAAACTTATTGGTGAAAAACTGATTATTGATGAGTAGTCGTACAACTGGCAAAGGATATTAAATTTTTTACCATACTTACTTATTGATTGAGGCATAGGGGTCGTCATGAGGGGAGGAACAACCATAGTTTGACCATGACTTGCATCTATAAATAGATAAATTGTTTATTATAGTGACATGTGTTATACATACAAAAAGAACATATTTTCAAAATAAGATAAATAAGTTAAGTATATGATGACAACATATACATGTATGTTAACAATAAAAAGGAATGTCTAAAATGTATGAATATAACTGATGTTGTCTGGTCTTGAATGCCTTAACAATAAATTTTGCCGTTTTACGAATAGAAGAACTGTATGAATATGAAATGCAAATATTGATGTTCATAAAACATTGGCGTTTTAGATATGTATATCAGTCCTAGGTACAACCATATATATTATCAAATAGCTGAATTAATTTGATTTATTATAATGCTATATACAAAATACTATAGGCTCGTCATTATGATTTTACAGATAAAACAGTGTGATTTAGAGCTAATTTAAACATGTAGGTTCCGGTATGTAGCATTTTAGGCAACGTTGTTTTATGAAATATCAAAGTTATATAATCTGACATTGATATAGTACTCTTAAAGTATCGCATGAAAATCGCACGAAGATCCAAAATGATTGCAGTTTTTTTTTCTGTTTATGTCATAAGTTTATCAATTAACAGACAGAGTGCACATGTAATTGATCTTTACGTTTAATTTATACCGATAAGTGAATTTAAATTATGAGGCTAGACAAGTTACCTTTATAAAAAAATCAAGTGAATTTCTTAAGGTTGTTAATTATTGTCCAACTGGGCATGTGAGAACAATTTAACAATAAAACATAGTAAAGTGAAACCCGGTCATAACCTTTTCGGTAAAATTGAGTCTGTCCCCATCAGCCCCACCCCAACACACACACACACACACAAACCCGATTTCTGTGTTTCGATGATTACGACTGTTTAATGTTTCAGTACATAAAAATAAATACCGCCTCCGTGGTCGATTGGATAGAGTCGATGACTTCTAATCCAGTTACCTCTCTGGCGTGTGTTCGATCCCCGGGAGATGCTTTGGTAGTTTAGCACGGAGGAAGTTAGTCTAGTACTGGTGTAACTCTTAAGGAACGATGGTTAGGAAACTACCCGCCTATATGACTGAAATACTGTTGGGAAAAGGCGTAAAATGAAACAAACAAACAAACAAACATAAAAATAAATAAGTATATTTACCTATTAGATACACTAGAAGTAAGCAAAGTATACTTTGAACATACATATTGTTCTGAAAGAAAAAAGTAAACGAATTTGATAGCAGATATACATTTCTTCAACACCTAAATTCTTAAGAAGGGAAGAGGTTTTGTCCCATTTCTTGTTTCAATGCATCTAAAGTTTGATAAAGTTGTCTGCAGACCAAAGTTGATATTTGACTGATATTTGTTCTGAATAACCTGACTATTGACCATCTCTGTTGAATTATAATAGAATTTATTTTACTTTCTTATGCAAATAAGCATTGGTTTTCGAATCCGCATTTGTCTTTTACTAAACGCACAAAATTATAGCATAAAGACAACGACAACCATCTCGTTTCTTTTGTTCAATATTGAAATAATAAATTGTTCGTTAAAAGTTTCTTTATGAAATTATCATCAATTTTTGAAATTGTTAATCACAATTCTCAGTGTTTTGGGTTTACGAGCAAAGCGTTAATATCTTTTAATTGAATTTACATCCGACGTTTTTATAAAATGAGATCCCTTGCTGTATGACAAAATTCCGACCAATTATTAAAGTAAAGATATAAAATATATCCAAATAATGTTAATAAAAAAGACAGTTTTGTAGACTTAAAATGAAATTAAATTGTTAAACAACGCTAGCTTGTACTTTGTCCATGAACTCCTGGATCAGCTCAGGTCGACTCTAGGTTATAAAACATTGTTCTGAGCTCAGGATTTCTGTTGGGTACTGTTCATTTTGCGCCAGTTTCTGAACAATTAAATACATAAGCTTAGGAATTTTCTCTATATCCTCGGCCCCTGGTCTATTAGATATGAGAAAATAACGCATTCTATAGAATACCTTTTCAAGTTTTTTCACTTGGTCCTTGTCGATATAATATAATTATTACTTGTATTTTATTGATTTTCTCTGAATAAATATGTAATGTGTAAATTCACTCACCCTAAACAATTGTTAAACTACTTAAATCAATCAATTAAACGCCTTACTTTCCAGTTTATAGCACTTCACTACGGAACTTAATTAAACTGCCCGAAATGTTCTTGCATCAAGCTTTTTGTAGTCTCGAAGAGTTTTTGGTTTTTGCACACTTTAACCAATGATTGCAAATAAATGAGGATCATTTAAGGACATGAGATAACATCTTAGCACCTTTTGGTTTAAGAGACGAGCGTCTGGTCTCTAGCACTGATAACCTAAATGTTATACAAGACAACTTTCTAAATGTGCCACGCATAATCTTACGTTATTTTACGCAGCAACCCCGGATTTAATTCCGACGTCACCCGGTTTTTTATCTGCAGTCATAAAAGGTTGATGAGGGTGTTTTTTGCTTCTTCGCTATTTGCCCTTGATTTAATGAAAAATAGTACGTTTTTTCGTTACATTTTAATATATTCAACCGGAATGCCCTCCGTCATTTAGAGTCAATGTAGTCCACCATATGCAAATTAATGTTTATATAATTTTATAAGTAAATAGTTGATAATTAAATATACACTTAAATTTGTGCTAGTGGTACTGCAGTCTACAGTTTTAGACGGTCAATGACAGAAAATATCAGCAATTTTAAGTGACATGCCATTTTTTATTATCAACTTCATCCTTTCATCTCCGTTATAAAATCATGCTTATGGTCCAAAGTTTAACAATACAGAACTAGTCCTCTCTAAACCCTATTCTCAATGCAATATAGTAAACACTAGATACCAAAGAAATACTTCCCTCCCAATTATTGTTAGTTACGGACGCCACTTTATGTTGAACCTCCTTCTTGGCTTTTGGTATAACTACCACAGAGATCAGATGCAAAGTTGAACTTAGAATACATATAAAACTCCTGTTTGACCTTTCTTATGTGAGTATATACCAAATTCATCGTTCAAATGCAAAGTTTTGCATGTGATATATGCATGTAATTTTCTAAGACGAGTATATACGACATAATATATCTGTCATATTAAAAGTTTAACCCGTGTGACTATTTATGCATGCACGTCAAAAATGATCAAACTCTTGAAATGTTCTTATAAATTTCGACCATAAGCTTGTTTTTTAACTATTACTTTTATACTTTCATAAACTTTAAAGATGCTGTATTGATGCAGAAAATACAGAAACATGACAGCATACGACATTTTTTGCACTCGTGTTACCTTAAAGCTACATTAAATAAATTTCATAAAAACAGAAATGGCGACAATTTATAAATAAATTTGGTTTAATATCGACTCCAGATTTTATTTTGGTGTCAAGACAACCAAAATAAGTTTTATAAGCATAAAAAATGGGCAACCTCATTGTGGCGAAATCGGAAGTACAATAATAATCATTTCTGTTTGCATGAGAAACTCCGCCCTCGGTTCATCCGTACATCAATATTAAAACAACAAACATGACTATGTGCAGCAGTTCTAATCTAACGGTATATTTCCGCATTGTAACGGATGTTTTCATACAAATTTAATCCTTTTTATGAGATGATTACTTTTTTCTGAACCACAGGCCTAGTTCACCGTGAAGCTAAAACGGTAAAAGTGTGTTTGCACAAGAAAATCTCATATTTACTGTGTTCCGGACAGCAACTATAACAATGTGACGAAGCGCATACACGAGCTGATTATTGTCTTCATTTGCATGCTAAAATTCGTATACGAACTTTAGTGTTACCGTGGGGTTTTCCGTTTAAAATCCTTATTTATGAACAATATTTGATGAGATTTACAACATAACTGTTAAAAAGGTTTATGAAACTGTATAATGCTTGTTTTTTAGGCCGACGGCAAAATATTTTTACATATTTATTTAATGTAACTTTAATATTGTTTCATGTTTTAAAATGATATAATACCACTTAATCAATTCTTCCGAACCAAGTAAGATAAGTAAACAAATATAAACATCCTTGTTCGTGTACGTGTTGTGTATTTTCTACTTTGATACCGTATATCGTCATTCAAACTACCGCGATAACCTTTGTACTTACAACCATATATTGGTTCGTATACCGAGTCTCAAAGTTCGTCATTTCTTCGTGATTCTCCTTTACGTCAAAAAAAATATAGACACAATGCCAAAATGATGTTTACGTATGAACGTAAATCGTTATTGATATTATAATTATTATTGTTGTTGTTGTTGTTGTTGATGATGATGATGATGATGATGATGATGATGATGATGATGATGAGGATGATGATGATACCATAATTTTAGTCGGCTTCACCGTTGAAATCCCAATCACATTGTTTCTCTATATTATTTTCTTTTTTAAAAAAAAAACTTCTTAACTTTAAGAACATGTCTTTTACACATAGACATTCACTGTCTGAAAATCCGATTACTATTCTTTCATTTCTTTTCACTAAAGTATCGTCAAGACTTGAAGGAAAATATATGAAATAACTTTGTATTGCCTTTATATCCTGATCATTTTCATACTTTAATTGTTTTGAAAATACCTTGAATAAAAAGTGTGTAAAAATACTAAAAGACAAATCGATTACATAAATTTAGATGGATTATCTCATTTTTGTTTTCAAGGTCAGCCCAAATTTTCTCTAAATGCGAAGATTAGTCCTAGGATTACAGTTGTATAACATCAACAGAATTATGATTTGACTCGACCAGTCAAGGCTTCATTAATTTGTGGTATATATCTACTTTTTTTACGAACTTCTAGATGCAAAATATTTATGAAACGTTTTTTTCTGCTAAATTTAAGTAATGCATTCGCCCTGCTCTGAGTTTAGGATGTTTCATTGGTAATTTACTTTACATGTATTTCAATTTCTAACAATAAAATTTACTGTCTAAATTCTTAACGTATTGCAATGACCTGGAATTTTCAACTTAAGCGTTCCAAAAATATTAAAAGCTATTTAATGCATATACCTTTATGTTGTATCACACACTTCAACATTTTAAACAGAATAATAAACAACAATAAATAGTCTTTTTATTTATAAATGTGTTAATTTGACAGTGAAACTGACATTACAGCTATAGAAGTTTTTAGTAAACAAATTTGAATAAAATGAATAAAGATAATGTGGTGAAACATTCATTTCTTAATCATGCGCAAAGTTCGTGACTCGTGACCTGCGTAAATTGTATATTCTTAATTCAATGATAATGTTGAACACTTTGTAAGCCTTCATATAGATTCATACAGAATACAATTTTGTTCTGTTCTTAAAAGTCGAAAATAAGCAATCATCTCAATGAACGTTAGCATTTTGATACAGTTTTGAAATGTACTCTTTTCTTGGATTTCTGGATACTGTAAATTTCCAGTTGACATCCTGTAGCCGTTGCCTAGACCTAGATTTAAATCTAAGAGTTTTTTCAAAGTTTTCATTGAACCTTTTTTCGTACAAACTCTTTCGTCTCCGTCGTTCGTTTTCCCCAATTTCACCGGAATGCTGATTGTCAATACTTGCAAGTTCGCAAACATCAGGTGTGCTGTCAAATTGTGTATCCGGTTGATCTATATGGTCCTTCGCTTCCTGAAAATTGATTTCAAACATTTCCTTACTAGACAATCGCCTACAGGACAGTATACGGGTGCTTGAAATTAAATGTTGAAATGTTCCCCAACGATGAATTATCATAGACACGAACTGTAGAACAAGCAAAATAGAAAAGAGTGACAAGAATATAATTGAAACCGGTTCGTACTGTCCGAAGAAATAAAACTTGATCAGCTTTTCCCTGTTTACCTGCAGCTGTAGTAATGCTATGGAGAACATGAAATTTATCATAAAGAAAGCAAACACGATGTTATTACGAAGTGACAATAGGTCAGATTTTATCTTCTGTTCATGTTGTTTATTGCCTTCTATTGGCAATAAGTACTTGTGTATAAGCTTGGTCCAAAATTTCTCCTCCGTCTGACTGTCGTTCTCAGTCTTATACTTCTTGAACTCTTCTGAACTCATCCAGTAGCTTTTATCTTCAGTAAACGTGTCAATGTTTTCGTTCTCAGGACCTGGCTGGTCAATGTTTATTTCATTTAATTCTTCTTGTAAACTTTTCACTTGGTGATCTGACTTGTTATTTCTTGATCGTTTGTTTAATACCGACTTAAAGGCAGATAACACTCTGTCCAATTTCTTTTTCTTTTCAGGTTTCTTTTGTGTGTTTGCTTGTTTGTCTTCTCGTGTACCCCACGTTACGATATTTAAGTTGCAAATATAGTAAATTGTAAGAAAAATGAATGTGGAAGGAACTGCAACGTAATACAACAAGCCATGGAGTAAACAACTGAATTCTTTCGGGTGCCATAGCGCTGATAATGTAAATATAACTACGAGCCCAACCAGGAATAAAACATTAGGGGATATGACACTCTCCGAGGTAATGTTTAGAATAGTACCAATTGTTACAATAATCATGACAATGGTGTAAATAGAGCTGAAGATTGCTGCAAAGAACAGCTGTGTCTCTTGCTTGCATTTCAAGCACATAACAATAAATATGACAATTGGAGAAATTGAAAGCATATAAGAAGTCCAGGAATCGAATCCCAGTACCGAACTATATGATCCAGTGATCATAAGAGACACTGTTGCTGGTGCAAGTAAACTTGTCGCAAGCATCATGAACTGGTAAGCCATGAATAAGCGGCTTATATTCGCATTTTGTTGTACTGTATGGTTCCAAGACTTTAATAGATCGATTATGTTTGCATTTGTCGATGGAGACCATCGACGTCTTTGTATGAAGAATTCATCGAATGTTTCTGGTGCGTATGTATAAGCATCTGCCCCAGCACAGTAATCTACTTTATAGCCTTGTTGTAGAAGCAACGTACATAGCCATCTGTCTTCGCCTACAATATACAACATGATGCAATCATCTGATACACAATAATTTTTCAACATGTTAGAATATCGGAGAAATATGCATGTCCTCAAAGATGGCAATAGGAAAATTGCAGTCGGCTATATTTGATACATGACTGCTCGTACGAAATAGACATATAGATTTAAAACGAGACCTGTTGTATGAATTTAGCAAGTTACCTTGTTCAAACTGAATGTAATGAAGCGCTTCGGTTGGTTTCCTCGTATAAGTTTTAACAACATTATCATCTATCAATGCGCTTGCGCGAAACATTGAAAAGCATCCGGGGCAACATAATACACATCCAAGTACGTGTTCAGCAGCTTTTTGCAACCAATGGCCTATGGCATACTCAAACTTTTGATACCACACCAACGGTCCTGAAATGTAAATTAAATGATAGAAGTCGCGTCAAAAAGCAACGATTAACCCAAGCACATCAGGTGCTTGAGGTACTAGATCATCAATACGCATTAACTTTTAAAAATGTTATTTAAGACTGCTATATTAAAAATAAATCCTAGTACTGTTTTAAAAAAAACCCCTTGTTTCTAGTATTTTCATATTGTATATTTCAGATAATAATTCTATTGTATTTGAGTTACCTGAACCTATTGGATGGATACGACCACACACAGCACCGACCTTTGCGTTCTTTTTCATTCTGTCTATGAGCAGTAGTACGGACTTTGGTTTGAAGTCTACATCGCCGTCCAGTGTCAGGATGAATGTGTTTTCAAGCTAATATCAAACAACAACAAATTGTATAGTTTAAACTTGAGTTTTATCACTACATTAAACGATAAAATTTGTAACAGTTAAAGACGAAAATTTGGGGGGGAAATGATTTCATTTGTCGATTGGTTATGCATAATTCCACATTCCAATCTTATGTCTTTCTAGTATCATGAAAACCTGAACATCATATAAACATATAAAGCCATTAGTTTAGACAAAGTTTATTTCACACCAAACAATGAATACAGCATGTAAATAATACATGTATATTTACATCGAAAAGATACGTGCCATTATGTCCTTTCACTAATTATAATATGAAAAATTACTGCCTGTTGTCGGGAAATCGAATCCCAGTCACAGCGGAAAATGTTACTAATGCATATGCATCCTTCTGTGAAAATCTTTCGAAAGATCTTTTAAATATTTTTTTCTCATTTCTTACCTTCGTTTTGTACCTGTCAGGCATTACATTTCTGAAAGACTTAGGAGCACCATCTGTATTATCTGCTTTGCCTTTATTGTTACTCTCTAGTATAATTTCATCTCTAGATTTGAAATGGAATGTCTCGTACCCCAGAAGGTAGTATAAATACATTACCTAAAATCATTAATTTATTTCATACATTACCTAAAATGATAATTTATTTGATAATGAAAAGATTTTTAACAAGAGCCATGCTAGCATGGCCATCCCCCCCCCCCCCGCCGAATGTGTTTGCTGATTGGAAGAATGTATCTGTAGTAGAGCAGAATAATTCAATTTAAAGAGGTCTTCTGGTAATAACAACTGATGGAGTTTCAGGTTGATATCTCTAACACTTTTTGAGATATAAGCTCCGGACAAAAAGTATGAAAAGTAACAGAGGGCAATAACTCAAAAAATATAAAGGGTAGAGTTATCATTCTTACACACAGCATTCCTCCTCAATAAGATCTATCCATCTATGAAGATTCATGTTGACATCTCAAAGACTTTTTGAGTTATGCTCCACTCAGGTGAAAAATTATGTATGAAAAATTACAAAGGGCAATAACTCAAAAATTATAAATGGTAGATTTATCATTCTTGTGCACTGCACACCTCCTGCGTGAGATCTATCCTCCCATGAAGTTTCATGTTGATATCTCAAAGGCTTTTTGAGTTATCGGTATGCTCTGGACAAAAATTAAGTTTGAATAATAACAAAGGGCAATAACTGGAAAATTATACAGATTAGGGTTTTCATTCTTATGCACTACACTCCTCCTCAATGAGATCTATCCATCTATAAAGTTTCAAGTTGATATCTTTAACACTTTTTGACATAAGCTCCGGACAAAAAGTATGAAAAGTAACAAATGGCAATAACTCAAAAATTATAAAGGGTAGAGTTATCATTCTTACACACAGCATTCCTCCTCAATAAGATCTATCCATCTACGAAGTTTCATGTTGACATCTCAAAGACTTTTTGAGTTATGCTCCACTCAGGTGAAAAATTATGTATGAAAAATTACAAAGGGCAATAACTCAAAAATTATAAATGGTAGATTTATCATTCTTGTGCACTGCACACCTCCTGCGTGAGATCTATCCTCCCATGAAGTTTCATGTTGATATCTCAAAGGCTTTTTGAGTTATCGGTATGCTCTGGACAAAAATTAAGTTTGAATAATAACAAAGGGCAATAACTGGAAAATTATACAGGTTAGAGTTTTCATTCTTATGCACTACACTCCTCCTCAATGAGATCTATCCATCTATAAAGTTTCAAGTTGATATCTTTAACACTTTTTGACATAAGCTCCGGTCAAAAAGTATGAAAAATAACAAAGGGCAATAACTGAAAAATTATACAGGGTAGAGTTATCATTCTTGTGCACTGCACTCCTCCTCAATATGATCTATCCACCTATGAAGTTTCAAGTTGATACCTCAAATAATTTTTGAGATATGCTCCGGACAAAAATGTCGGACGGAAGGACGGATGGATGGATGGACGGACGGACGGATGGAAGGACAGACGGACGGATACCATTTCTATATCCCCCGCCTTTCGGTGGGGGATAATAACAGCACGGTGTGAGGTCTAGTTTCAATAGTCTTTTTTTTTCTCTAGACAAACTTCAAAAAAGTTCTTAATTAAAAGTTAGATAGTGACATTAATCTAGCCAAAATAACACGTTTGGAAACCCGATATGAAACCAAGGTGGGGCATTTAACAGAGGTGATAAGGTGTCACCTATGGACCGAAATGATTGAAAACAAAACACATCACGCTTCATAGGTTATTTGTAAAACTTTGTTGTCTTTTTAACAATAAATATATTTTACTTGACCTGAGACCATCTTTTTCTATGTCTTATTTTCAGCTTATTTTTTAAATGAACTATCATTTTAGTTGTGCCGGGTAAAGACCACGTGAGTCGTCCGCCGTATGGTAAAACTGATTTAACTGGCGAGGAATCCCATTCATTCTTAGCTCCTGATCCGAGAATAGCTCTGAAAAATCAAGATTAGTAAAAGGTAATTTTTGTTGTCAATGTTTTTAAGTATTTTTTGTTTGTTTGTTTTTGTTTTATGTTTTTGTTTTTGTTGTTGTTGTTTTTTTGCCTGAAGACAAAATAAATAATCTGATTAAATTTCTTAAACTTTTCTTATGTGATATTATATGATAAATAAAGAGTGGTTGAATGAATATGGACATTTGCATTATGGTTTCATGGAACATTTTACAAATAGTTGTGACATGAACTTAGTATCTGTGTTAGAGTGGACCCCCTTGCTAATGATCCTGTTTTGCCGAGTTATGTTTGGGATTGGGATGCGTACTTTGAATACCGCCCTTCCTTACTGCTCTTTGTTTCCATATTTTAGTCTGTATTCTGTTTGTATTTAAGTTTCATGACAATTAATAGGTTTAAAATCAAAAAAGTGTTTTATGTCAAGATTTTTAAATATTATCTTACAAAAAACGTGAGAGATGATAATTACGAGTATAATAGTACAAAACTGGCAGAGATTTTTACGTTCATTATTGCTATGAAATGCTCTTTAGAGTAAGTAGAAACAAGACTCACGATGCTGCCTCGTCCAAGCATGTTATAAACTGGAGAACATATTTATTTGGTACATGCTGCTTACTGTCCTCTTCTACAGTAAAAGCGTCATCGAAAATTATATGAACTGCAACAAAAAATACATGTGATGATCAAGTTACAATGTGAAAATCAAATCAATATCAAGATATCAAATATATGCTAAACTGGTGTAGTAGGGTACGGCAACGTATGTTATAAGTACATGAATGTATATTAAAACATATTTCCTGTCCTGGTGCCATGATCACTTACTTTCTGGCTCGAACTTGTCTGGATCTTCAGTGGTAATGTTAAACTTTCTCTCAGCTGCTCTGCTTACCGCGCAATGCCGGTCAATTCTAGAAATAAATATGTTATGATATTTAGCATGCAGCGTATATAAGCCAAAATAGTAATGAAAAAGATTATACAGTTGACATTTTTGATAATTTGACAGCTCTCGTGTTTCTATAATAAAGTTATGCATATATAACTTTCCTTAACTATTCTGTTACGAGACAATACATTGGGTCGTTATCTTGGGTACTGCGATACTTAATGTTTTCATTAATTCGTGCGAATGTAAAGGACTGGGTGTCATTGACCAATTTAATTGCTATTGACTGCTGTGTCTGAACTTCAACAATATGTTCCAATCAAAATTAAGTAAATGATCAAAGGCACTATTTTTAGATCAATTTTCTATGTTTTAGGTGGGATTCGATGTTTTCGGATTACCGCGAAACTGACACTTGGAAATCAATCGTGTTTGAGTATCTAAAAGGCATACACGATTGTACTTCATAATCAAATACTGGTATACTGAAGGTTCATAATATAGAGCTTAAATTAGTCTAACTGTCGTTGTTTTGCTTCATCAAGAATGAAAGATAGATTAAAAAGATATATTATCGCTTAAGCATCGATGTCAATAGTAGTTTAGATAATAAATCACATTGAAAGCTTTGTAGGGTAAAACGCACATCTTCCATGTCGTATTTTCAAATGGAAAATAACTTTATATGTATACATAAAATCATTTTCTGTCATTTCAAAAGCGGGCCACTTTGTAAGAATGTCGAATTCTTTTTGCTACATGTATATCTCACAGATTTACCTTAGTAATGATTTTAGAAGCTGTACCATCTCTTTCCAGTTTTCATGCCACATTGTTGCACAGATATACACTTTTGGGACAACTCTCTCTGTGCCTTCTCCATCTTTTCTATGGAACTGTTTATGGTGTTTTCTATGCCTTAACAATAAGTTGAAATCAACAAAAATACAATCCTTTAGTTCTGGTAGAAACATTCTGCAATAAATATAAAGATGCACGTGAGAACATAATCATTTATCTCTATAATCAATAAATTACATGAACTCTTTAATTATTACTTATTATAGCAATTTTCTCCTTATTTTTTGTGTTCCTCTATTTCGCTATTTTTTTCTTTCAGGGATCATCGAATCTAATGCGTTTATTATATAACCTTGGTATCGCCTCCACCCTGAGCCTTTGCTGGGAGGTTTACTCTCCATTACCTTTGGAAATATATTTCAAATACTCACATATTCTTCTATTTACGGGAACTTCTCTATTTCAAAGATAATTGCTTAATTTGTTAAAACTTAGGTATCACTGTCCGCTAAAAAATCAGATGGTTATTTAAAGGATGAGACTTTTATTTCATGATACATATTTGACATGAGACATGTGGGTAAATCAAACATAGCATTTAATAACATGTGATTCAAATTTCTTACCTTTCGACTTTGGCCATTCTCTCTGAATGTGGAAACCACACATAAATAGTTAACATAATTGTGCTAATCCAAAGCAAAGCAGCCAAACAGATATGAATTGCTGATGTCAACTCCCATGACGGACATAGATACGTCAATTCCAATGGAATCACGTCAAAAGTAAGTTGGTTACCGCATTTCAAAAGTGTGTATGTCAAGGTAATCGGGCTTATCAATAACGTCGCTATGGAGAATCCAATAATCTGCATGTGCAGCTTACAAGCTAGTATTGCGCAATAACTAACGACAAATGTAAGCGCTATTATTTGTAGGACTATAGCATGATCAGTTATGAAACCTTTAATATTTTCATACTGTGTAGCGAACCAATTGTATGAGGAGTCTGTTTTAGTATTTGAAGTTCGATATGTAGTCTGTATATGAGAGGAAAAATCATCTTTTACACTGCCAGTTGTACCGTTGTCAAGAAATCTGATATACTCTATGGTGCTTTGTCCTGTTTCATTGGGAGCACTGCTGATAGTTAGCAATGACTCTGTCGTTTCTCTTACAGTAGTAGCTGTATCATTCGACAAATGTTTATAATTGCAATTGCTTACACCAAAATAGGAGTTTGGCTGATAAACTGCCAATAACACACAAATACCCACAATCGACAATCTACAGGATACCGTCCAGAGATGGGCTTTATCACGTGGCTTCTGTAAATCTCTTCCGAATTTTTGAAACACTAAATATTTGCTGCGTTTAAAATCAACAAAATTTTCCCACCAACCGAGAGAGATTAATACAACTGATATAGGTGCCACCCAAATGGCTTCATTTTGTATCGGTTCTTTTAGAACCCCGAGAAAATAGAATATCGAAAGGCTTCCAGCTTGGATAAGAAATATGAATCCATAGAAACTGAGAGATATGATGCGTCGTTTGCTGCTTTGTCTAGAGTAGATCAGGGTGTTGAGAAGAGACAGGACGGCAGGGAATACAGGCGCTGACATCATCACGTATAACATGTTTATACCAGACAGATATGGGATAACCTTGAATAGAAAAAGCAGAAGGCCGATCGTCCGCAGAACTTCTATAACCATTAACTGAAGAAGAAAAAACTTTGTCATTATTTTCAAAGCAACAGAAAGTGCACTATGAAATGAGAATTCTGCTGAAAACTATTTCATTGTATAGTACAAAACTACACACACTGTTTTAATACATGCATATGTTATTGCAAGAAATGTGAAAACAACATTCGATATCACATTGTACGTAATAGCTTAAACTTTTCTAAAATTAGATGTCTTATCACCTATATCAATATATTTCTTAAAAATAACATGGCCATTATAATTTACTTAAACTGAAAACTGACAATATGACAACTTACGAAAGCGATAAATCTTTTTGATAAAGACTTCACTTTTCCAAAAATAACTTTGAACAAGGAAGAAAGCATGGTGAAACCAGGATAAACACACACCAATGTCACTAGATACAAGGCATGCCGAGTTCGATCCTTCCCATCACTCTATAAAATATAAACTAGTAATAAGACGATTTGAAACTTCTTTTAATTAAGCACAATAAAGTTTAAAGTTTGAGTTTAGATTTCTAACTTGTATTTTGTTTATATTTATCTAAAGTAATATCAAATCAAATTTTGTTAACAATCTTTTGCACACAAAGAACCGACATTTTTTAAAACAGATCTAGCCAGGCGGCTGTGCTGGCACTAGGAAATGATAGATTCGAAGAAAACATTCTATCACTGAAATTAACTGCATTGTTATTGTCTATAAAATGTTATAATTATTAATTATTATTATATTTATTTTAATTTATCTTTATTTAAAGGTAATTATTATAATTAAATAATGTATATTATTTACGAAAGGATACAAATGATAGAATATAAAATATAACCGGCTTATCTAATATAAAAACATCGAATCTCTTCATAATTTGCAATATTTATCGATTGTATAAAGTAGTCTATTAATTTTGTTAATTGTTAACTGTTATGAAATTTGTTAAAATTCTTTAAATTGTGGATTTCTATCAATATTTTCTCACTATATCGTTCTTACTTAAACGGCCAAAAATAAGAAACATGTATGATTACCTGCCTGTAGGAAGAAGCGAGAGAGATACCACTAAGTTTTATATAAACACCTCCACCCAGGACAACAGAAAACATGACCATGTACATCATCAATCGACAAACTTTCAAGAACTTCTGCTCAATATTGTAGGATTTGGCACCTCGTCGTTTTGTCTCTCCAAATGCATCATACGCCCTGAAATATTTTGTCATTTATTCTTCATTGTTTATGGCTTTTTTTTCATTGATTGTTCGCGGATTGTTTTTTTATGCAGTTTCGTTCATTTACCGAACTATTAAAATCCTTCACAAAACTTGATAACTTAGTTTATTACCATGAATAGAAGTTTTTCTTTTGCGCTAAGTCATATGTTTTCTTATTGTTTGTTTTATTTTTCAAGATGCGTGACTTTATAAAACCTATAACCTAGTTAAAGATTTTGAACAATTATTATATCATATAGTCTGTATCATTATGAAAAAGGAATTTAATAAGTTCACCAAGAGGTGGAATAACTTAAGATGTTTGATAAAAGTAAATATTACGGAATCCCTTTGGTTCTGTTATCGTCATCATCATGAGTTGCCTCAAAGTCATGACTCTCTCCATTTAGATCGTCATCTCCGGTTTCTGGCACCAATACAATAGACGGCTTACGCATGATACCGGAAGGGACTAAATCTTCTTTTATATCGTCGTCGTCTTCAGATTGATATCCCATTTCTTCTTTTAACGACGGCACAGAAGAAACGGAGTTATATCCTGAAGAAAGTGCTGAAGTGGACGGAGATGTCCGGTCATTCTTCTGAAATACATAGATCTATCTTGTTCTATGTTATGTTTTTATACAAGTATTTCAGTGATCGTGAATGTATTTTAGATTTATACTTAAGTGTAAAAAAATATTTTTTCTTGTCTGATTATTAAGTTTATAAAAAACAGATAGTTACAAGTACTTGCACGTTGTACCCAATGTCGCCGGTGGTAAATGGTAACTAATAATAATGATGATAACAACAATAATAATTATAATATATGTAATAATAATAATAATAATAATAACGACAACAACACACAACAAGGAAAGAAAGAAAGAAAGAAAGAAAGAAAGAAGAAAGAAAGAAAGAAAGAAAGAAAGAAAGAAAGAAAGAAAGAAAGAAAGAAAGAAAGAAAGAAAGAATCAGTTGATGCTCTTGCATTTGATAATATTCGCTATCATAGATAAAATAAAATTATTACAGTTTATCATAGGCACACAGATAAAAAAATGAGTTTTGAAAGCAGTAAAATATTGTACATATATATTCCAACTCATACATGTGCTATAAGAGACTTGCACATTTAGGACTATCAAAATACTTGTCAAATACTCGTTATTTTTAACCATAAAGGAAACTTCTAAATATGTATCATATCATGTATTAAATGTCATTACGTGTATATTGATGGCTGTGTCTTTCACATAAAATAACATACAATATTGATAAAATAATAGTATTAAAAATTAATTAAAATGCCAAGTCCTTCATAAACAAATAAAAAAATAAAAGAAAGGGATATTTCCATAAAATAATTTTCTTTTTTCTTTCTAGTCACTATTGTGGCAGTTTTTTGCAGAAAACTATTCAAACTTACAATTGTGACCTATACATGTATATCATTTTCTGACATATTTTGATTTTTAACTTACATGTTTTGATATTTAACTGACATAAGTATTGACATAGATTGAAGAGCAGAGACAAAATGCTTCTTTGTATCAATTTACATTTATGACAATACTTGTTTTTCGCCTGCAATCAGAATCGGGACAGTTAAAACATGTTCTATATTTGGTGGTACAGCACACCGAATTTTTGCGAAATCTGATCTATGTTGTCAATCGGAACACCTTGGCTATTATCAAATTCCTTATTCGAAGTTTGACGGAAAGGACCGAGAAAATGCGATTGTTATGTTGTAAAGTTACACCATAGATAATCCTCAGTACAAATGACTTCATCATTACATACTTAGACGTACGCACTTCAAAAAAAAATCAAAGCAAACATAATCGACGTCAAGTGATATTGCGCAAACAAAGTTAGACATGTAAATTTAATATCACAGACATCATAATTTATTTATGATGCCATTAAACACAGTAAAGTGCTAGGATATATACGTTTATTTTAGGAAAAAAATATTAATCAATAAATAATGTATTTCAGAGGGTTTTACGAGTAGGCAGATCAAAGGTTCAGTTGTAAATTAGAATTAAGGAAGCGATTGGGCGATCAGCTGCTAAATCAATTAAACTTATGTCAGCCTAATCGCATGTCTTCTGTTAAACTCAGGGTAATTTTGTCCGCTAATAACAGTGTTCGGTACTCAAGAAGCTACATTTGTGTTGCTCAAGTAACTATTTTGTCTGCTATAAAAAAATACTTTTGGTCATTTATTTGGCTCACAACCAATGGACTGTCAATTCACGCAAAGCGTGTGGTCTCTTCTCTGACAATAAAATTAAATCTCAAAATATTTGGCCCAATGACCATTGTATCTTGTTGTGAGGTTTTTTAAAACGGTTTTGAATGCAGGCATTGGAATTGATTATGCTAATGAATTTATCACTCTACAGGGATGTGGGGATTAGTTAGAGATTTAAATTTCAAACAGCTGACGTCTTAAATGTTTCTTTAACATGACATATCTCAAAAGATTAAATACCTTTCTTTCTAAAACTTTCACCACCATAGTAGAATGTTCATTGTAATATACGTGCATTATTAATTTTTTGTTAAGGTAAATCTTGTATTATTCTAGCAGGGGGTCGAACGAATAGCAAGGTGAAATGGTGCGATACAGAATAATGGCGGATTTTAGACTGTAAACACACGTTCGAGTGAGTAGATTGTATAAAATGTAACAGTCATTGACTATATAAATTGCAAAGTTTGTGTGTATGATGTGGGGTTCGAAATCATAGAAGTTTAGATGTAATAGTAAAAAAGGACATGCTACTAAGTTAATCAAAAGAAAGAATTCGATAATTTTGACAATTTATTTCAAACAAACATCTCAAACAGTAGTGAACACATACAATAGAGATAATTTGTACAATGTATATCCATTTTGGATAGTTTGCAGTTCGAATGTAAAATTCCGTGATGCCGATTGTTCTTCGTATATATTGTATATTTAAATGTTGTATACATGTATGTTAATGCACTCACTATTTACACTTGCTGAATATTAAAATAAATGTAAAATATCTTGTTAGTGTTCCTGTTTTTATAAATCTTTCTTATAAAATCATTATAAAATCTTAATCATGTATATGGTTTTCTCTCTCAATGTCTTGCTGACCTTCCCTGCTAAATATCATACTACATTTTCACATACATATGGGCTTAAGACTATACTCAGACAAGATCTTCCATAATCAGTGAAAACAAACAGGAGGCCTATATACACTACCATGTGTGTCTAACGGATCCTTCATTAAATTGGGCATGTCACACACATTCCACAATTTCAGTATGAAACTGTATCTAGAGCTAAGCTATTGTTTCACACACACCACAACTATTTTACTGAAAAGAAAACACTTGTCGATTTTCTAAATTTCACTTTACCAGTACATATTATTAGAACTGTCCTTCCTTATATACCCATTTTTTGAATGCTATGACCGTACGCATAACAAAAGTATGATGTAGTTAACTGTTCACTAAATGAAACTGCTTTTCACCAATTGCCAATAAGTAGAGAACAAAATATCAGTCGATCATGAAACGCATCATAAGGAAGCAAAGTTTTTTTGTACAGTTAGTTTATCTGTCCAGTTATCATGCGTACAATAAGAAATACGGAAATATTGTAGATATGTATGCAAAATATATATTTAAAACTATTCGTATTTTGTTTTGCTATTTATAGATAACATGATGTTGCTATGTCTAATCTAACATATGTTCTATAACGTCTGTTATTGTATGTATGTCAGATTTCCGGTGGCATTTGAAGAAGCAAATATCTCAATAACTTTCTCCTTACAATAAAATAGCTTTTTTTTACTTTGGCCATCATATACAAATATATCTACCGCTCAGTATGCACTATATTATTTGAACAAAAATTACAACATACTACAAATATTTGAAGCAAACTGGTTCTTACCAACATTATTTGTCACTTTCGTCCGCCATTATTCCGTATCGCACCATTTCACTTGCTTAAAAAAGTATCGCACCGCTATACATTCGCCCCCCTATTTTAGGTGTAATCAAAATTTAGCATTATGCTTTTAACTTAATTATACATGTGTTAATTTTGATATGTTTTAGTTTATTTTATGAAAGATACGATTTACAAAATATATGTATTTAATTATTGTTTTTTCGTTGCTCATATCTGGAAGGATTTTTAACAAAATGACTCTGTAATTTAACGCATATGTTACCTTATAAAAATATTAGCGTATTTTGAAGATAAAGAAGTAGAAGAAGAAGACAATTTAATTTATTTTATATATTTGCATGTATCTCGTTATACATCAAAACTTGTACACGTAGAAAATGATTTGTCATGGTCGATATTTAATATTCAAAAAAGAAATAATTCATTCAGTTTCAACACTAGAGAATAAGCTCAAATGATTATGAAAGTATATATTGTATAGGCGTAACACGTTTCAAATATTTCATACTAATAAAGTATCTAACAGTAAATAAAACGAACTTTGCTAAAGTCCAGGATATGAATTCAATAAATCATTAATATTCTTTAAACATTGGCTAAATAGATAAATTTGCTAAGATTGTTTGTTCATATTATGTCTATGGTACAAAATTGACATTTAAGTAATCAAATACTTAGATCTAAATCATGGTAAACACTGCATATAAGAATAAAATGATATGCATCTTCGATCTCAGAACATTGACATAATTGGCATAATCTTCCCTGTCTTTATATTCTGTTCCTGTCATATCCGCCTGCTTGACTAAAGAAATTCTTAAAAGCGTAACATAAGGCTATACTCCTTAATATTTACATTTGATAATACTTATTAAAAATAAATAAATAAAAAAATAAATAATAAATATAAATAATAAAATAATAAAATAATAAATATATAAATAAATAAATAAATAATAATAATAATAATAATAATAAAAATAAAAATAAATAACTTTCAAATGATACATATAACCATCAGTATCGAAAACAAATATGACCTTGTGAAAGCTTGATATTAATTACAAAAAAGTGCGTTCAATAGACTACTCCTTTTCTCTTGTTTACTTTCGTAAGGTACGGGAAAAATACGTCATGTGTTTATGTGACGTCATGCTGTGACGAAGAGGTATCCTAAAGGGAGTCTTATTTCGACGTTTCAATTGAAACAGCAATGATTTTTTTTTAAAAAATCGTCTAAACTCGGCAGGGGAAGGGTAATAAACGGCTCGGGTGATATAAAATCTTAACAGGTAATATATCCACATATATCACTCCAAAACCAAAATAACATATAATATATAAAGGGTATTTTCCTGATTCTCCATATACAGCACTATTCTATATATTTTCTTAAAGGAACTTCACTGAGGTCCAAAAGTCTTAAAAAATAAATTCTGAATTTCTTACATAGATACCTGAGACAATTCAAACAGAAAGATTTGCAAAAAGATAATCAAGAAATATACCCTGAAACAAATTGGAATCGTATTTTGTGCTATTTTTTGCGCGATTTGAGTGAAAAACGTTGCAACGCTTTTCAATTCTGTGTTTTTTTTTTTACAATAGAAATAATTATTCTGTAAGAACGGAGTGAGAGCGAGAACTGAATTTTTGCACACAAGTTATTTGTCTAGATGTACATCAAATGGTACATTTATCTAGAGAAAGATATTAACAGTCATGTCATGTCCAAAAAAACCTTATGGGAGTTCTTTAAACGCCTAAAATATATTTTCAAAATTTGAGATATACAACATGCACGATGATACTTAACATGACCATGGGATAGACCATTGCTATAGGGCACAAGTAAACGTGATGCGTTGTTGTTGTTGTTTTCTAATATATTTCCAAATAGTGTTACGTTATTGTTAATAATTTAGATTCTTATTTGAACAAGTGTTTTAGGAAAATAAAAGAATATAAAAAAAGGAGAATCGTGTAAAATGTTAAAGCCAAACCCTCTAAGTACCGGAAACACAAATATTTCAGCAGTAGACCGCAATGAATTGTCTTAATATTTTGCTGGTTTTGATAAGGCTTAAACTGTGGGCTTCGTTCAATAGAATTTCATATTCAGATTCTGTAAGATAACCGCCGAATGAACACATCTATGCATATTTCCAATTTCAAAATTTTACCATTTCATGTTGAATGGACGTTAGTTTGCACTTTCCAGTACCATCCATGAACAGGTCAATTCTCACCGAGTTTGCAACAATTTCAATTTTGCCGTTTTGGACATTCTTTTTGGAATTCTATTTCTCTCAATTTTATTACAATTTTACAAAAAGGATGCAAATGTTTATCTGCTTCAAGTAATCGTGTACATTTTATTTATAACAGAGATTGTATTTCTGTTAAATTTTCTTTAAATCAACGTAATGTTTTTCATCCATATCGGGTGTAAAAAAGCAAATTTATTTTCGACTATCTTGTGATTTAAGATCATATTACTATTTTTTAATTGTAAAGTAATCGCAAGTGGGGGACAGCTTTTTGCTGCAATCATGTCTACGCCCACGAATGAACAATACTCGAAACATCACATAAAACGCATTTAGGCAATATTTTATATGTAAATATGAAGCGCTTTGAACGCCTACTCATACTGGTGAAGTAAGTTAAATTTAAAGAACGCATCTTATCATACATTGAACAATAAATATAAAACCTGTCTAAACAAATGTGTTGTCTGAATGATAAATTTTTATCATGGAGTTTCATTAAGATTTGCAATTCGTTTCCGAATTTTTAACATGACCATCATCATCATCAACAACACTTTTTGCATCATTATTATTGCTTTTAATATACATTGTATTATTATCTTTATCATTATAATCATAATCGTTTCCATCATCGTCATTGCCATCATCATACTCATCATCAAGTTCATCATCATCATCATCATGATAAGTTTAAGTGTAGTATCAGTAAGTGAACATGAAGTGGATACCCGATAACGTATTAATATTTCAGATTGATAATAAGACAACTGGAATAAATAATAACAATATGATGATGATGATGATGATGATGATGATGATGATGATGATGACTATAAAGAATGTTCTAAAGATATTTAACAGGTTATATGGCCTTACATAAACGGTTGTTATATTCGGCCATATAACCTATAAAGTATCTTTATAATGAATTTATAATACTGCAAACTTATACTTTATTTACACCCGAGCATATAGGTTACTAGTATTTATTACATGCTTTTCGGTAGTTTATAGAAATATATCAGTGAAATAAAAAACTGTTATTTCACTGTTTAAAACAGTAAAATTATCAATTTGGTAATTTTCACTGCTTTGAATTTAAGCCCGTAACGTTGTTTCAGTGAAATACCAGCGTGCACCGTACTGGAAACCAATTAACTTACTGACGTGACGTCGTAAATGATGTCACGTTGTATTATTATTTGGCGCACATTTTTTAGCAACATGTTAAAACGTCTTTTTAAACGTTTCTTTGCATATAATAAAAAGAAATTTTGTTTAGTTTAGTGGAAGATCGAAATATATTTCACCTCATGAACACCAAAAGTTCATATTTCACTCGTGGCTGCGCCACTCGTAATTAAATTATACCTTTTGGTGCTCACTCGGTGAAATATATTAATTGCGATCTTACACTGAACTAAACAAATATCCTCTATATAAACGTCACGATTGTCCAACCCAATTGACCGATTATATTATTAGTTATAAAGAATTTTGACGTGTTATATGGCCCTATATAAATGAGTGACTTGACTGTTTGGAAAAATAACCCGAGTCGCTAGACGAGGGTTATATTGCAAACAATCTTTTATATACGGTCATATAACCTGTCAGGAATATTTATAACGAATTTATAAAACCGCAAACTTCCTCTTTTTTTTTAAAAAAAGTGAGATCTTAGAAAATTGACAGCAGCCGTGTATATTATTAGTTATAAAGAGTTTTGACATGTTATATGGCCGTATATAAACGGTTGTTTGTAAATATAACCCGAGCCGCTAGGCGTGGGTAATATTGCAACAATCGTTTATATTATTAGTTATAAAGATCGTTGGTAGGTTAACCATATAAATTCGTTATAAAGATTGTTGACAGGTTTTTTGGCCGTATATAAACGGCTGTTTGCAATATAACCCTCACCCGAGCCGCTATTTACAAACAGCCGTTTATATAGGGCCATATAACCTGTCAACAATCTTTATAACTAATAATATAAACGTCACGATTATCCAATGAAAAATGACGTTACAAACGTGCAGTATTATAAGGCCGTATATAAACAGTTGTCTGTAAATATAACCCGAGCCGCTAGGCGAGGGTTATATTGCAAACAACCGTTTATATACGCCATATAACCTGTCAGAAATATTTATAATTTATAATACAGCAAGCATCATTTTTAGAGGAATACAGTAAGATTTCTTTATAAATCCACAGCAGCCGTGTATATAAAACTATATAAACGTCATGATTATCCAATGAAAAGTGATGTTACAAACGTGCAGTATATTTTAAAAAAAAATCTATAAACGTCACGATTATCCAATGAAAAGTGACGTTACAAACGTCCTGTACTATACACGGTCATGTAACCTGTAAAGTATCTTTATAACGAATATATAATACCGCAAACTTATACTTTATTTGCAGCCGTGTATATAGATTATATAATTATACGTCAGAAACGTGCAGTATTATAAAAATGAATAAAGTAGTATTATTCCATTACTGAGAGTAACCACGATGAAATCAAGTATCATGAAACCGGAAAAATATCTATGAAAAATTAAAAAATAAAAAGAATGTAAAAAAAGCCTAACCGGGGCTGGTTTCTTCACACCGGTTGTCTTTTGTTTGTAGTTCTCGCTGGATATAAACGCACTATGAATGGTAGGCATATTTTCAAGACTACACATCTTGTCAGAAACAAATCTGAATTTCTTGTCAATTGCCGGAAACTTATAAAACATCGCTTATTGTTTCGTCGCCTTTCGTTTTCTTTCTTTCCTTTTTTTTATTTTTTATATATTTTTTAATTAATGGCACATTTACTTCTTTTCAATATCACCTGTGAATTAAATATCCATCTCATGTTCGTTAGTTACAATTGAAATCAAAGTTATTTTTTATTATATTTCTTACTTGAACTATTCCAATTTATAATTAATGTTGGTAATAAAAATCTGATCAATGTATGGTAATTTTATAATAAATCATGTACCTTGAATGCAGCTTCCACCACAGACTTGAGCTTCTTATCTGACCGGCGGATAGTGTGCGACATTTTATCCGGCTACTAGGACACAATGCAAGGTAGAAAATGTGTCCGCACCCACATGTCAGACTATCAGTATTTACTTTTTATTGACTTGCTATGACATAAGTTCTTTGATAATGAAATATTTACAAGCCTGACAAATATATTTGATAATATATGATCATAGAATAGGCCTACTTTAATGCTGACAACTTAAAAACATTTTAATCTAGAAGTAATTTAATTTACAAGCATTTTGATCAAACTATGGTGGCTGATTTGGAACACATTTGTGCGTCGTGTTGTCGCTAGCGACAACAAGACAAAGCACCAAACGGCACGTTGTCGGACTTTCGTCTTGTTGTCCTGTCGCTAACGATGCACGCCAAACGGCGCGTTGTCGTGCGGCGTGTTGTCGCGATGTCACATTGTCGCTCGGCTCAAATCGAAGGATTGTCTTTTTGTATTTTCTGATCGAAGATCAGTAAATACAAAGCAGACATTCAATCTCTGACACAGAAGTTTCACGACAAACCTAACAACAATTAAGTAGTTCTCAAAACAGCTTAAAACTAGCGATTTAAAAGCAAGAAATAGTTTTCTTTTGTTACAAGTATCCAACAAATTACAACGCATTCAAAGTTTAAAAGTAGCGTTGGCTTATAGAATTGTCAATAAATGCACAATCATAATTACGCGGATGAATATGATTTTAATCAATGAAAATGCTATTTAGGCGATGTCGATTACCGAATACTACACTGCCGAGTAGTGGAATATATAGATTCTACATGTCGGACTGTTTGGACGAGAAGAGTTTCGCTAAATTATTTACTTCAATTTTAAACAACAGGTTTATCCTAAACAAATTAAATACCTCGAAATTAATAAGGATTACAAACCCGAAATGCAATGGAAATTCTAAATTTAGAATGACTTGATTTTATTCAGACTTTGTTTGTATAAATTCTCCGTGGTGCAGGGGTAACGTGCTTGTTTCGAGTGTGAGAGGTCTGTAGTTCAAATCCCAGTCGAGCAACTTTTTTGTTAAATTCTTTTTTAAGTGTGTTTGTTAAAGAAGTAGCCATGATATGCAAGGATAAAGTGTGGCTGTCATAAAAAATAAACATAAATGATTTTTTGATGCAACTCTAGTTGTGCAAAATTACGTATGTATCAAACTCTAGTGCCTTGCAAGATGAATTATAGTACATAAAAATAAACTAATACAGGAAAATACATACAGATATACAGTACGATTTAGATTACAAAGATCAGAAAATACCACAGAGCTTGCAGCCCTTTGATTGTATGTATATCAGCCAAGCAACAGGGCGACATCGCGGCAACGCGCCGCACGACAACGCGCCTTTTGGTGTGCTTCGCTAGCGACATGACGACAGTGCGACAACGCAAGCTTCATCGTTAATGTGTTTGTTCAGTTAATAATTTTATTCAATTATGACGTTGCAGAATGACTTGTCCCTATACACGGACAAAAAACTACACCAGCTTCCCTGAATTATATCATATATATTAAATTATATATTTTAAGTTTGGGATGACTTCTCGAAAACTTATTATATTTAAGGACCGGAACAGAATTTATCATATGTACCCTAGTTTGAATGAGTTAGTTTTATTTACCTCGAATATTACCTAGAATACATGTACATACTTGCCCACTTGCACGTTACATGCACATGGCATTACTTTGTTTAAAATAGATTTTGAAATAAGAGCACTTTTACTGATTTATAATCTTAAGCATGATTATAAGAGGCGCTGTATTTTGAAAAAAAAAAATGTATTATTAGTTTACCAGACGATCTAAGGATTGTCAGAACATATTGCAAGTTTAACGAGATTTGTTTGTTCAAAATAAAGGCACAGGCTGGGAAGTCAAACAAAACTATTGAATATACCATCCGAGTGAATCGTGACAAAACCATGTTCGTGAAGTTGGCAGTCTAACAACCTTAGGTTGGCAGCCTAACAGCCTAAAGAAAACTATAAATATTACAAGGACGTGCTTACAATGCATGTCCGACCGTTTTCATATTTGTATTATTTTTCGTTTTCTTTAGGCTGCCAACATGAGGCTTTTAGGCAACTAGGTTCCCAACTTTACGAACATGACAAAACCATTAAAAACCTGACAATGGACTTTGATAATATAAAATATGATCGTACGCCTGGGTGGGAGTCGGAGGATTCAGTAAAGAGGGAAGTGGTAAAAATTTAACCGCAATACATGTATATTGTTATGGTCCCAACACAGATGTAGATGGATACCCGAGACTAATTTCTACAAAGTACATGTTCATTAAGTTTCGAGATCAAACCAAACAGAACAGTTACTTTACTTCCAGTACAGCGAAATTCTGAAACTCTAAGCGACTACTTCCCCTGAACAATACAATAAGAATAATGAAGGGGAGATAACTGCGGCAAGATTCAAAATAACAAAGGTGAAGAATGAGACACACTTTCAATTCCATTATCTTTTTTAATGTCATTTTTTCAAAGAGGTTAAAAATAAATGCTTTTAAAACATTGTGAAAAATGCAATAATGAATACATGTGCTTTAATTCCTGCTCAAGCAAGTTGTAAAGTATGACCTTGATCATTTCCCAGCCGTTGCATTGTATTTGATTGTCAATAAAGGTCCGTGAAGTAATCGACAATTAACTCGGACATGTTATGTGTACCCACGGATTTATATTACATGTCAATTAAAGTCCGTGGTGTACCCTAAGCTGAAAAATATTATTTTCTTCTCAGGCGGAATTTCCGGGAATTCCTTACTTTCCCGTCCATTTTTAAACAATTGTACAAAGGAGCCTCTCATTCCTAAAACGCATTTTACTGATTTGCTGACAATGCAGTTGGGCGAAGACCTTCTTTGGAATTGTTCGATTTGATCACCGTAATTTTCAGTAATTGTCATGTGGAAACCACATTAATTAAAGCTGGGACCTGACAATTTAACATTTGTCTGGGTAAGCTCAGGCATATATCTTTTTGAAAGTCCTTTGCTTATGACAATAGAGTTGTTAAAATACAATTCTTAAGCTCATCCATCTATCTATCTATCTATCTGTCTGTCTGTCTGTCTGTCTGTCTGTCTGTCTGTCTGTCTGTCTGTCTGTCTGTCTGTCTGTCTGTCTGTCTGTCTGTCTGTCTGTCTGTCTGTCTGTCTGTCTGTCTGTCTGTCTGTCTGTCTGTCTGTCTGTCTGTCTGTCTGTCTGTCTGTCTGTCTGTCTGTCTGTCTGTCTGTCTGTCTGTCTGTCTGTCTTTCTGTCTGTCTATCTGTCTGTCTGTCTATCTATCTATCTATCTATCTACCTATCTATCTATCTACCTATAGTCTATCTATCTATCTATCTATCTATCTATCTATCTATCTATCTATCTATCTATCTATCTATCTATCTATCTATCTATCTATCTATCTATCTATCTATCTATCTATCTATCTATCTATCTATCTATCTATCTATCTATCTATCTATCTATCTATCTATCTATCTATCTATCTATCTATCTATCTATCTATCTATCTATCTATCTATCTATCTATCTATCTATCTATCTATCTAATCTATCTATCTATCTATCTATCTATCTATCTATCTATCTATCTATCTATCTATCTATCTATCTATCTATCTATCTATCTATCTATCTATCTATCTATCTATCTATCTATCTATCTATCTATCTATCTATCTATCTATCTATCTATCTATCTCATATATCTATCTATCTATCTATCTATCTATCTATCTATCTATCTATCTATCTGACGTATGTTCAATGAGAGTTCCTGTGTAGGGGGGACTAGACCGTGGAGCTGTACTCAAGCTGCGGGGCCTGACAAGTGTTCTTGTATGCGGTTGACTTTAACCTTTCTGAGTGAACTTTGATGTTTCGGCGTAGAAAACCAAGTGTTTGATTCGCCATTTGTTGTAATGTTTGTTTATGTGTTTGTTCCATGTTAGATCATTTGATATTGTAATGCCAAGGTATTTTACAGATGGAACTGTTTCTAACTTTTTCCTTCTAACCTTTTCAACTTAACTATATTCAGTAAATATTTAGTGACTAAAATTCTTATTGAATACAGCTCGCTTCCATACATGTAATTGAGTGTACATTGCGAAGCAGTGAACAAGGGGAGTAACGTTTACAATTTTGTTATTCTTGTTATTTGAGTAGTCTCCCCGAAAAACAGCTGGTACAATGGCTGGTTCCCAGTAACCGGAAATGTGATAAGGGTAGTTTCAAACAAATTCATGTTTTAAGTTAAATTTATTTAATGTAAATCTCTGTAGGTATTTTTTAGAACGTTTATAAAAGTTTCTTTAAACCTTTAATCAGGAAGCATTCTCCTGTTTTTTCTTAGTAAAAATTAATCTTTATGTAAGTTAGACCCAAAATGCACTTGTTTCAATAAATAAAAACAGGTTAAAAACAGAGAAGGTATTTTAGGGAAACGTATGTTCAATCCGGCTTACAGCCTGACTAAACTCGGGGCCAGACAAGTTTATGATATCAGGTGGTAAAGCATTCCAGTGGACTATTGTTCTTGGGAAAAATGAATATTTATAGTAATCAGTTTTAGTTTGGACTTGTTGGAATGCATGGGGATGGGATGTTCTAGATGATCTTGTAAGAGGGGTGATATATTTTGGGAAAGGGATAGCCACCTGGTCATGCAAGATGTTGTGAAACATGACCAGGCGTTGGTCAATACGCCGGAGGTCAAGGCGCCTCCATTGAAGGGAAGTCATCATGTCAGTGACACTTGACATACGGCCAAAGTCATGTTTGACCCACCTCTGGACGGACTCTATCTGGTCAATGAGAGTTCCTGTGTAGGGGGACCAGACCGTGGAGCTGTACTCAAGCTGGGGCCTGACAAGTGTCTTGTATGCGGTTGACTTTAACCTTTCTGAGTGAACTTTGATGTTTCGGCGTAGTAAACCTTGAGTGTTTGATTCGCCTTTGTTGTAATGTTGTTTATGTGTTTGTTCCATGTTAGATCACTTGATATTGTAATGCCAAGGTATTTTACAGATGGAACTGTTTCTAACTTTTTCCTTCTAACCTTTTCCAACTTAGCTATATTTCAGTAAATATTTAGTGACTAAAATTCTTATTGAATACAGCTCGCTTCCATACATGTAATTGAGTGTACATTTGCGAAGCAGTGAACAAGGGGAGTAACGTTGTACAATTTTGTTATTCTTGTTATTTGAGTAGTCTCCCCGAAAAACAGCTGGTACAATGGCTGGTTCCCAGTAACCGGAAATGTGATAAGGGGTAGTTTCAAACAAATTCAGTGTTTAAGTTAAATTTATTTAATGTAAATCTCTGTAGGTATTTTTTAGAAATACACTTTCAACGTTTCACATCAGAACATAATGTTTCTTTAAACCTTTAATCGTTCAGGAAGCATTCTCCCTGTTTTTTTCTTAGTAAATTTAATTTAAAATAATGCTTTGAACTGCCCCCTGTTGGTGCAAGTAAGTTAGACCCAAAATGGCTGCACTGGAAGAAGGGTTTCAATATGGTCTCTCTTCAAATTCAATTTCTACTTCAAATAGAAGTGTAGTTCAAGTTAAATTGACAGATACCTCATTGCGAATAATAGAGGAATATTTACGGAGAAAGGTATAAGTATTTTTCACTGATAATTTTAAAGATTTTTGAGAAAACGTGCGACTTGTCTCGTTTTTGCAAGCACTGCATATTTCTCGACTTGAAAACCTTATATGGACATGCATTCTACATGTATGGTATCATTGTATTATGTCTATATTTATTAAGTTTAATATCTTTTTACTGATATTAAACAAATTGGACCGCTTATTCGTCGAATTTCTATTTTAAACTTTCACATATGTCGGGGCATGGCTTTGGCAAGTTCAAGTTGGACATATGTCAAAAACCGTATACCTTTATGAAACTATATGGCTTCAAAGTTGTAATAACAAATGATATATTGGCATGAACATTTTTTACTTCTAAGGGGAGCTTCTCATTCTACAAACAAACTCAAAAAAAGAACAGACTTAAATGTTTTACATAATTTATGATAGAACACTGAACATATTTCTATGGAAACATAACATGATAAAGGTAGTGTTACAAACTCACACCTTTTGAGATTGTAAAATCTATGTATAGGTTAATTTTTATCATAGCTTTGAATAAAAAACCAGAAGTAACAACATAACTTAGCACTAAGGTCCCCACGTTTAAACAGATTTGTTTCGATTTTCAGTCGTAAACATTTACGATAATTTTTACTGTTTAATTGAAATGACAATATTGTCTTACAAAATATCTTAATCGTTACCTGTAATCATGAATTCTATCAATTTTAATTGGTTTATTCAAAAGTAAAATACGAAAAATAGGTATTTATAACCATTCACACAGCATTACCGTGCAATAATTGCTCGTGACATACATTTTTGGAAAAGTTGATTTTCCTTTGATCTTTCAAAAGAGCGAAATGAGGATACAATGCAGAAAATGTGTGTCGACTCAAAAGTGATGGGCCCTGAACATTATTATTTGTATATAGAAAGTCAGTCATCATTTGGAGACTTGAATACATGTTGTAAGATAGTACAAAGAATCGTTTCGGTTCTTAGCAATTGTGTAAACGTTCACAAAAAATTGTAAACGTGGGAGCCTTACTTAGAACTGAAAAATGCAGACAGTGATACTACACTACAGATCGGTTCGGACTGAAAAAATAAACTCAGTGTGTATGAACTGTTCCTCAGATAATTCAATATGACAGACAAATTTTCTTAGTAAATGGATAGTTTATTAAATCTCTGACGATTATAAAGGCATTGCAAAGCAGCAGAAATTTGAGTAAACATAAAAGATTTAAGAATAGTTGTCATTGCTGAAAACATTCATATATGGGATGTAGAGTATCATCGACTAATCAGTGTCCACTTTACATTAGCATGGGAATCAACTTGACCAACTACTGAGAACTGATTTTAATTTTTTGTTTGTCAGGCAAATTTTCGCATATTGTCATCAGCTGAAGTGCTTTTGACATTTTTTTGTAGATCAATAAGCAACTACAACAATTTAGTTTTCCATTTTACCTATGTGATTTTTAAATCTTATTACGGTTGTTCATAACAGTTGTTCAAATGATGAGTGCCAACATTCAAAATGTTTGCTTTTATACAGGGTTCTCGGGGACGCTTATTTCGGCGTCCCGGTACGCATGTTTATTACAGCTGGACGCAAATATTTCAGAGCAAGGATTCCACGTACGCTTAATTTTGCCTGGGGACGCATAAAATTTCAACCACAAATACACAAATTCGTCAGCGCGTGTCAGTCTCTAGGTAGGCGGTCCTATGCACATCCACCAGCGAAGCGATTAGCCAATCAGCGATAACGCTTCCGATCATTATCTTGCAATAGTGATACACGCTTGTACAGTACATGTAATTACCAGATTTAACACGAGGTGATAATTTTATATCTTCGATCAACAGTTGTTTGGAAATTAGCAAATTTTACCGACAAAAGGATGAAATTATCGACTATTTACACTGCAAGTTTAAAGACTGTTTTCTCAAATTACAAATGAGTGTAATTTTGAATGATTGTCGAATATTTTCGGCATTTTCTAGGCACAATTTTGCTTTAGTTTCATTCTTTCTATATGAGTATTAAGATATTGTGCCGAAATGCCAGGACAACAAACCAAAATACACATACGCTTTTCTTTGATATTTAGATTCTATCGAAAATTGATCTCGAACATCGGCGATTTCACGTTCGCCAGAAACCCCAAAATTTCGCAAAAATTCTCGGTTTCCTAGCCAAACATGCGAATGAATTGTTCCTTTATTATTTAATTAACATTAAATCTATAAATATCGATCTTCAAATTGCCCCCTTTTGAAGATATTTGCTAAAATAATTGTCGATCGGATGAATCTCTTACACACTGTGTGAAGCTGTACACGATTTTCCTATTCATTCCGCTAAACGCTGCTATATATATTTACGTTTTTTTTACAAATATAAACTTTTTGTCTTTAGAGTGGACTTATTTAACCAGAATAAAATTGATTTGGTATAAAAGTGAAAAAAAACACAAAAAAAACAAAAAAACAACCGATTTCCATGTGTTGATGCATTATAATGAAATAATTTCATAATAAATATTAACAACAAAACAATAATTATACTATGTAGTTCAGAGTTTCTTTTGAATAACTATAAACTTTGGAAGTCTCTTGAAGATTCAAAATCAGCAATGCTATTGTGAGCATTGAATGACTACTAATCTGTAAACATATTAATTGCGACGCGCTTTTGGACTCCAACTTTTTCAGGGTAGGGAGTCCATGGACTCCATGTTTTAAAGTCCTAGTAAGAACCCTGTTTATAGATAACTTTATTAATAAGTTGCAGTCATGAAAATCATGCTTGAGATGCAGGACCATTAGCATAACACACAGGAGTCGAGTAGAATATATAAATGTAGAAGTTTCTCGTCCTACAGGACAAGTGGCCCTGAAAAAATTCCATCCCCGATCTGACTGCTTAATCTATGTTATTCATTTAAATGATTTTGTGGTTAGACAGAACATTTAAACAGGTGTTATTTTTGAAAAATAACTTAGCATGCCTGTAAATAGGCCTGTTTCTAACATATTTGGTTGGCAGTAATCATGCTCACAATAACACTGACATACTAGCCCTAAATTTGTTAGTGTATCGTTTTATAAAAACACAAAAGTTCTCACTCTAAAGTGAGATATTATAAAGCCATATTGCAAGTACAACAATTATTCTTATAAAAATGGCATATTGTTACTAACAGTCTAAGATGCAGAAATCATTTGAGTGTGTTTCTGTGCTTTATGGTTTACATGTCACTTTACTTAGCATGTGAGCCAGTCAGAACTGGAAAATTTTATTTACATTGATATAAGACATTATAACTGGCCACGTGTGTTCGTGAATGTGTAGAATAAGGAACCAGTCTTTTTCATATCTTACTGAGTTGCAAATAGAGTGATATCACTTGCTTCTAAGCTGATACTTTTTAATATCTCTGACGCTAAAAAATGACAGGTGATTGAAAATATATATTTATAGATAATCATACTACCAATTAATAGTTCATATACCAATATAGCCTCTCATCCCACCTTAATTTGTACCACTTTCTTCTGTTCATCATCCTAATAAGTAACTACTAATAAGGGTACTATAGAAACTGTATGATAAAATATATACAAAATGTTTAAAAAAAAAAGCATTTGAATAGATTAGATTCATTTGAAATTTCTTTAACTTGCGGGAATCAACAAGTATTTATTTTTTTCAGCTTACATACATGTATATTTTTAAGTAGTTGAACATACATGTATGATTGTTACTTGCATAATAAAGGGATTGTATTTTTAATGTGAATACCGTAAAATTCCTAATAAACGCCCCGCCCCTAATAAAAGCCCCCCAGGCTTTTTGATATGGAAAAAAAATCTGCTCATCAGTGGTGAACTCTTTAATAAATCCGTAATTTTATTCAAATCCTTCAGAATCCATTTTATTTCATAGTAAACACAAAAATGTATCACATGAACTTTAAAATCAACACATTTTAATGTTATTACCAACACTTGTTAACACTAAGTGTATTTTAAATGATGTTTGGATTTAGGAAAAAACGTGTTGTAATAATAGCCCCCTTTTGGAAAATGTTTAGCCCTCGGGGGCGTTTAATAGGAATTTTACGGTACTTTTAATTTCCTAATTGTTTAAGATGAGAGCTGATGATGTAAATGATAATGGTATAAATATTGATTATAATTTCCTTGAATCTTAATTTTGTATTGTCAGTTTAATTATTGCAACACATTGTATAAAAATTAAAGAAGTTTTTGTATGTATTTAACATATAAACAGTTCTAATGTAATATCATTGTTACAATAATAGGTGAACTTGGTAGAGTCATGTTTAATTGTTTTGTTTTTTTACTGTTTAAATGCTGTCTTTATTTATTATTTTTTAGAAACGTCACATTAAATTATTTTTGGGCCATGAACTGATTGTTCAATTTATTCTTATCAATTAAAACAAGGTATTGTTGAGTTTTTGTAAATTGTTGGATAACATGTAATTGTTGATACAATCATGTATACCTGTATTTAAACAGTTAACTAATTATTATATTTTCAAACAGTTACATGATAAGATAAAATTATTACTAAGTACTTAATAATTATTACATTGATTGCAGCCAGAGTTAATAGATTAATGATTTAGGTTAAATGTATTCTTGTATGTATAAGTTGTGTTTATTATTTCTTTAATGATCAACCCTTAAACCAGTGCTGAATATATTAGATGGACGTGTCCATCTTCAGTCTTGATAAAACCATTCATCATTTTTAGGGAAATTTAGGAAATATGTACAGACTGAATAATGAACAGTGCACATCATGACCGGTGCCATATGATCTTGGTTTGCATTGTTCATAACAGGTTAAGAGTTAATAAAGTAATTGTTGAGTGGTTTAATCTACAAGTTAATAATTCAATTTATTAAGCCTGACTGTAGCCAGTTAATCAAAATAAATTTTTGAGGAACCTTGTTTACATGTCAATT